AGAGCCCTTTGATACCAGGCAGCGCCTCCCTCTGCCATCCCTCAGGATCCGTGCTGCCTCCCTCCCTCCCTTCTCGCACGTTTTGTTGTTTTGCTCTGTCCCTCTCTCTCTCTCTACTTCACCCCCCCCCCCCCCAATTAGGAACACTGATCCCAATTTAGCAGCCAGCTAGTGGGGGCGGAGAGGACCGTGTGTAGGCAGGTTGTTGTTTAGAGCAAACTGGCCTAATCCCAGTGCTACTTGTAAGTTGTATTATTGATTAGCGTGGTACACAGGACGTCCTCCATTAAACACAGCTGGCGTGTGTTGCTTAAGGATTGACGCCTCTTAAAATTGGAACCAAAAGGGAGAACAGTCAAAAGCAGCAACAGTTTCATGAAAGTGACGATTCCATTTATTCCTGTATCTTTCCTGTACCCGTTTTTGTGGTCAAAGGCTAAATTTAAACGATTAGTGTGGGGAGGGGCTACTTGTGTTTTTCTTTAGTGTGAAGTTGAGGTTCGTCCCTGCTGTTGGTCACACAGTTGAAAGTCGTTTCAAGTACATCATCAATCACTCTAAACAACCCAACCCCGCTGACACCCCCCCCCCCTCAGGGACTGTTTACCTTGAACTAGTTTTGTTTGTCCCAGACACGTGCACTGCTTGCCCGACTGTCTGCGTTTCTTCCTCATAATTGTACGCTTGCTAACGTATCTTCATGCAAATGGTGCATTATAAGTGTTGAGACGAGCACAGAGGAGAGCTGTGCTCCGGGAGGGGGGGGGGGGGGGAGTGTTTTCACTTACCATTTCACGGTTGCTCATTTAGTGGTTTGCTTCAAAGAAACCTCGGTTACTGGTTCAGAACCCCTGAGCAATGAATCATCTACAAAAATGCACTTGACTCTGGCTTGGATCTGTTGCCACCTCTTGTTGCGTGCATGGATGCGTGTGTGTGGCAGGGCTGCAGTGAAGTTTTTATCTTTCCATGTTTTTGCAGAGATTGACTTAATGAATTGTGAAGGCTTCCGTTCACTTCTCCTCCTCTCCGTCTGCAGGCCGACCTGTTTCCTGGTGCCCTGGTGTACTTTGGATCTGACGCTAAGACAGGTCCTTTTCTTTCATATGCCGATTTTGAATGAGATACTGGTGCCTTGCTGAGGAATGTAATACAGCAAAACAATAGTTTACTTTGTGTGTGTTCGTTTCCTACCCAGATTTTTACATGAAGACGGACCTGCTTGAGTCGTCTGTCTCTGCCTTACAAGCTAATGAGTCCATTGCCAGGTATGTGTGCACTTTGTGAGTGTGCATGTGGGTGATCACATGTGTGTCTGGCCATGCGTGCATTAGGTTGGATGTAGGCACTTGTATCCCGCGGCAACCAGACTGTTTTCCTGTCACAAAGCTGTCATCATTGGAATCCCTTTGAGGTTCAGCCGAAACAGCAGGTGCCCCGTGCGCCCTCATTTCTGTCCGTGTGTGCGTGTGCACACACACACGTAAGCATTCACATAAAATGATTTTCCAGCCCTGCTAAATATAGAGCCTGTTTCCCAAAAGTGACCCCCGCTTCTGTCCTTATTGCTTCTTCTAACACGGTCATCACTCTTCTGTTTTACATCTTTCCAAGAATGTAGCATTAACCTTTTTGTTTTTGTTCCTGCCTCCACCACCTCAGCTGCATGCAGCGCTCCCCGACGGCCTCCTCCGCCTGTGAAGGCTCAGAGGAGCCGCTGCCCCCTCCGGAGCCCACGGAGGAAACCAGCGGGTCCACGCGGGGCGAGGCAGACCCTACTGCACCCACCCGGGCGGCTAGGCCCACCGGGTCTGACCCGGGAAAGGTGCCCAAGTGGCTCAAGCTTCCAGGTGAGGACGGGACAGAGCAGGGACGTCAAATTCAACCACAGACAGGGACAACATTAAAACAACTGGGACTGAGTCGAAGTCCTAACAGGGTCATTATTTGTCAAACGGGATGGAAACGACATTGGATTATTACATTGGAGATATAGTTTATAAATGTTCTGTGGGAACCCTCCAGATGGAGTGTGGACTGTGCGCATCGGTAGGACGAGTGCAGCTGGTTTATCGCTAATGCAAGTATCCAAAGGCTCACACCGTCCCGTCCGGCTTCAGGGTCAGAAGGATTCTATCTGGCTTCTTAAGCGCCTCATCGTGACTTCCTGTGACACATTGGTCACACTTGACAGATATTGTGGTCCCTGATCTAGTTCTGCAGTACACGTGGGAGATGTCTTTGCTTGTCAACAACTTATTTTTTCTTTGTGTGCAGCAAAACATGTTACACAAGCATATGTGTTTCTGGTGGCGGCTGCACTGATGGTTTTGTTTCTCCCTTTTTTTTCTGTGTTTGTGTGCGCGTTTTAATTTCTGGTTGATGTTTGTCTGTGTCTCTCTCGCTGTGTGTGTGTCCGCTAGTGCCACGTGTGCGCGTCCACAGACACGTTATTTAATCCACAGATCTTCAGAACTGAGAGTCACAACAAAAAATCACACAAAAGCTCCTCTTTGAATCTCGCGTTTGTGTGAAATGGTTCATTCACTATGAAAGAAGCATAGAAACCGTTTGACCCTTTTAAAGTTGGGGTTGATGAGCTGTTACAAAATAAATATTTTTGAGACCACAAACATCGATGAATAAAATACAAAAAAAAGAAAAACATCTGGCGGAATGTAATGATCGGACGGGTTGCATTTATTTTTTTTCTGTCTGTACAAGCTTTTTCCTTTTCTATTGAGTGTGGGTTTTTTTTAAATAAAAATATTCATAAATTGCATCACGGCAATTATATCGGAACATCTGGACTGGAAAATTGTCTGGTTTTTCTCACGTGTTGAAGCTCGACCAAACAAAATAAGTGAAGTGTTCATCTGAGAATGAAGAATTATTAACGCTGCACGTTATTCTTCAGATCTGTTAACTGCCGCCTGCTGTTGTTTTCACAGGTAAGAAATGAGGCCGCTGGTGGGACGACTTCCCCACTGACGTCAGATAAGCTGCTTGAAGACGGAGTTCTTAAACCCTGGCAGCGCTTTGATGAAGGCAAACTTTGAGGCAGCAGCGGACTAAATCCGTCAGGGAGGAAGAAGCTTGCACTTGACTAGTTTTTAAAATGGCCAAAGATAATGAGACTGATTGTGAAAAATGCATTGGAGGATTGTTGGGCTTCATTCCGGTTGGTCTGGTGACAGTGTTAAAGAGATGAGTGGTAAAGTTGCTGCTTTTATTCAGCAGGTGAAAATGTAGTGTAAAGTGAATAAAGATGGTTGTACTAAAACCGCTCAGTGTTGAAGTTCATTGTTCGAGTTCAGAGTTAGTTTTTATATTGATTTCACTTTTAGATAGCAGAAAAAAAACGTAACAACACTGAACCAAACTTTCCTCGTACATTCCCGCTATTTAACCGAAGGTGTTGTGTGTCTGTGAGCTCCGTGGCCGTACGCGTCATGTCTTCTGGTTGTCCGTCCGGTCGTTTCACCCCAATGTGTGCATCCCAAAAAACGCCAGGAGGGAACTTCTTCACTAGAATTTTTTGGGCAGAGGACTCAAAACCACAGCGAGGTCGGGATTTTCTAATAAAGTATATTCTGTAGCTTCTGTGGTTTTAAATAACATGAAATACTGTTATGCAGTTTCATGGCCAGCATTTCATCATCAAAGCCTTTTTTCTCAGCTTTTATTCCTGTATTTTCTCCCTTCTCCCTTTTGTAGAGTTGAAAAAAACAAACGCTATTATAATTTCCAGGGCAAGGCAAAGTAATATGTGAGGTACGACCAAAGACGTGTACTGATCCGTCATTTAGAGGCGCTGTATTGGTTTGTTGGTGAGTAAACGAGCAGCTCAACACACACACACAGACGTCCTCATGTCCCTCAGTCACTGCGTTGGCTTCAGGAGGGACTTCAAAAAGAGGCCAAACACAGCGGGGAGCGTGTGCCTGCGTGTGCGTGTGTGTGTGTGTGTGTTGCATTCCTTCCACTTGTCACACACACACACTTTCTGTTTCCCTCTTGCAAATGAATTACTTCCAACTGCCCCTGGAGTCTCTTCGGAAGCTGTTCTCTGCGTTTATGTTTGCTGTGAGAAGTTTAACGTTATCCTCCGATCAGCTTAACTTAACTATTGTGAGATGTACAGTTACAGCCATTCAAATACAATATATATGTAGATCCAATTCCACAGAAGTATTTTATGATTTATTTTGAGTCAGAATATCAAAAAGCAGCTTTTTTTGTTGCTCATGTATTTATTGCATGAGCAAGTTGGCCATCCAGAGGCTGTGATGAGGCAGTGGGGTCTGCAGGTGGGGGCAGCTGGGTCACTGCGATGACGGCCCCTGGTGGCAGCTGTGGATAAACCAAGTGGCCCCGAGCAGAAGAGAGCAGTTTGCAGCCCCGCCCATAGGATGCTATTATTTTTTATAGAATTTAATGTTTAGTTTTTTTTCTAGTTCGCTCATGTCAAAGTTGTCATTCTGTTTGTGAGGGATTCTTTTTTGTTCATTTTATTAAAGTACAGAGTACACGCAAAGTTTTTTTTTTTTTTTTGCAGGTGAAGTGACTCCGTTGTCTGGACTGCTCGACTACAGAAATTAATTTAGTTAATGACCCAGAAGCAGGTGTTATCCTCACAAGGCAGAACTACAGCGTTTGGTGACGCTTCCTTTATCCCTTTGTGCTCCAAGCTGTCAGAAGTCGCCGGCCACAAGTACGCTTGTAGAAACAAACAACAGGCAGACTGAGTTTGTAATTAAATGCTGCTCATTTTTCTCAGGAATTGTTGGAGAAGAAAAGAGTGAACCACTCAAAGCTATTTTCTTAGTTTGCTATACTGCCCCCATGTGGACAAAAAATAGTAGTGCATTTTTTGCCATAACTAGAACTTCTGAGACTGGGTGGATCTTTTTTGAAGCTCTACAGGAAGAAAATAATCTAGTACACGAAATGCAAAGTATCTCTGTTTTTACATTGTCACTATAACCCACCCGGTTACATCCACCTACACTCGCTGACATTTGATGACTCGCTGCCATTGGTCCTAATCTGTGCACTCTGACCCCTCTCGGTCAGCTATTGCACCTCATTCCACAGGGTCTGCAATGTGTCTGCATGCCCGGCTCCACGCCCAACCACATGTACACATCCCTGTGACACTCGTGGCCCAACCCCAAATAACTTCCACTCCGACTGACCTACTCACTGCACAAGCAGGGACGGGGAGGAAGGAGAAAGTGTGTGAGGAAGAGTGACGTGTGAAAGCTGCCTTGGACGTGGATTCAGAGCGAGTGTCGCGCAGCAGCAGACACAACGCGCACCTGTCTGGACTGTTAATATCGATTCCGGGCCGGAGCGTTTCAGCCGGAAGATTTGACTTGATCGTGTCCCTTAACTTGACTGACAGCTGGTGGATAAACATCCTGGTCTCACAAGAAGTTCTTGTGTCACAAACACTGACTGGTGCACAGCGGTGGATATTTTTGACCGATGACTCGGTGTGATCTTCAGCACAGAGGTGAGTGTGTGTGACTGCCTGGCCAGCTTTAGACTCAATAGAAGACCTCAAAGAGAGTCAGGATAGTCGTTTTCGTACTTTGTGTCTCTGGAACACAGTTTCATCAACATCAGAAGACTCACAACCAATTACAACAGCACCTTAAAGGACCCGAGAGTCTGGATGCTGGAATGAGAAAGACATCTCTGGATGCAACAATCACATCCTTCGCTCCTTCCCTCTTATTTTTGTGGGATTGGTTTGGACTTTAAGCTTGAGCGGAAACATTTTAAGACTCTGAACTCCACCTCATCCTCTCTACTGCGCATCAAGAACCCTGAAGGTTCAACCCCTTGAAGAACGGCACCAACGTCTCCCTGCTCTCCTGCACCCACCCGGTGATGGATTCACAGGGCGGTCCGTACCTCAACACGAGGGCCCTCTGCTCACCCCTGGGTGCCGCCCGCCTCTGTCAGCTAGCCATGGGCTGTGCAGTGATCGCCATGGTAACCCACAGCGCGGGCTACAGCGGCTCGCATGGCGTGTTCTGTATGGCGGCGTGGTGCTTCTGCTTCGCCATGACGGTGGTGGTGTTTTTCCTGGACGCCACTCGTCTCTACAGCTGCCTCCCTATTTCCTGGGACAACCTCACCGTCACGTGCGCTGCCTTCGCGACGCTCATGTAAGTCACGTGTTCAGTTGGGTTCGCGGTGCTGGTGTGAGGAGACGAGATGGTGTCCAACAGCTCTGCTTCCACGTCTTTACTTTCCGTCGTGTGATAAAACTAAGTTCACATGTAGGGACGTTTCTGACGGTGATGGAAAGGTTACATGTCCGCCTTCATTAGTGTAACAAATGGGTATCCATTCATTTCAATCGCAGCAAAAATTCATTGAGCCATCAAACATTAGACACGGACCAAAACTGTGTTCATCAAGGTTAGGTTGTAAAGGTACATATGTGAAAGCTGATTAGTGAAAGAAGCAGCAGCTAAAGAGCCAAAAAAAAGAAAATCTTTACATTTATTAAGAGAACAATTCTCATTATAAACCCATGATGCAGCTTCACTTTATTCACTTTACAGTGTTGATGTGTTTACAGCTTATTATGGCCAAAAGAAACCAATCATAACTATACAAACTAAATTTAACTTCCACTTACAAGCTCTGTCAGACCTTTCAACAGCCCCCCGGCGTCTGCGATTGCCCCGTCTCACTTCTTCCTCTTCCTCTTCCTCTTCCTCAGGTACGTGACAGCCTCTGTGGTCTACCCGCTCTTCTTTGTCCGCTCTGAGTGCCCCTACGCCGGCTGTGAAGTCCGAAATTTCCGCATCGCTGTGACCGTGTGCTCCATCCTGGGTGCTCTGGCCTACGGGGCCGAAGTGGCCTTGTGCCGAGCCAGGCCGGGCCAGGCTGTGGTGGGCTACATGGCCACCGTGTCAGGCCTCCTCAAGGTGGTCCAGGGCTTCGTGGCCTGCATCGTCTTTGGCGCCGTGGCCAACGGGAGCGAGTTCTCCCGTCACGGCGCGACGATCTTCTGCGTCGCCGTGTACGCCTTCTGCTTCGCTCTGACCGCGCTGGTGGTCGTCATGACGGTGTGCGGGCGGACGAAGGCCGTGCGCTGCTTGCCCTTTGACCGCTTTGTGGTTGTGTGCACCCTCCTGCAGGTCCTGCTCTACCTGAGCGCGTCGGTGGTGTGGCCGGTGTTCTGCTTCGACGCAAAGTACGGCTCCCCGTGGAGGCCGTCGTCGTGCCCTCAGGGGAGGTGTCCATGGGACAGCAAGCTGGTGGTGGCTGTGTTCTCCTTCGTCAACTTTGGACTGTATGTGGCGGACCTGGTCTACTCTCAGAGGATTAGATTTGTCTCTTCCCATACCTCGCGGGCCTAGCACACGTCGCTATCATGTTGGCTTAACAGCGCGTTTACCTGCGTCCATGTTGATTTGGTTTGTGCATTTATTGGATGTTTAAAGACAGGACATATAGAGGGAGCTGTGGGGGGGGGGGGGGGGGGGACTGGGGGATGTGATGGAGTTAAAGATCCTTGAACATCGCTGGTGCTGCTCGTGGTCTAACTGAGGCACCCAGACACCTCAAATTCAACGTGAAACCACTCTGGAATGTGAGCGTGGAATTTCAAGCCCACATTCCCTGTGGCAACCCCCCCCCCCCATCCCAGAGGTGACACCCCATCTTCACTCTGAGAGGACAGCCAGCCTCACCCGAGCAGCCCAGGCGCCTCATAAACAAAGACACTCCTGCTATTCTTGACCAGCGGCATAACACACTCATAATGCTGCTCTAATAATACATCACATCTATAAATAGTACATCTGGCATTGGCATCTGTGGCATCTGCGGCATCTGTGGTATCTGTGGCGTCTGAGAACCCCCTCACCCCTCAACCTGACCGCCGAAAATAAACACGAGCTGCCTGCACTCACAATGAAGCATCTCTGAGAGGCTTCTTCATCAAGCCCATCGATGAGGTGATTGGAAGTTTGACCCACAATTACACGATCTGAACATGGCCAGTGTGACCGAAACGTGTTTGCACGCTGTCACAGAAGGTCAAACAAGTCCTTGACCAACAGGTCAAATGCAAAAATAGAGATTTGTTTCTATTTAATTCGATTTTCATTTACAGCTAACTGAGAAATCTGTAGATGTGTGTGAATCACTACTGGTTCATAGTTTAACATCAAGTCGATGTTCACAATAGATCAAATGACTACGTACACTATGTTTATTTGAACTCTGCAGTTCCCCTTCAGCTTTACAGCTTCGCTAAGCTTCTTCTTTGGTTTTATAGTCTGTTTTGGTTTTATAACTGCTTTGGTTTAATCTCCCTTACGTCACAGAACCTCTGTCCATGTTTTATATAGAATAAATGTGAAATGCACTGGTTTCTTTCAGTAACTACAATGTAAACCCATTTGCATTATTACAAGAGAGGGAATGCTCAGGGAAAGTGATGCCGTAGTTTAACACTGACTTGCAACCGAGAAGGCGGTTGTTCAGGACCACTGTGGAGTTACTTTGGTGTCGTGCGTGATGTGTTCATTCTTATGCTAGTTGTTTACATTTTACATACCATGACGTATTTCCTAAACCTGACTCATTGTTCGTATTGTTTTGCGAAACCCAAGCATTGTTTTTCTGTGAGTTGTCCACGTTAACTGGAGCTCTAATAAACTATGAAAGTCTACCGGCGAGCAGCAGACAGACGCAGCTTGTGACCAGAGACTAGTGCCGAGAGACGGAGACACTAATGTAGTGTAATAACGTAACAATTGCCCAGTGCCACAAGATTACACGTTTTATTTGGGTGGGATAAGCTGCAGCCGTGTGATCACTTTTAAACGTGAGCCTCAAATGATGTTTTTGTCCCGTTTCCCTCTCTCACATCCTCATCTCCTCCTCTCCATCCTTCACTCCTCTCGGCTTTGGTCACTTCATCGCTCTAATCCAGGATCAATGTATCCCACAGTGCTATGGACGTATAATATTAAGTCACCACACACGTAGAGCAAGACCGTCTCCAGTTGGCTGCTCTGGTATCCAAATCTATCCAAGACCTGTGTGTTATTAGAGTTTTGCTTTTTAAGATGCACCATTTTTTGTAATTAAGAATCTAAGTGAGCAACGTGTTCATTCAGAAAAAGCAGATGAGCAGTATCTGTATCAGCAACTGTTTAACTGCTCAGCAGTGAATAAACATGAATAGCGCCGTGTTTGTGTCTTTGGAAAGCGTCGCCGTCCTCCTGCGGTCCTTTCTATGGACAGGCCCTCCGGGGGCATTACTCACTTTACACCCTGGCGGATATTTCCAAAATAGGATGCAAAATAACTGGAATATGACGGAGCCCAGAGAACGCAGCAGCTAAAAGGGACAGACGGTAACTGTGGCCGCGTCGAGGCCTGTGTGCTCCTGCGCTCCTCTGCAGATCCCCGGCGAGCAGCTGTTCCATGTTCACTACTCATTTTACTCCTCACTCCTTGCGGGCCTCCGTCTCAAACACACACACACACACACACACACACAGCCCAGAGTGTCTTTATAATTGTTTTGACAGAGATGAACTGCGACAGGTGTCCATCGGAGACGCCCCTTCCTCATTCCATGGCCGCGGGGCCGCGGAGGGACAGGGGACTGCTGGCTTGCTGTCACGTCTCATCTCCGCTGGTGCGCGCTGCTGATGCCGACCTCCTCGCCGTCGCCCTCGGCTCTTGTTTTGCCAAATGTTATTGTGGAATATTGTATAAATCATCGGCTCGCTGGATTTGAGCCTATAAGTGAAAAACGTTTAAATACTGTGTGAACTGCAGAACATCCAGACACGGGAAATCAAAGACATCCTCTACAACGAAAAACACAACAATCCATCAATACCCTCCTGTGACCTCGTGACGACGGTTCGTCCTTTTCAACCTTCTTGCCACTTAATGAGCTCCCTCTAAGCTCAGTGCCTGCAAATGGAAATGCATCTTTTTCATCCCTTTATCCCAGTTTTGCTTAGATTTGTCTGTGAGATGTTGTGATGAGCTCAGGGAAATGCTTTATTAGTTTGGGTGTCAACATGAAATTGAAGGCTGACATTGATTAGAGCGGCTTTGCAGTAATTCCTGTTTCGGACTCATTCTTGTCTCAGACTGCAGGAGGGAGATGAAGTCACACTTGGGGAAGAGTTTCCGTCGGGGTGATTTTGAATATTCACATCTCCTCTCTCTCAATACGGCTGTCCCTCCCTCTCTCTCTCTCTTTTTTTTACGTTTTTCACTCACACCTCTGGGCCCTTATCACTGCTGGCAACAGACGGGCTTTGCCTGCGACCGTTTGGGATGAAAAGAAGTGAAAAAAATCTGTTTTTTGTTTTGGGGTATTTTTAATAAATCTCTTGGGCGTATGTCAAAACAAGAAGGAGCGACTGAGCGTTGTCACGCCTCAGCACACATGCCAGGTCTGAGTGATAGATGGTACAGAAGCAGGCGGTGGTAAATTGACTTTTTGTGTGTGTGCTGTGTGTGACTGAGAGGCAGAGTCGCAGGGATCCACGTCACTGAAGTCTTCAGCTTGTTTGAGATTAGGTTCGGCGGGTAGTTTTGCAAGTAATTATTGTCAAAGCTGAAGCAAGAAGGGGAAGGAAACATTGTGCCGTTCCCCCCTCGTGTCCGTCTGTCATTATGCACTTTGCAACATCAAAAGGGAGGAAATAATCGTATATTTCCTGGTCCTGTTTTGAAGAAATTCAAAAGTATACTGACTCAAGGACATGTTGCAATGTAAAACATTTACACAATCGCAAATCCATAAATTCGGGGCACTCAAAAAGACAGATTTGTCAAATAGTTGACGCTTCAAAAACACTGAATGCTCCGTTTAACAGAATGAAATGACATCACTTTGCCCCCTAAATGTCCCGTCTTTAAAAAAAACACACCTTCAGTTTGTAACTTAGTCTCCACAGCGCAGAGTCAGTCGCTCCACGCGTTATCTTTCTGTTGTAGGGGAAAAAATGCTCTGGCTTATTTGTATTTTTTTTAAACCAATCCCAATCGTCTTGCGCGGATGACTTGGCAAAATATACAGCGCAGATAACGGAAGGGCAGGAGAATGTCAACTGAAATAGGATGCCAAATTGCAGGCTTATGCCCACAGCCTAAAACTGGTGAGTCAGATGAGACGACTATGAAATCAGATTTCTGTAAGCTCCTCCGGAACCACAGAAGACATGACGGCTCTAAAGTGTAGACTCAAGAACCAAGTGACTTGTGATCAAGTTTTATCTATCCATAAATCTGCCCTCATACTATATTAGACAACATTTGACCGAATATACTGTATCGTTGGACTAATTCTTTTAGTAATCCAAATTAGCTGGCAAAGGACCTGGGATATAATAAATTACAGTATTTCGCTTTGTTTCGGGGTTCACATGTAGATAGAATATCACACTGCCCAGCTGACTGGAGAGGACTAACAGCTGGTGCTGTTGCAAGGCCTTCTGCTTTATATATAGACGGGAGCATATGCATTCCCTCTGTCTGCATTCCTGTCCAGCAGCCCCATGGGAAAGTCAATTGAACGAGTTCCCTCAAAGGAGACGCACTGCACCTCTTGTGGAGTATAAATTTAGTCGGGCATGGCCTGGCACGGCATGAGAAACACAGAGGAGAAGGCGGATAGACAAGAGGGTTAGTCCTATTAAAACGTGCACAGGGGAGATTTTAGCATCAAACTGACAGTTGCGAGCCAAGTTCGCGGCTCATTTTGAGAATATGCATTGGTGAACCACCAAGGGATAGGCAGCCAAACTGTGTTTGGGATCCGTGGCTCATTAGTGTGCGTCCCATTCCACTCTGCTTCATCGCAGATCCTGTCGAATCTGAGGGGAGACGAAGAGATGCTGGTGGACAGTCTCATGTTAGAATAACAATCCTTCATTTAAATTCAGGTCCCTTAAACATCACAAACCACAGCTTGTACCTTGAAGTGTCTTGGGGAGTCATCTTCAAATCTCAGAACATTTCTATCCAAAAATAAATTAACCCTGAAAATATGACACAGTATTTCAAGGAGAAAGAAATGGCAAATAAATTGTGCAGATGAATAACATCTGAAAAAAACTGAATTTGACTATTTTAAATGTTTTCTTACTACAGCTGAAATGTTTAGTCTGCTGATCGATGAGTCAGTTAATGGAAATTGTATTGCTGGAACTATTTTCAATAGAGATTTTCCAATTAGAAATGTCAGATTTCTCTGACCAGCATCCGAAATATTAGGCTTTGGTGTTTTTCTTTGTCATATGTGATTGAACTTGAAGTTTATTACAATTGTCGTATGTGGTCAGGATCATACGTGACCTCTTCTGTTAAACCCACCCGGCATTAAGCAGCACTCGCTGCTATAAAGCGATCGGGAGCACGTTGGGGTTCAGTATCTTTTTCACCAACCGAACCACCAACCTTATAATCTAACAACATATAATTATTGGTTTGATTAAACATTCCATTTAGTTATGTCACTTCCAGCTCTCTGTCTTCTGATTGCCATTTGTTTTTTTCGTAACATTTGAAAGAAACAACGATACATGCATTTACAAAACATTCAGCAGATAAATCGATTAAGGAAATGTGTCTTCTTTTAAATACGTACATATCTTTTAAAATAATGTCTCACTCAAGGGTAGTCGATAAAAACGTCCTCTGATTAAACTCTATCCAGTCCTGCAATGAATGTTGGCCTATTCTAAAAAAGGTCAGGGTGGGGAGATTTTTTTTCTGTTGAGTAAATATGACTGACCGCATTATCTTCTGGTTCGAGTGTGTGTTTGAATACTGGAGTGTTCAGATACGGGCTCGGTAATGATTGCAAGAGGCTGGTTTTATAGAAAACTATACATGTATGCAGGTTCTTATTTGAGTACAGGAATGGGACAGCATGCTCCGATTCTGTAGTAAAACGACATACTAGTAAAATAAGCTCTCTTCTCCACACACACACACACACACACACACACACACACACACACACACACACACACACACACACACACACACACACACAACGTCCAGAATATCTGTGTTTAATCACGTATACATGGTCTCAATGTAAACATGTCAGTAATGCACATTTAACCCACTTTACACCTCATGGTCCCCTTATTTAACCTATATCTTCATTGGTAGTGCCCGCTTAAGAACCGCCCAGAAGACTGATGCAACTAGGCGTGAGGACTGCAAACCCCGCCCAAATCTTGTGATCTACTCCCTGATTGGCCAGAAAATCCGCATGTCTCTTTCGTGATTGGCTTCCGTCACTGTCTGGTACAGTTACGTGCGCACAATTGAAGTTGACTACCAGCGAAGCCACGTTGACACTAAAAGTATTGTTTTCGGGTGGATTTCTCACGCCGGCACCGGACCGTCACGTCGTCAGCGCGCACCTGCTGCTCAGGAAACCTCAGCTGGAACATTTAAAAACAGGAGACTGTAAGTATTTTATGAATGCGGCGTATTTCTCATTCATTGTCGGTAATGAAACCTCGCTTACGGAGCGGCTATCCGAGCACAGGCAGCTAGCTACGAAATGCTATCATCGTCCCTCAGCATCAACTGGAGAGCTAATGTTAGCACTAACGTTAGCTACACGGACGAGTGCTAAACGGTGCTAAACAGCGAACTCCGCTGAAAGCGGGTTTTCACTTTCATAAAGCAGTGGTTTTGGAAAACACTGTTACAAACTCCGCTGTTTAAGGAGTAAGACTTCATCAAGACCTGCAGAAGATGTCACCAGACTGCACTGTATCTGCTGTAGCTAGTAACTGAGTCTCTGGGACCAGAACGTTATTATTATTTTTTATCAATCATTAAATGTGCCCATTTCTCAGTGAAATTATCCTGGAGTACTGCCAAGTGTCAGAAAAGATGTTTCATCATCCAGTATCTATATATCAATAATTGGATCAACAATCATATGGAAGTAACAATCTTGACAAGTTCTATTCTGTATATAATAATACATTTCATTTGGCGCATTGAAATGCATGTGGCTGTTTTTACAGGTCGGAGGAGAACCATCATCTGACAGGATGAGTGTTGGATTCATTGGCGCAGGCCAGCTGGCTCATGCACTGGTGAAAGGGTTCATGGCTGCAGGTGATGCCTCGTCTTTATTATACAATATTTGCCCTGTAGAGAACATGCGTTTACTGATGCTTGAATTGAGGCATACAGAGTTGCACAACTACATTCGTGACTATCCTTTCCCAGCTAATGCATTCATCTCGGCAATGGTCTTAGTTATCTTCATGCATGAGTTCTCTCCTGCATTTATATTGTTTTATGTATTCACTTTAGAAAGCACTTTTCTGTTTCCTGCCTCTTTAGACTGTCTAGTTTGTCGGCCTTATGTACTATTCTACCTCATGGGATCTGCAAGGTTTTGTCTTACAGTTGTCATTTAACATCTCATGGTTCCTCTTCTTCACTCACTCTCCACGGCCTCCTGTCTCCCTCCCCAGGTGTGATCGCTACTCACAGGATAACAGCCAGTTCCCCAGACTCCGAGTTGCTAACAGTGTCAGGGTTGAGGGTGAGAAGAGAAACGTCTGCTTTGTTGTGTGAATCCCTGAAATGGGAGTTGAAATCAAAACATTGGTGCGAGTGTGGGCTTCTCCAAGGGCTTATAAAGTTGCTGTAAAAAACAAACAAACAAACCTTACAACCCCCCTTTTTCTTCAACAGAAAATGGGGGTTAACATGACGACAAGCAACAAAGAGGCGGTCAATAAGAGTGATGTGCTATTCCTGGCCGTAAAACCCCACATCATCCCCTTTGTTTTGGATGAAATTGGGCCGGACATCGAGGACCGTCACCTCATAGTCTCCTGTGCAGCAGGCGTGACAATCAGCTCCATAGAGAAGGTCAGCCTTGTGTTTCTATCCCTCTCCTGCGCTGAAAAGCCTCGCTTGTTCTCCCCAACAGATCTGCTTATATCGATGACTGCGGACACCACAGACATGCAGCTTATTCCAAACTCATCGATCTGAGTGCGGTTCACGGAACTGAGCGTGTCATAATGACAAAGTTCAGCCAGTTTACATGAAGGCAAACTGCCCTCTGGACAGGACCGGTGTTGAATACCGTTTCCCTGTCTATGTTTCTGTCTTTTTCCTCCATATCTCAAATGAAGCTTTGTTGAGCTGTTTGGACATGCTTCCAAACTGATTTAAGGCCATTGTGCCTCCTCTACGGACCTGTTATGTGTTTCCTTTCACAGAAGCTGCTTCAATACCGTCCAGCTCCTAAAGTCATGAGGTGTATGACAAACACCCCCGTGGTGGTGAGAGAGGGAGCTACGGTGTACGCTACTGGGACACATGCTCAGGTAAAGTGTTAAGTAAATAAAAGACTCGTACGTTTGTAGGATGTTAGTTTTATCTCTCTGTACAATAACTGTCAACATCAAAAAAGCTGTCCAAAGAGGTTGAGAATGAGATATTATGATATAAGATATTTTTCTTTAACCAATTCTTCTGCATTTTTAGGTGGAGGACGGCAAGTTGCTGGAGCAGCTGATGGGCAGTGTAGGTTTCTGTACGGAGGTGGAGGAGGACCTCATCGATGCTGTCACTGGGCTGAGTGGCAGTGGACCGGCATACGTGAGTAAATTCAGAGCTGAGCGTTCGTCAAAAAGGCGTGTGTGTGATTCATAGAACCAGATTTGTAGTAGAAGGTAGCCATCACTTTGTAATCCTTTATCCTAAAATACACTGGTTAGGAACTTTCTTTTCTTTTAAGAGAGCTACAGGGACTAACCTGAATGGATATAAGTATTATTAATAATGACAGTCACAAGTAATCAAAGTGGCACCAGCGTTGAGAAAGTCAAAATCCTAACGTGAAGAAGGAAGAAAATCTGCTTTGCTGTGAGCAGTAAATGATTTTTCTTTTTTTAAATCCTCTGCAATCGTTCTGTGGCTGGTAATATATTTACATATAAAAATAAGTCAGGGAGGGGAGGTCAAGTGGGTGCATATGATGTACAATGTAGCCCTGCTGTGGTAATGGCTTGTATCTCCTTTTAATAATTGTGAGGAGTTAGCAATTTATTAGATGTCAGTGCCTTAAGATGTATTATAGCAGACAGGACAGAAGGCCACGTAATACGGGAAAAGAATTGCAAGCTGGACAAACAACACATCTGTTGATTCCAATAGTACGTTGATTTGATGTCTGTACTTTTGATTAAGATGTGATGTCTGTGCTGCCTAGAGGGAAAACAAACTCCCAGCTGTTTGTGTGTTTTTAACAGGCATTCACAGCCCTGGATGCTCTTGCTGACGGAGGAGTGAAGATGGGTCTCCCCAGAAGATTGGCTGTCAGACTTGGAGCTCAGGCCCTATTGGTCAGTTGTGTGTCTGTGTGAGCATGCACACTATTTATGTCTTTTTTTCCCCCCTCTCCTATTGTCAATGACAATGTCCCTCGATGTACTGGTCTGCTGTCTATTTGGAAACGGAGAAGCTGAGGTGCTGGTTTTAATGCAACATACTTTTCTGACTGGCTCAGAAGGTCCTTAAAAAAAAACACACACAATGTTTTCCTTCCACTCGTTAAGTTTTTTGCGTTGTTCCTGTTTCTCTTCAGGGAGCAGCTAAGATGCTGCTGGACTCGGAGCAGCACCCCGGCCAGCTAAAGGACAACGTGTGCTCCCCAGGGGGCGCCACCATCCACGCCCTGCACGTCCTCGAGAGCGGCGGCTTCCGCAGCCTGCTGATCAATGCAGTGGAGGCTTCGTGCATTAGAACACGGTGAGACAGTCGCACCTGCCAACTTAAACCACTGCCGCTTTCTCAGTTTTCATGTTCATGGGTCACAAGATTATTCAACAATTTTGATTATTTTCTTGTTTTTCTGCTTCAAATAAAATAATACATTTCAATTGATTAGTAGATAAGAAGACTATTTTACAATAATATATAAAGCATTGTCTTTGATCAAACACCAACTATCGTGGCACTAGAGCTGAGCATGTTATTACTCACTTCACTACTGGACTATCAACACCTGCTACAAAGGAACTGATGGAAATAATGATTTATTACGAAACCATTATTTTCACACTTTATAGTTGTTTACCGATGAGGGAAATACAAACGCACACATACCAACATTTGTGCCAAACCTCATCTGTGGGCTTCCTTTTCCTCGCTCAGGGAGCTGCAGTATCTGGCAGACCAGGAGCGCATCTCCCCAGCAGCCATTAAGAAGACCACGCTGGACAAGGTGCTCCAGCAGCCCGGAGTCGAAGTCAGTGGCGTGGCTAATGGGAACGGCAGATCGGGGCTCAGCCTGTTTAACAGCCGCGGCCCCAGTATCAAGAAGAAGAACTGACACACGCAAAAAGGCATACTGCTCATCTGGTCTTAAATCGCTTCCAAAACACTTGACGTTTATTCCAAATAATTTATTCATACTGAAGTTACATCCAGAGGTTTCACGGCCACTTTACACACAAGCTTGGGCGCATTCTGGATGCTCTGCAGACCGCTATGGCCTAATGTTGGGATGCAGAATTACCGTATACACACAAACGTGCACAATGACGAATCCAAATACACACTGAAGAGCGAAAGGGAGTCGGTCTGTTTTGGGGTGAGGACTACTGTGGGCTGTTAAACCATAATGGCCCAGTGGGCCGTCATGGATTCCTGTTACACAGACGGCTGCTGGGAAACCATCAAGCTCTTTGTCATTGTTGTTGTTATTATATTATTATTATTAAATTAAGTTGGAATGTAAATCGTTCTATACCCTCATTCTACTTCTGGTAGTACTTGTATTTTGTTTAACCACCAGTATTTTACTGTTAACAAAGACTGAATATGGATCGGACAAAATGAATCTAACTTAATTTTTGATTTTGAACACTGCTCTTCATTCATAATATAAGGTGGAAAGCTACAAGCTACAACATATGTTATTCTTAACTTCATAAAACAAAACATGATAAACCAATGCATAGATATAAACGGTTCCGTCCCCAATCCAGACGGTTCGGTTGTTGTTGAACAAGAATCTGATATTTGTTGGAAAATATATATTTTCTTTATTTCCTGTTTGTTAAGGACGTCTTAGGTATATGTTTACTCAAAATTCAAATCTCTTTAAAAACCTCTGAAACTTGTTTTTTTTATTTTATTATAGAAAGGCTCCCTTTTTACATTTTCTCTCAAAGGAATGGAAGATTGTTACCTGGAAGTTTCACCGGACAATAATCGACACAATATATTTGTATAGATTATGATGTATTTTGTAATGCCAGTTATAATTTTTATCCCCATAATGTTACACTTTATGTACATTTCCTTTTTTTTGGCATACCAATCATTGAGTGTCAGTGTGCTGGTTAAAATTAAAAAAGTAGATTGACATATATATTTTTTCTAACGCTGGTTTGTCCCTGAGTTGAATGCGTCCGTCTGACTGCGTTATTTGTGTTCGGTTGTGTGTTCACTGCTTTTTTTACCCACTCTGTGTCAAAGATGTTTGTCTCTCCCTGACTCATCACTGTCTAATCTAGAGGTACCCTGGCCTGCAGATGGCGCCCTACGATCAAATTAGCCTCTAGCACATCTGCTTGTTGGGAATGGTTAAATATTGACCGAGGACAACCATCTAATTGACCCACATAAGCCCTCTTACTGGTTAATAGCATTAGCTGTCGAGCAGTTACTCATTCACTCATATTTATGGAAAATTTCTTGTTTTGTCCCCTCTGTCCTCTGGCGTGTCCTCCCCTGTATGGCCTAAGTCAAGAGAGATGAATGTGTTTTCGTCTCTAACCTGGAGGGGCATTGTGATTGGCGGTCGGGGGAAACCGAGGCCAATTTTAGAAGCCTTCCATCAACGGGACAAATGGCCGATGAATGAGATCATGGATTTCTCCTCAGATCAGAACGTCTCCTCTTTGCTATTGATCTTAACATTATTAACATTTTAACAGTATTTTTCAACAAATTCAGAAAATAAACTTGAAAAGAGGAACTTTAAGCAAAGTTGCATTTCAAAGTCCCGCATAAAATATCCATTTTATGTAAATGTAGAAATGTTTTATCAGCTCAATGTACGTATGAGCTGATACCAGTGATTCTGGAGTAATATGTCCCCTGTGACCTTCGTTATTATTGATGACATTATTGGATTATTTTATCTTTGCGTAACTAACATTGTACTGTAGTATATTCTTATGGTGAATTAGCTAAATATTTACACTTTGCTGGTTGAGTTGGTTCTAAAACTAGTTTTTTGAAACTTTTTTTCCTTCTTTTCAAGTTGTCTCTTTTCTGAAGTTTTTGGGCCTCAAATTGTCATTTAAATGAAAGAATATCAAGAGTCACCAGGACGAACTGTGCTTTTGGAAAACTGCTGTCAACTGAAATTTGCCATGGAGGCTCATTTGGCGACAGACTTTTTGGACTCTTTGGATACATATTTTGTGAAATTACCATAATCAGTTTTTTATATGAAATGTGTATCTGAAATAAGTAATAACCTCAATGGTGTATTTAAATACGGTGCATTAATAAATGTTACTCGCCACCGCTGCGCTCTTTGAAACTACACATGGATGTGTTCGGAATGGGTGTGACGGGAGAGCCTTTACCTTTGGGTAAGTTGTGAGCTTGCTGCAGACTTAAAGTTGAGATATCTGGGCCCGTTCCTGCGCTCCAGGCCGCTACATTTTGGATTAACAGATGCCACTTTGTGTTGGAGTGAGATAGGCCCCTCGGTCTATTCAGACAGCACACAGGTGCATAATGGAGAAGGAAAATAGTCATCAAGAAAAGTGATGGTTTGTGAAGAACCGTGTCCTCATTATAATTGAACAATTTGTAGCTGTTGTAGGATTAGTTTATTTCCCTTAAACTAATACACACAGCAGTGTCCCTTGATTAAATTGCGCCCTGCATGCTCTTAGTGCACTCGTGTCGTTTATTTGTGCGGGCGATGTTTTTTCCCTCTGCCACTGAAGTGTCTTGGTTAATCCCCCTTTTATTGTGAAAGGTTATTCTCTTCATGTTCCTAGCGCTGTCCATAAAGATTAGCCATTCCTGGAAAGACTTCCATTTTCCTCTCATTATTAGACTTCTGTTTCCTTTTGTCGGTCGGGCAGCTATGAGCATCTCTCCTCCATCTGAGGTGAAGAGGGTGTGTGCGCTGCGGCAATCACCCCAACACCAGCAAAGGGTCTGAAACTGGCAGTTCAATGGCAGATAATCCCAAGGAGTTTCTACTGTGTGTGTGTGAGCGCGCTCCAACCCAGCATGGGGTTTCTATCCACAGGTAGGCCAGATGCTACCTGTCATCTCCACTCAATCAGTGTAATCACTGACCTTTGTAGTAACACGGTTGTTTGCATGTCGTAGCGGAGGCAGGACGCGTGCCAGAAATCAAGATGGGTGAGTAGATTGAAGGTCTTTTTCTCCTTTCACCACCACCACCACACACCCCCCTAAACCCCTCCGTAATGAAAAAGTTAAAGAGGCGAGCCGGGGAAAGAGGTGTTAGTGGGAAGTCAGTCGTCCATATTCCTCTTTTTCACTGGGGCACCAGTGTACGGTCGGTGTATGTGTGCGTGTGAGTGTCCAATGCACAGCTATGATCTCCTGGCCGATACACTATCAGCGTGCCGCAGCTGTCTGGGGGGGCGGTTGCGGAAAGAGGAAGCTCTAACAGTTACCACACAGCGAGTGAATCTGCATTCTGGGTTTTCCTGCCAACTTGCGATGTGCAAAGGATTCCTGGGGAAACACATGAGCTCTGGTCCACTGATCGTTACCTGGGAGTCAGACATGCACAGAGGTGTGTAGTCTGACCCTCATATTCCGAGCTTTAAGACAAAGGAGCAAAACAATGTGTACGTTAACAGAATGTACACGTTTTTCCTGGTCGGGGTGAACTGTTTTTTGGAAATTTTACATATTAAATGTTTCACCTTTTCACCTCAGTGTTGATATATCAAGACTGTTTCAGTGGTTAACTTCAATGAGGGCCTACAAGCACAAGCAGCGTTGGGTTGAGTACTCCGATATTTTACTTGAGTAAATGCAGCAATACTAAGCTGAAAGTGTTCATGATGCAGAACGCTCCACTTTACAGTAACGTAATAGCAGTTCCTGATGCATTTCAGTGTAAGCATCAATTCAAAGCTGCTGAAATTACGATTCGGAGTACTAAGGACGAAATCACTTTGTGTTTTGTAGTCCAACCATCTCTATGCTCTGTTGACGTAGCTTGGCCGGCCTTTTCAGTCTCTTGTACGAGGTTCTCATTTGGCGGTTGCAGCTGATTAGGCCGCCCAGAGTCCTCGCTGAAGCTTGTAGGCCCCCTTCAGGTTCCCCCTTCAGATAAATGTAGGGTAGTAAAATGCATATAGAGTACCAAGGGGAAGGATGCATAAATTAAGAGACACATCTTATCCAGGGCTTGTGGTGAAATTGTCTGGAGTTTCTAAGATTGAAAGATCGGTAGTGGATCCTGAAAACCTCCTTCTTAATCTCACTTTACAACAACAAAACAGGCTGTGTGACTATAGTTGGGATACGTATAGGGAATTTCTTAAAGATCATACCATGATTTAAGTGGCATTTAAAAATCTTTACCTTTGGCAGCCTGGCAGTGTTTTGCTTCGGCCTGTGAAAGCTGGAGTGGAGATATGAGTTGTTAAAATACCGGCGGTATTTCATAAATTGATTGGCATTATCCAGAAATAGGCTGCTAATATTGGTTGAGTGCTTTCTTGTCTTGTATTTAAAAAGTCATTAGTTCCTCATAGGTGGAAATAGAGTATTGATGAACTACTGCATTGGCCCTAATGGTTTGGGTTTGGTTTTAAATTGTAATTGAGGTTAGATAATGTATAATTTATGATAGAGGTTAATGGCTTTCAGTTGGCTTCTGAACTAAAAACAGATCGGAAAAGTGGGATTAGAAAGTGGTCACGTACAGCCAACAGACAAAAATGCAAAATAACAAAAAGCTTAGTTATCACAATCTATGAGAAAACACATTTAGTCAACCTCTCACATCTGCTTTTTTAATTGTAATTAGATATTAAATGTAGTTCTTTACTACTGTCCTAAAAAAATATACATATCCACGCTATTTGTACCAAGTCAAAAGTGATTGCATATTTTTGTGCTTCATCATTTCCTTCTTTCAGAACAACGGTAGAAATCTACACGTCACTTTGATTTTTCAAAATTAAACAGGACCTCCACAAAGAAATTGCAACTCCTCACGTTATTTCATTGTATCTTTTTTTCTGTTTTCTCCACTTTAAAATGAATGTCATTTTTTGGTGGGTCCTTAATCACACACACACAAATAATAATCTAAAACCACAACACAGATATTTCCTTTTTAAATGGCATCCCTGTGTTGAAGGTGTACATACACGCAGAGAGGCTGTCACGCCGAGTTGTGTTATCACGCCTCACGCGGCGGAGGAGCCCCGTGTCTCTTTAAATGCGGGCCGCGTAGATCCTCCATGAATGAAACCACGTGACCCAAACATCGTTTGACGTCTGGCGCCTCCGACCAGAGACTAAAACAAGCGGGGAAGGAAGGAAGGAGTGGATTCATGTATGTAGCCCTGCGGAGGAAAGACACGCACGCGTTTCTCCATCGGGTCTCTCCTCACCCGGGTCCAACGAACCATCGGTGAACCCACAACCTGCGAGGGGCGAAAGTCGCTTGGTTTGACTTCTGGTGAGTCGGTTTGGTTATAAATCAAGCATTTGCATTTCTTTCAAAAGTGCTGAATGTAGCGGTGTTGTTTTGCTGAGTGTGCGCGGCCGCCCTCCGCCGTCACCGCCGCGCCGGTGCCCGTCGCTCGTCCCGCCGAAACTCCCCGGCAGCTCCGCCGGGCCGGTGGTGCTGAATCATCCCGGTCCGGCCGTCGTCCGCACTGTGAGCCGCCGCCGGGAGAGCCGGTCGGTCTGAGCGGAAAAGCCACGCCGACCGACCGAGCAACCGACCGGCCGGCGCCTTCCCCCCGTAACAACACAGACAAAGAGGGGGCGCAACGTCACGGCTGTCAAGCTTCACAAAAAGAAGAAGAAGAAGAAGAAGAAGAAGAAGCCATGTGTCGGAATTAGGAGCGCGAGCGCGGGGTCGGGGGGCTGTTTTGCGCCGGTGGAGCGGTCGGGGATTCCCTTGTTCGGTGGCCACTAAATGCCGCGACATTTAGAAAAAGGTTGAAAGTAAGAATAGCCGAGGGAGGAACCTCCGCCCCGACGCGGCGTGACGCCTTAGCGCGGCGAAACCCACACGACGACCTCCGCGTTTAGCCCCTCCGACTGTCCGCTCTCTCCGGGTGCTGAAGCGGCCGCGGCGGACACGCGCAGCCCGCAGCCGCCTCCTCCTCGCCGGCGGCGGACTCGTCTGTGGCTCCGTCGCCTTCTTCCTCCGGTAAGACGCGTGTCCGTTAAAGTGTGCTCGGGTTGTTTCACTGTGTTTACGGTTTACGTTTCATTTGTTTATTTATTTATTTAAATCCTCCTCCGGACTCCCGGGGTTCACGTTTCGCCCGCTCGCTGCCTGCGTGCTGAGTCGGCGTTGTGACAGAAGTAAACATGTGTAATGTGTAAATAAAGCAAACAAAAATCCGGCGGACAGCGGTAGACAACTCCGGCCGACACCGCGGTGTTGGTAAACCAGCCGGCCGTCAGGCGGTGACTCTGCTTTTGTGTCAGACGTCTGCTCGTCCGACGGACCGTCTGTTCGCGTATCTATTAATCGACATTCGGTGCTCCATTTATGTCACATACACGGGCGGCGGGTTAAACAGGGCAGAGGAACCGTCTATTTCCTGGTTGCACGCCGGCTGGACAGAGATGCTGATTCATCACAACGTTGTTATTTCTCAAGGTTTGCGCGAGCGCAGCGGAGGCAGGAGGGAGCCATGGCAACAGCGAGGCTCGCTCCGTATCCGAGGCTCCGGCTCTGAGGACGTTGACGGCTTTATGGGATGATCAGAGCTGTCGGTGTGTTGCAAAAAATCTCATCAGTACTTACGTTTTCGTTCAAAGACGTTTACGTTTCCCCTTAAAGTGGCCTTAGAGCAAACATGAAGAGCGCGACCAATGGCGTGATGCACAATGCAATGACGATTATTTATCAGATTAATCTGGTTTTATTTTTATTTTTTTCTGGTTGTGACTTGAATAAACCCTTTATGGCACTCTGACACAGCTGATACCTGCTGTCCATGATGTCTTGCAGTGACCTCACTCACCTTTTCCCCCAATAGTCAACAAATAATTAAAAAAAAGCCCTCTTTGCCAGTGTAACATTTATTTGGACAATAACAGATAAAAGCCAGAGGGCAGGAGGCATTCCCATGTCTGTTTAATATGGAGCATTGACTGCTCATGAACCCGCACAGAGACTTCGCCTCAACGAACTCTATGCAATGCAACAGAATATCCTCTGATTGATCTCTTGTGGATGGGCCATTATCTGCTGCCTCCTAGCAACCTATGAGTATTGCAAGAGGAGTAATCTGGAAGCTCTGTGGGCTCAAGAAAAACACAAACTTCACACCCTAATGACTCCATATCAGCAGCTTTAGTTCGAGTCAGCACTCTGCGGAGTGTATCAAAAGTATGTAGTAAGCAAGTTGGCAAGTACTGTAATAGAGGGTCATAATGATGAAACAGTTGAATCAGTATTGGAGAGGAGAGCACCCCCCCCCCCTCACTGTCTTTCTCTCTCACACACACACACACAACCAAGGGGCTAAACTTTTTATACTCGGTATCAGTATTTAATCAGTGCTTGAAGTGCATTTCTCTGTCAAGTACTTTCCCCATCCTTCCCTGGTGTTTGCGGTAATTGAACGCTGACCAATGCTTATGTGTGCAACTTTGCTGATGGTGGCGAAGCGGCAAGGCGCGCGGAGCAAGGGGGATGAAGGAAGAGGGAGGAAGAATGAGAGATGGGATTTGCGGAGAGATTGAGAACAAGGACCTTTTTGTCTTCAAGGCATTCCCCTGAAAATGCTGAGGCGAAGCAAATAATCTCTCGCTTGACAGATGGCGTTTTCACTTGTTACTTACCACAGCTAGTTTCTTTGCCTTGCCATGTGCGCGCACGTGTGTGTGTGTGTGTGCACGCGCGTTAGTGTGGAAAAGAGAAGGCAGGGTATGTCAAACACCTATCAGATGCTAGTTGCAGTGTAAGAGCACATGTGTGTTAACAAGGGTTAGAGAGAGAGTTGACTGCAAGATGTTGAAAGAAGATGCAATGGGAGGTGGTTTTACTATCCGTTGGTCATTATGGCATTTTGCATTTGCCATAATGCCAAGTAATGAGTGCTAATATAACTTCTCATCAGAGCTGTATGTGTTTTGCTGTGTGTGGGTGGGACCATAAAAAACAATTTTTGATTCTCTGCATTTACAAGGGAGAAGTTGATGTAACGCTGAACCCTACCTCTGAAAGGAAGATTTGCACAAATGTTGAGAGCTGAAATGATCAGTTGATTAGGAAAATTAGGGAGAAATATTTTTTTATAGTCAAGGTTTCAGTCTCTTCTGAGTGAAACGTCTTTGTAGACTGATGGTGAGATGAAACAAGCTGATGAACACCGAAACTTCAGCTTGTGATTTATGCAATTAAAATGAACATTTTTGACTTTCTTTGGCCTTTAATTTGCTAATCCGTTAATCCAAAATATTACTTATCAATGGTGAAAATAATTATTAGTGTTGTGTTAAAATCTTTCTCTAATTTGCGATGTATTTGTTTTTCAGTGATGTATGACAAAGAATCGCAGCAAATCCCCTCTTGAAGACGCTCGAATCAAAGGTTTCAGTAACTTGCTTGAAATTAATGATTTTAATCCAAAAACTATCATTCAGTGATTTATTGATAATTTGCTTCAGCTCAAAGAAGTGCACAAGGAACACACATGCAACATAACACAAAAGGCAATTGCCTATTGTAAAAATCCCCGGGAAGCTAATAATGTTGTACTTTAGTCAAACTGCCAGTGTGATCGGTGTCTGAGAGGCCGACATTTACCAGAACGATTGACAACCTACTTTAAGGAATGTGAAAGGTTTTTTTTTTGTAAACCGTCCCGTTAACAAAATAAGGTGAATGTCTGAAACGTGTCACTGTTTATTTTAGTTGTGTCGAATAGCAGAAGACATTTTAGAAAGGTCGCCTTTTATTGCAGGACTATCGTACTGGATTGCATTAGATTGCACAGGTGTTCACATTATTGTGTCCATCTCCTGTGTGTGTGTGTGTGTGTGTCTGTTTGAGAGAGAGTTTGGTATGAGTGGAAATCATGCGTGTTTATGACCTTGTTTACTGCTGGGATCCTTTTTTTATTAAGTGTTGTATTTTTGCAAATTTCCGGGAGTGAGAGAGAAGTAAAGAAAGTAAAAGCAGGATTGAAAGACGGAACGGGCGAGTGGGTGAGAGAGAGAGAGAGAGAGAGAGAGAAAAGGAAGCAGATCAATAGTGGAGTGTTTCTTCTCCACAGTAATGATGAAATGTGGTGTAAGCAGATCTAGTGCATAATCATTGCTGTGCTCTGTTTTTCCTGCTCCGTGTGAGTGTGCTGCATGTCCTTGTGTTATTTTGACTTTGTGTGTTTGTGTGTTAAATCTACCTTCCATCCACAAGTGTTTTCACTCCTTATTTACAAAACCTCCTTGAGAACCGAAAAATGTACAAAACCCAGATAAAAACCTACGGCAGCAGACACCGGCGAGATGCCAAGAGGATGAGAAATTAAAAACACGATTAATTCAGTTTTAGTGGTTCCTATTACCGATCCAACCCTCTGACCCGAAATGTATTGAAACAACAATATTAGAAAGCCGCTGTTCTGTATCAACGATCTCTCTGTGATCAGCACTTAAAAGTTTCCACGTTTCCCCTTAGCGGACTCCTGCGTTTCCCACACATTCATAAATAAACGCGTTGAACTCCATACCAGAGCAATGGTTTTGTTGTGCGTGCAGTGCGGAGATATGGAGAACGAAGCTGTGGAGTAGTAACAGGAGTATCCGTACCAGAGGTTGTCTGCTGCTTGCATCATCTCCATGCGCCAAATTGCCGCATTTTTTAACTGCAGTGTGACGATCCCAGAATTGGGGTTTGAATTTCTGAACCTATTTAAAACAAAAATACATACACACACGCATCAACACACACACACACACACAGCGCGTGGATCAATGCAGAGGAGCGGCGAGAGGGAACAAATGTACGTGTGTGCCTCAACTCTTTGCCTTCACCTGTGGAAGTTTGGAAAGTTCCCTTCTCGTATTTCAATCCAATGCATCTCTTGTATATTTGTTTGACCTTTTGGATACAAAGGTCACTATAGACCCGCAGCCAACTTTTTGTCTATTCAGCAGATAAGTTGTTTAGTTTATGAAATTTCATTTAAAAAAAAAATGCCAAACACATTGATCACCATGTGATCCTCAGATGTTTGTTTTTGTCCAGTCAACAGTTCCCAACTTATAGATATTCAATTTCATCACCAGCTGGAACCTGGTCGTCCTATAGAGTTTCCTAAAGAATGACTTAAAGGATTAATTGGAAGTCGAAGACAGTTTTTTGTTTTTTTTCAATTGATCAACACATTGATTAATCAACCTCACCTTTCAGCTCTAAAGCTGACAAAGCTGGAAGACAAAAAAAACAGAATTGTATAACACAAGGTTAATCTTGATTTATTTTTAGTGTTTACTGGAGACCAATATATTATTAAATGAGCGCAAACGCAGAAACAGACCAATTGGTTAATGTGCACACACCAAAGTATTTGAACTATCTATACAAACGGCCTTTATGAAGGAAAATGGGCTTTGTGAAGAATGCTACCGTCCTGTGAGTGTGTTTGTTTGTCCCCCCTTAAAGTGGCAGCACATGTGGGACCTGCAAATGGTCTCAATGAAGGCCTCTGGTAAAAAGCCCCCCCCCCTGTCCTCCATGACACCTCCGGGAGCTACAATCTCCTCTTGTTTGTGTGTTGAATGTGTGTCTCTGATGTCACCTCCCTCACGTGACTGACACACGATGCGTGGGTCCCCACAGACGCACAACAATGTTTTGTTTGGGGCCAAACTTTTCTCTCAACTTGGCAGTGCTGACAGCGTCCGGGGGAAATAAACATGAACGTCGTGTTTTTATTTATCGCTGTCTCCCTCACCCACAAAGAGAGGACTTCTCCTACGGGACATGCTTCACTCCTCTAACAGAAAAAAAGCGCTTATGAAAAAAAGGAGCCAGAGCTCAATTGCCCTGACGGTGCAGTTTTTTTTTTTTTTTTTGCTTGTGTTGGGAAATTTGTCATCACACTCCGACTTACTACCTGGAATGGGGGGAAAAAAACGTGTCGACGGCAGGACTTTTTTTCGTGCCTTTTTAATAACACACTTACGTACGCACACGCACACACTTAACCGGCGCGCGCACGAACACGCACCCCCTCTGAGCACTCAGGAGAGTGTGAAAGTGATCTCTCTTCTCTCGCCTTTATATTATAATATGCATATGAGGGGCCTCCTTTGCAACCCTTTCCCCGTGTCTCCTCCTATGTTCCCCTCACTGTCCGTGTTATCGTGCTTATTTCACGCTCTGCGTACTTCCTGGTTAATAGCCTCCCTCTGCACGGACACGGCTCAGAGTGGCGTTCGGTTTTCCTCCCCTCACCTTCTCCTCGTGGCCCTGCATCTCCGGGCCCCCCACCCCCACCCCATGTACACAGGTCGCCATTATCGCTCATCCGATTCCTAATTCTCAATTAGCCTGCGCACGCGGTGCTCGTTGTTTGTCATCCGCCGACTCCCTCAACGCCCGCGGCCCACGCTCCATCAGCGAGGGCAGTTTTTTATTTTTTTTGTTGTAAACAAAGCCAAGGTGGACTGCAGCCGGGGGGGGGGGCGAGTTTTATGGCGCTCTGAGGTTTTAATTCACGTTGCCCACATTTAGCTCCCTTTGTGTCTTTCCATCATGTCCTCTCGGTGTCCTCGCCGCCTCACTCGGCTGCCATCCTTTTGTGTTCTCCATTATTGCTCAGAGAGTTGCCTGAGGGAGGAGGCGCAGTTAAGGCAGGTGTTATGATGCGATTATTCGAATAAAGGCCGTCTTGCCACTGCATCACAACCGACGTGTGACTCTCACGGCCTGTTCTTGATCACTCGCTATACGCTAGCTTGTTTATGCCTGCATCCACCCACACAAACACACACCAGCCCCCGGGTCGCATTTGAAGCGTCTTATCTGGCGATTTCCCTCTGTGTGTGTGTGTGTGTGTGTGTGTCGCTGTGTGTGTGTGGCTGTGTGTGCTATGACTCTCCCGACCATCGGCACCAGCTATTATAGTAGGACCTCCTCTCTTCTAGAAAATTTCTCTCTCTGTGTGTTGGCAGCGAGCAAAAGGTTCTCTCAAACAAGATTAATTAGAGCTCCGTCTAAGGCCAGACGCTCACACACACACACACACACACACCGTGCACCTTCATGTGCACTACACGAAGGAAGAGAGTCCTGCTTTAAGTCCCTCACTTCAATCTATCTCCATGAACCCCGCGATCGCTGTGTTCACCCACTGTCTCACAATCACTCTTGTTTTCATCCCGTCTCCTGGACTCGACTTGCCGAGGCGACGGCGCGTACGTGGAGGAGAGAGACGGATGGTCAGCAGGAGTTTCATTCCACCTCTTCGGTTGGAAACATTTTCTAATGGGGGTTTTTGTTGGTGGGGCTCGGGAAGCCCGGTTTTTTTTTTTTTTTAGGCCCAAGAGTAACAAATGGTCTTGCCCCCCCCCCCCCCACAACCCCCTCTGTACCCAAGAAGCTAAGTTCTAAAAAATGTGTGGAGAATGAATTTTCACCAAAACGTTTTCCCGCCCCCCTTATACCCCCCCCCCCCCCCCCCCCCACACACACACAACCCCTTGCATCCTGTTCCTCCTCAACGCTCACCTCTGTCCCCCTCCTCTCCTCCTCCTCCACCCGACTCACTTGCCTCTCTCTTTTTCTTCTCCTCCTTCTTCCCTTGTCATTTGCACCCGTCCTCCCTTCATACTCAGCATTTTTCTCGGCTGTGGGTGTGATGTCTCCGCTGTAACGCTAATCAGCTTTGGAGACGTCAGCATTCTTTCAGTCCTCCTTCACCAACTCCAACCCCCCCCCACCTCCTCTTCACTTACCAAGTCTCACCACGCCATTTATCCTCCTCACTTTCTTATCTTTTCTTTGCTCTTTTCTAGCCGTATTGCACTCATCTCCACCTTTTCTTCCATCCCTGTCCCCATGTATTGTCCTCCTTGTGTGTGTGTGTTGTCTCTCCACTGTGAGCAGCTCTGCTCCTGAGTTGTCAGCATTCTTTCATTTGCTCCATAAAAATACAGCCTGCAACAGCAGAAAAGCTGTCTGTTGTAGCAACGGTGGCTGTGGCATTGACCAGACCGCAGCGACCACCCCGCAAGCATTATGGGAAGGACACCTCTTGCACTGTGTGTGTGTGTGTGTGTGTGTGTGTGTGTGTGTGTGTGTGTGTGTGTGTGTGCGCCCTAGATGAATGGCGATGCCTTCGCTCAGCAGATGATCCTTAACCTGGATGACTTACACATGGCCTGAGCTCTCAGACAACACACACACACACACACAAATGAGTTCATTGCAGTTTTATGCTTTGGCGTAGGTCAGTTTTATAACCTTGATCAAATAACCCTAAACTTAATTTACTCTCCTGCTCTGCAAGTTTAATAACACCGCAAGTACCACTTCACTAGCTATAACAGCGGGTATTTTGTTCAAGCAACAAACAAAAAAAAATCAATTAGTTCAAGCTTCTGAAATGTGAAAAAAAATGCTATGGTCTGCATACTGTCTGTAGCTAAGACAACGGCAGACATCTATAAATCTATAGACTTCTTTACCAATCTATCTACTACAAACCTTTTGTTCACCTGCAGCAATTCCATTTATCTAAGATATTTTAATTATGTGTTGTCAAATATGGAATAAAACCTCTGAACAGTACATGCATGGTTCAGAGGTTTTATTCCAAACTCTATTTCTGCATGTAGTAAAAGTATTGTTAGGCACTTAAAACAAAACTACATTTGCATTTTTATGTGCTTGCAGCAGAGCATTTTCCATGTGTGTTTTATTGTGCCCCACTGGCATGGCAGCAGGGGAATGTCTGTGTGTGTGTGTGTGTGTGTGTGTGTGTGTGTGTGTGTGTGTGTGTGTGCTTTGCTGGCATGCTTTTTGTTTGTATGTAGATGGTGTTGTGGGGGGGTTTGGGCACAGGGGAAATAAACCAGTGCCTGGCAGGAAAACCGCCTCTCCCCCTCCTCTCCTCCAGCCCCACCCCCAACAGCCACCCTCGGTCTTCATGTCTTTGATCCATCTATTATGCGATGCACCTCCAGCTGTAGGAGGCTGCGTGACATATCGCAAACTGCAGTGGCTTTTTTGATTTGTTTATCGAGAAGAAGCTCCACATACACGCGGGGAAATGGAGGTCCATTTTAATTGCCTTAGCCTGACTCATTAAAGAATGCTTAAAGTTCCCATGTGAGGAGAAGTGGAGCATCACTGCTCAGTGTTTCCCCCGGGTCACAACGCCACACGGACATATTCGCCACGGGTCAGTGTGTATTTTTAATTCCACACATTTTCACCACACTGTTATAATGGTAGTGGAAGAAACTGCTATTCCTCCACATTTTTCATAATTCCACTGAATTCCTGTCTGAGTTTGGCCTTTCTGTGCATTTGATGGGCTTTGTATTGCACGTGCTATTACTTGCATGTGTCTGTAGCATACATTTAACATTGATCTACAGCTATTTATAACTGTGGGATTTGTGGCAGCGCTTGCACAAACACTCACGCACCCTCAAAGACTGACAGAGGTGCATTGTGGGGGAAGTTCAATGGCACGCTCGGTTTGACAGAAAAGAATAAGAATGAAACAAGAACAGAATTGTTGCCTCACGTCTTAACTTCCTTTAAAGATTTTTAAATTTCCCAACTTGTGAATGCAATATTGCATTACTTACTTTTTTACATATTACATTACATACATGTACATTTTACATTGGAAGACAACCGTCCTTACTCAGAAAATTGTTCTAACAAAACGTCTGATTCAGCAGGTTAGGAAGGCTGATAGATAAGCAGGTGCATTTGAGGACCAATCAAATGTAAGCACATGTCCTTGTTGACCCCGCAAGCCCTGAGCTTGCAGCTACATTTTTGGCAAACCCTCATCTTTTCAGGAAAGTAGGTTGATGGTTGTATGTGGCGTAACAACAGAGATGTGAGGGGTGAGGGGATGAGCAGAAATGTTGTGTGTAAGGAGGGAGAGGCGAGGTGGGGGGTATCGAGAGGAATCTGCTGAATCACCATGACCGGTTTCATGATGATCGCTTAGCAGCAGAAACAATAGCTGCTCTTTATTGAGCATGCACACACACACACACACACACACAGTCACACACACACACAGTCACACACACACACAGGTCTGAGAGATGAGAGCCAGATCAGCGCGCCACACAATGCATCTCATTGAGAGCTGGTGCAGACGCTGATCTGTGGAGCTGGGCGCTCCGAGGTCTGATCTCATCTTCTGCCCTTCCAGGCTTTGTCTTTGTTGACTCTCTGGTTTGCCTCCATCCTTTTGTCTCCTGTTCCTTCCGCAGTACAAATGTTTTTACACCGTTTGGTTTGCCTTCATTTTAACCCAGAGGAGGGGAAAGCGCTCTGTTTTTCTACTTCTCTGCTGTCTGCACACTGTGTGTGTGTGTGTGTGTGTGTGTGTTGTGTGTTTGTGTTCGGGCTCTAACAGTTTGTTTTCCCCTGGAGTGCTTCCCACAAATTTGACCACTTCCTCTTGCTTTTACACTCGTTTCATTCCTATTGGCGTGAAACCAACCAATAAGAGATCAACAACAGAACAAAGGTAGTGGGCACTGCAGGGTAACCACCATGTAACAGGAAGTGAGGGAAATTCGAAGAAAGGTTTGTGCATCACTTTTATTCACACACTGTGACAGAGATGCGTGATCCTGTGACATTCTCACACCACAGGGCTCCAAAAGTGGATTCACGTTGGGCCTGTCTCCACTGACCCTGGTGGGTATTGACACACAGTAACTATGCTCTTATTGATCTTGAGGAACCGTTGTTGTTCTTCCAAACACATAACCGTGGCTCGTGATTGTATTTCTTTACGCCGTTACTAGAACTCGCTCTCCTCGTGTGGTCTCCCTTTGCTCACGTTTCGCACTCTTGTGCGTCTCCGCAGGTCTGTTCAGAAGAGCAAGGCACTTGTGGCATGACGACGACTAACAAAGGAAATAAAGCCTTGAAGGTAAGCGAGTGACTGTTTCACTCCGAATTCCCTTGTGTTTCGCTCCGTCTCACTCACCTTCACTCGCCTTTCCCCTGCAGGTGAAGCGCGAGCCAGGGGAGAATGGCACCAGCCTCACAGACGACGAGCTGGTGACCATGTCCGTGCGGGAGCTGAACCAGCACCTCAGAGGGCTCACCAAAGAGGAGATCGTGCAGCTGAAGCAACGGCGGCGCACCCTGAAGAACCGGGGCTACGCCGCCAGCTGCCGGGTGAAGCGAGTCACCCAGAAGGAGGAGCTGGAGAAGCAGAAGACCCACCTGCAGCAGGAGGTGGACAAACTGGCCAACGAGAACGCGTCGATGAGAATCGAGCTCGACGCTTTGAGGTCGAAGTACGAGGCGTTACAGACCTTCGCCAGGACTGTGGCGCGGAGCCCCTCCGTCGGGGTCGGGGTGAGGGCGGGCGGGGGCGCAGGAGGAGGAGGAGGAGGAGGAGGAGGGGGAGGGATGGCGTCATCGGTCATTGGTCCACTCATACCGGGGAAGATGGCAACAGCCACGAGCGTAATCACAATAGTGAAGTCAAAAACCGATGCGCGGTCTTGAGGAAGGGGACGATGGATGAGGGCGGGTCGGGTGCGGCGGCTTAATCCTTCCTCTCTGCCGGCCACCTTTCCTCCACCTGCACTGACGTCAAACAGCGAGGCAGTCTTCACCACTAGGCCTCAGCATGTTCCTGTCACCTGTCTCAGATCAGTAAAAGTGGAGTAAAGGACGGAAGCAGAGGAAGATTATTGGGACCATAACGATGGAGGTCAAGGCGCAATCGCTCAGCACAGGACCGACACACGGCATTCCTACGGTCACTGAAAGGTCGGGAAAGTCAAAGGAGTTGAGATTAGTTTTAATCCAGGCCATGGCAGGAGGGGGTAATCCCAAAAATGTCAATGCCCGAGACACTCAATCATGTAATTTTGTTCAGTTGCTATTTATGTGAGTCAGGTGTTTTACTGCTGGTAGATCAAGATGTCTGTAAATTCATAATCTCGCATAAATGCCCACTAGATCTGAAGTGCTTGTTTCCCCTCAAATGATGATGTAGAAGATGTGAGTTTAAATTTGTTTGTCCTACATAAAAATATTCTAATATTAGCATTGCATATATGTTAGACAAAAAAAAAGATGGTATTAATGTATTAGTCATAGAATTTATTGGATTAAATTGACACAAGTGTTGGGTCCCTGAGCTCCAAAAGAATTCACTAGCTTTCATGTGGCCTGTTGGTTTCAGTGGCTGAAGAGAAGTCCTGTTATGCTCGACCCAAGCCAAAAACCTTTTCACAAAAGAACCATAGAAATATATATAAATACTACACGGTGGTAACTGTATTTTTACTGTTTTGTACTGTGTTGTCATGCACATGAGGTCCAAAGTGTATTCTCTGTGTGTCAACTGTTATATATCAGGAATTCTGTGAAATTCTGTGGCGCGTGTTGGTTTTGGTATTGCTACATTTAGTTAGCGTTCATTTTTTTTTCCACGGTTTGTTCACTTCCTGTGTCCAAGTTCCTCTCGCCTGTTCCATCTCATTCAGTTTTGATTTCAGCTGGTTCCCTTCATTACATATAGTACTTCCTGGCAGAACAACACAGAAAGAGGAGGGTGGGGGAGGGACAAGGCAATTGATATTTAGCCAAAAAAAACATGCTATAGACAGAAGGGGATAAAGTCTTATCTAAGTTTGTAGGGTTTTTCAGGGAAATGGCAATTTCAAAATGTGAGCTTCTCTCAAAGTATTCAAGATGATTGGAAGGGCAAGTGCCTTGGTCTCCTAAAGATATGCATCAAGAAGAAGGGAAGAGGACAGTGGGGATTCAGCGCAGGTGTTTGCCTGTACCTGTGCTTAATGCTTAATGTGAAACATTGCCCAGTCAGGAATCAGGTCGTGACAGCATTTACCTGTGCGTTGCTGTGTAGTAGCAGGTTTAATGATGTTAAGTACACCCGTTTGTGCCACTTGGCAGTATATTTACAAAGTGTCGTCATAACAGCTCCACTTTCTTGCACAGGACATCCTTTTTTGTTGAGTAAAGTACATAAATAGTTTTTTATGTAAAATACTTGGTGTGCATGTTTATGAGTTTGATTGTCAACCGAATGGGCGCATCTGGGTTATTACACCAACAGCAACATTCTGCCCTCAAATCAAAGTGCTTTATGTTGCAGTTGTTGCTTTTAACAGCAAAAGTCGCTTTGCGAGTCCGGGTGTGACTTTGGACGGTGCGGTCGGCCAGCAGAGACATCGCTCTGAGTTCCCTCATCTCACCAGAGTCCCACCATAGTCTTACGTGGTGTTCTGTACTCCAAGAATCCGTTGTCGATGTCTGGTCTCGAGTCTGGAATTTTATAAAGACAATTATCTTTCCATTGTTTGTAACGACCTGTAAAAAAAAAAAAAAAAAAAAAAAAGGAATAACAAAATCACTTTGATATACAGTGTGTCTCTATTTTGCAATTGTACCAAAAGTGGCTTAACTACTGAATAGCTTTGTTTTAACTCTAGTGACTAGGCACGTGTGTGTTACCGTGAACTAGCGTGTGCTGTGCTGTGTAGGTATGTGACGAGGTCACTGTAACGTTCACTGTTTCATGGAAGTGACTCGGATCCTGGATGGACATCAGGCCGAGGCGGGTGATGTCACGGTGGGTCACTGCGCTCTTTCTCTAATCATAAGACCCTCGTCCTCGCGGCCTCATCATTCAGCTCCAGCACTGAACATCTGTTGGATCGGCTCTTTTTGCCGCTCGTTGTCCGCACTCACAACTTGTACATTCTCAAGTGGACTTCGGCAGAGCCGCGTGTCGCTTCGGTTCTACCCCGTGGTTTTATCTTGGTCATCCGAAGCGTTGGAAGCTCGTTCTTGGCGGTGCAATGACTGACGGGAGGAGGAAGTGAGACGGTGAACCTCACAAGCTTCAAGCTGTTGTGTGTTCCAAGGCATCAGCGATGGGACCCTTAACAATGGGCCCCAATGGCTGCATCGCCCCTACTTATTTTTCTAGTGTGTGGGGGGGAAAAAAAATGTTTTTGATGTGCAGATTTTATATAGTTCTGTATATATAATGTTCCTGTTTTGTTTGTTTTTTGAATTGTTCTGTAAGTGTCAGGGAAGTGAAACTAATTTGTTAATGTATTTGATGTTTTATGAAGTGAAAAAAATGTATTACGCTATTTAATGGTTTGTTTGTCAGAGAGTTGGGTTTACTTCACAAATTGTTTTGTTTTTTACCTAATGCTGTTAATTTACCGAAATATAATCAACAGTAGCCTGCGTACATGCAGCCTTTCACCTGAACCACTTCTTTTCCACTGTGAAGTAAAAAGGGTTAACTAGCCTACTGCTGTGCAGTTATTAAGAGTAGCGAGGTTTTGTCTCTATCTGCATTCATACAATATCAAACAGGTGACAACGGCTTTGGAAGGGAAATGGGTTTGAGATTTAAAAATAGGATTTCTCCATAATCTTAACACTGGTTTGCAGGTTCAGTCGACCGTGAAATGGTTTCACGTCTATCATGTCACGCCACAGGAATATACTCCAGGGTGTTCAGCTACGAGCAAATATAGATATGGCACCCAGTATATTTATGTATGTGTTTTCTTTTTAATTTGTCACGTTTCCGCGGTCAGAATGCTATTATTTGATTATCTCGATTTTTTGTTGTTGTTGTTTTGTTGCTTCCTGTCTGTATCGCTCGTTTGCTTGTTGAAAGACGTTTGTTCGCTCGCAGGTATAGTGAGGTGTTTGTGGTCATGGTGGTGTGAAATAGAAAGAGACGCAACTAAGCTTTGTTTGGGTCAGTTAAAGTGTTTGTACTGAAAGTGCCACTGTCAAGCTGCATGCATGTCTATGCTCCTCTTCTCTCAGTTGGATGTGTACTATGGAAGCACAGATGTGTCAACTTGGCGGCTGCTGTTTCATAGACATTTCTAATTATGCAAACTGTGCAAGGCAGAATTAGAACTCCTGCCGCACAGGAGCAATGATACCTTCGTTGTGGTCGTGTCAAGTTGTCTGTTTTATAATTGCAGGTATTTGCATCATGTGACAGGGTTAAAGAGCTTATATACTGTGTTTAAAATGTATTCTTGGTCTCTGTTTAAATCGGGCTTGTCTTTGTCACTTAACAACTAACTGTGAAAACATCAAATCAAAAATGTTTTATCCATTTCCAATTCAGAACGAGGCAAAGTAGCTGTGATGCAATGCCTGCAGTCCGACTGAACAAGATCATTATTTTTGTCTTCCGGGACGAACATTTTGTGGTTATTTTATTCCTCTGATGTGAAGCTCTGCGTCATGTCAGGGTGTTAGTTCTCTAAACAAGTGAGGTGAAACATTTCAGGAATCAGGAAACATTTATTGCCAAAATATGTCAAATGTACAAGGACGTCTTAGCGGTTGGTGCGTGACAGTAGACAGTGTAACAATAGACAACAAGCAGTGCACAAGTAATAAAATAAAATGAAATTCGAATGCAATGGGTTAGTAGAATAAGGCTATGGGTTAGTATAAAATAAGAATAAAGTTAAAAAAAATATATATTTAAAGTTAAAAAATATTAAAAATAAAGTGCACCATCGAACAAGTGACAGTGACGAGTGAGAAATGACATGATTTCAGAAGTTTCTTTGCGAGTTTTCACTGTGCAGATATGATCAGCTGACCAGTGGTGACCAATAGCAACCATCAAACAACGCAGCTCGGTAGTTTTTAGTTGAGGAGCTTGACAGACGCGCTGACCTTATTTTCGCGCGGCCTGTACAGGGGTCATAACCTCCTTATGAAAAGACGCCGCCCCTCAAACCCGAGCGACTGCTCTTAAACCAAACATGTGATGGAGACACATCTGATGAAACGCTTTCCCCTCCACTCATCCCATCCATTTTTACAAGTGTCTGCCAGTTAACTGAGCGGGCTGCCGACCACCTCTTATTAATGCATCCACTCTTTCTAGAAGATGCAAATCATTAACTTCTTAGCTTCCATTTGGTATGCAGTTATTGGGGTTGTTATCTTGTCTAGTGAATCACGCCACTGGACTCTAAAAGCCCTTTCACCCACTTCCAATGCGGATCGATGGGAGTAAATCAACAAGCGATTCCTTTGATCGTTTGTTTGGTGTTTTCATCCATAATGTTTGCGTAGTGCTCCCTCAGCGGCCCCTTACCAGTTGCAACAGCCCCCAACATTACAACTTTAGAGTTGAAGTATCGCTTCATCATATTCACTTATTAACAGTCTCCGTCTTATTTTAGTCAAGTTAACATTTTCCTCCCCATCAAGCCAGATGTGTCAACTGGGGAGCATATTTTTGTGTTCCAAAAGTGTCCGTTCAAAGCTGTAGAAAAGTCGTGAGTTCTTGTGATGGGAAAGTTTGTGTTTTGTAATATTTCTGTATGGGGTGTAATAACTTATTCTATGATAGTACTTTACATGGGAAAATACTTAAAACGTGACAGTCTTTGTAAGTATTTATCTTCAACTAAATTATTGTATTTTTTTTGCCAATTTGTAGATAAGTGATGATGAAAAGGTATTCATGAAATTAACGGTTTTATCATGTCTAATGCATCTTTTAATTTATTGATGTATATACTGTATGTTTGTTGATAAACAGCTTACTTTATTTTGTATATGACCAATAAACATGTTTTGAAATGGAACATGGTATTGTGTGTCTCTTGTAAACAGTTAATTTGTTTACATTAAGTTCTTCTTTAGAGCCATATTATTATCTTTCTTTTTGTTATTCACAAAAGAAATCTGTGCAATGCAAATATTTTATGTGATGGATGTACATACCTGGATAGACGTACACCTCCCCAATTATAAGCCTTACAGATGTTAATCAATCACATTCGATTAATCAACATTTTTCAACAAAAAATGTCTAGTCCTATGAATGAAAAACATACCTACAACAACTAATATAATCCATCATTTACCAGTGACAGCCCTTCTACAGTCAGACTACAGTCACCCAGCACTCAAAACGTCAAGTCTGTCCTACTGTTGTATTAAAGAAAGGAAGAAAAGATAATAAAGAATGTAGCGAAAACATTGTATGTAATCAAGTCTACTTAAGATATAAACAAACATTTCTAATGTGACAACATGTCTGTTATTTGAATGCAATGGCTCGATGAATGACCGTCTTACAAGACAAATCAGTTTGAGAGGGAATCATTAAATTGTATAAGAGAACATGGAACGTATACTGAATCAAATAATGAATGATTCATTATTTTAACATTCAATTTGTTGTGAAACGTAATATGATTTGTTGTGATGCAATATTCAAAAGCTCGAGGCTGATGTTTAATGCACCATCAGAACTAAACGTTAATTTTCAGAGGTATTATGAATGGAGGCCACGCGCGTGTTCGGCCGATAGGTGGCGGTATCAAGTTATCAGCAGCTCCATTCCACTACAACCGCCCTGGATCTCGTGAAAACACGGAGCGCCGTGAAAATATATTCCATATCAATGCACACTTTAAAACAGTATTATTACATAGAAGACTGTTGCATATGTGCAGTTAATGTGGATGTTCGTGAATTTAAGGTGCGGGTCGTGGTTTAATTGGTCTATTCGTGGTTTAATTGGGTGAGTCCAGATCCGTGCTGGGAATCCGCTCCGGGTCTTCGGAGTTCATTAAGCGTTGCTGCGGGAGGAGAGGCGGGTAAAAGTGTAAACAGATCCATCCCGGTGCCGATTCGTTCAGTTTGGTGGCTCGCTTGACTATTTTTTTCGCCATTTTATCATAAGCAAGTGAGCAGAGCTGCTCTTCTTTTTCTTCTTTTATCGTTTTTACCTAGACTTAAATATTACGTTGTTGTCAAACGCAACGACGGTTACAGCGTTAGCTCAAGCTAGCGAGCGTTACAGCTCAACAGCTAACGTTAGCAAACACTGATCATTCAAGGTGTCAACGGTATATTTAAGTTGGTTAATCCTTAAACTCTGTACTAGTTACCTACCGCGCCCGATGAAACTTGATGGAGGCCTACGAAGAGTTTGTGCAGAATCGCCTCTCCCATCTGAGGAGAAGTGAGGAGAAAGACAACAAACGTCCACCTGCTGCTTCTCTTATCCGCTTCTATGGACAATCAATCCTTCCTCCCCTCGTAAGACTTTAGTTTCATGACTTAACTATTAGCTTACGACATGCAGACACTTATTAACTGCACCATTGAAGCGTGAACGGCATCACTTTGTCTCTTTGTTTTGAATTTTAGATCAGAACTGATCCATTTATTGAATCGTCATGGTTTGTCCAGCTTGTTAGATTATATTGTCTATACAGCTGCCATTTCTATCCCTGTTATTCAACGTGCCTGACGTCTCATGTCTGCCTCCTGATGATGATGATAACAGCTCTCAGGAAAGCAGCGAGAGGAGATGCAGCGAGACAGAGATGCAGCGACACAGAGAGCTGCTGTCCACAAGAGGACGACGTGCAACGAGGATTCAAGAATGGCCTTTGTTCAAACTATCTTACACAGTGTTCAGGTAATATCAATCCGGATTCTTTAGCTGTCCTCTTATTCAGGTATTTGTTTTTGGTGCTTCTCTTTAGTCGACTTACACCACGTGGTTCCATGTAAACGTGCACAAAGTCTTGTATAAAAAGTCATTGTCAGACATAAGATAAGGTCATACGATAAGTTGACTCATTAATTACTGTGATTAGATCTAACTGTTTCCTCTTGTGAATTACAGCTGAGGAAGACGCCAACACTAGAAGAGCTGCTTCATGAGTCTGAGATGAGCACAAAATCCTCAGATTCCCTTAACGCCATCGATGGTGCAGACTCACAGTGCAGTTTATTCACAGGACCGAACGACGGTACTTTGCTTTCACCACCACCCGAAAGGAAAGGACAGGATGGTGTTTCTCTTCCTCCCTTGACATCAGCAACATACAGTACCTATTCTGCCACAGTGACACCTCAGCCAAGTTACCATGAAGGATGCCTTATCGCCCAGCATTATAGCCAGCAGGGATCACAGCCAATCCACCAGCCGGTGTCCTCTGGTTGTTCGACCCAGGAGAATGTGGAGAACATCCCCAGTGTTTCTGCAAGGTTTGATGCAGAGAGAGAGAGCCATGGCTTTGGCTCGTCGGAGAAAGCCTATAATAATAATAATAATAATATGGGTGGCTTTTTCCTTCGCAACACCTCAAACACAATCACCAAAATGCCAGATATTATTAGCTACCCGCCCATAGATGGAGAGGAATTGGAAAGGAGTGGATTGGAGTCATCCTTTTGTAATAACTTAATAGTTGTAAAAGACATTTGTTGCACCTCGTTCCAAGAGGATTCGGTGATGCGTGACCCTCCGCCCGAAGAGAATTCTGAAAGTGTTCATTTGGGCAGCCGAGAGGGTGCAGATAACCTTTCCTTTAGCGTAGGACTCGATGTTGACAAAGATAACAATTTGAACAGAGTTGATGTCCCAGTCTCCTCATCAGAAAGCAGTCGCCCTACAGACAACCTAGAGCGGCCACAGACACTAAGTGCCGACCGCAGTCCAACAACCGGGTCGCATTTGGAGCACGACTCCACCGAATCCGAGCCCGCGGAATACAACCGTCTGAGGCTCCAGGCCTTGCTAAAGAAATCTCAGGAGTATCGGGGGCGCCAGCGGATGCTCAGGAACCAAGCCAAGAACACCAGAATTCAGGAGAGGGCCCAAGAACGGACGAGGGCGGAGGAGAGCCTCTCTGATAAGGAGAATGACGAGTTCCCTGGCAAAACCACCGTGACCACAGAGGGGAAGAACACTAGAGAGAGGAGGGGCGCCTTTATCCCGTCTGCGGAAACGTCGCCAAAGAAGTCTCGGAAAAATGAGAGTATAATTGATAGTGAGTTTTTTGGGGGAAGGGCGAACTTTGAATCTGAAAGCACACATTTAACAGGAGATGAACAAACTAAGGAGATCGTTACTATTGAGGAGGAAACCATCATCAAAAATAATCAGCTGAATATTTCCCAAGAGGTGATAACAGAGCCTAAACAAATCAGCCCCGTCCTCCTCCAGGAGCGTGCATCGACAGAGACCTCGCCTATTCAGGAAGCGCTTCACTTGGCCACCTGTCCCGCCGAGTTGTTTCATGATGTAGGGCGGTATCACAACATCCCAGTCCCTAATTTATGTAAGAGTCCTGTGCGCTGCAAGAGCAAAGGTAGTATCCAAGATGGAGAAATCCTCCATGGGGCTGAGGCCTCGAAGAAAGTTTTTGTAAATGAGACGGGTTCGAATGAAGACTCGAAGGTTAAAGCGTTTCCGCCCGCTGCGAATCTCATGGTTGAACAGGATGTAACGAGCCTGTCAGCCAAGAAATCCCAGCACATGGATCAGCTGGAGTCCAACCTGTCCAGTCTGAAAGTACTGATCTCGGATCTGGAGTCCACGCTGACAGAAAACGACCAAACTGAGAGCGACGCTCCAAGTGAGAGAAGTTTTCAAAGCATCAAGCACTCTCGTCGAAGTGATTGTGACTATTGTGCAGAAGAACTGTGGGTTCGTGGCGATAACGCTGATCCAGAACAAGACAAAAGTTCCGAAGGGTGGCCGAGAAGACCGTCGTCAGACAAATTCAAGAAAATACAGGAAGATATTGGACCTGAAGTGAACCACTGTGACACAGACGATGTTCCGCTCATCGTCCAGATAAGAGAAACCAAGGCAGTTAACCGCAGCGAGCTGAGGATAGTCAAAGCCGTAGCTACAGAGAGAGGGAAGGAGAAAGGTCCGTGGAAAGAAGAACTTCCACAGAGTTGTGGACAACATGGGGCCAGCAGAAGGCCTCCGGCTAAATGCATCCTCTCTGTGACGCAGCGGATGAGAGTTCCCGATGTATTCCGAAAGGCTCCATACGCGGCCGCGGCTCGGCGTCGCGCATCGGTGCTTTCGGACTCCAGTAACCGTCCAGCAGAACGCAGGAGCGAGACAGCCGGAGAGAGTCCCGACTCTACCCCATCGCCGTCCCTCAACCAGTCGTATGACGTGGAAGCACCGTCCGGCCTGTGGCTCCTTGACGGGTCGGGATGCGACAAGGGTTTGGAAGGTCCACTCGCTCAGGGGAAACACCTGACACCCGACAGTGGGAGCGAGGGTCAGGGCGGGACATCCAAGGTCAAACGGAGGCTGCTCATGCACATGACGGAGGAGACGCGGGACAGGAGGGCGGACGCCGGCAGAGGAGCAGGCACTCCGACAGGTAAGGCCACGGCAATATTAGGAAGAAAGAATGCGTCTGCTATACAGGGTTGTTATTAAAGCGCGGAGAGATTGAGAAAAAGAAAATTGAATTGGGACGAATCGCTGAAAGTGCATTCGTGTGTTCTTTGTTGTAGGCCTTATTTGGGTTGTATTGGAAAAAAAATAGAAAAGATAAACTAGATATATAAATAAATTTGCTCACAACCCAGCACAAACACTCTGCTGTATTTGTCCAGATATTCTTCATTTCTTTACATATTATGGGACCACGTTTGACCCGTATGACCTGCCTGCAGTGCCGTGGTACGAAGGCCGTGGCCGTCAAGAAGACAAGCAGGAAGACCTGAAGAGGGCCCACGCTGCTCAGGTCAGAGCCCTGCAGGATGAGCACCAGAGACAACGAGAGGAACTCGTGCAGGTGAGACGAGTACATCACAATATGTTACATAAGCAGCCAAGAAAGCTTCAATAATAGTATAGTCAAAGTCGGTATCTTCCCAATTATTGTTTTTGCTAATGGGAGAGCTCAAACATTTTTTATGAATATTAAATATGAATATATTAATTAATTAATTCAATATTTTAAATTTTGTATCTACTATCAGGTTTTGCTTGTTGAGCCCCATGTAGCTGATATAAGTCTGAGTTCTTTCTCCAGTTGTGTCCACAATCCCACACACACCATCTTGCTGCCATAAATACTTACTAGCACACACAAATCTGCAGGGCTCAAAGTGTCATGGATTAAATAAAGTCACGTTTCATTAAAGTTGGTTACATTGGTAGCATATGTATTTATTTATGTGTTTACAGCCTGCAGGCTTGAAGTGGGACTTGTTTATGCAGGAGGATAATGATTCCTTCAATTCTAAACACTATTTTTATACACTTGGAAGTACTGAGAAAACGTTCAGTCATTTTTCTAATCTTCTAGTCTTTGGCCTGTATGACCATGAAAAATCAGAACGCATTCTATTTGTCATCAAAAAGTCTAGTTTAATTTGATGAACGCTGCAGATACACTGAAAATAGTTCCCAACAAATAGTCCATCTACCTCCGCTTGTGTAACATTCACTAAAGATACATAGCCTCTCTGTTTTAGCCGGTTATTTGATAGCAAAGTTCACAGCGTAATAATAAGATGTTCTCGATCCCGAGGCTACAGGGGAGCATCGTGGGATTCATTCACAGTCGTAAAAATATATCTAATACTACCAGCTGTAAGTTGTTTTTTTCTTGAAAAGTAAAGCGTCAAAATGGAAAATTTAGAAACCGCAAGAGAGGTCCGCAAGGACTACCAGACACGTTTTTTTCCAACATGTTTCAAACTCCGTCATATTGATCCTCCATCCCATTGGTCCGCTTCTTGCATTAAGTTGCATCACCTGTTGCTGTACAGATCCAGCGCCGTGTCGTTCTTGTAAAGGCAACCATGAATCACCACCAAAGTCACCTGTAGAAAGGCCAAAAAAGTGTTTCCATAAAAAGCAGAGAATAAGCTAACCAATTCACTAAGCTGTGAGATAACATTGACCCTAAATGCTCTTCAGAAACCAGACGCGGACCCTTGAAAGGCTCTGGCTCGGCTCCATAGGTGGACACACACACACACACACACACAGAGGGTGCTGCCCTACCTGTTACAGCGTGCTTGTGGAGCCTGCAGGTCGTGGGCAGACTACAGAAATCTGCTCATTACAAGAGACCTTCAGACTCTCCCCAGTAAAAAAAAAAACACACACAGGGATTCTTCCATAAATGTTTCATTACATCCCTAAGAGAGGAGCTGGCACGGTCGCCTGTGTGTGTGTAGGTATTTGTGTGTGTATGTGTGTATGTATGTGTGTGTGTGTGTGTGCGTGCAAGACTTCAAGGACGCCTGCTGTTCTCTGGCAGCCAGTTCTTGTTTCTGCAGCTTGTGTCTGTAGTCGTTCTTGGCCAGTGTCCTTGGCCTATTAATCACAGTCTCTGTTTAATTTATGTGTCCGTAACAACAATATAATTAACATAACTCTTTAATAACAAAAAGACTTCTTCCTCGACTCCCCTCTGTCCTTCCATCATTGGCGGTGCGCTGAGAGAGCGAGCTGGACCCCTCTGGTGGAGGGTGGAGGGGGCCGAGGGAATTGACACAGAAACAGAAAGGATCATTTGTTTAATTCATGAGCGTCTGTGGTTAAGTGCCAGATCGTCCCGTTGAGTGCCACGGCTAATGGTCCCTTCCCCTCCTCTTCCATCCCCCCCCGGTCTCCTCACATCCCCCGCTTTGTTTTTTCTCCTACCTCCTCTAACGTTGTTTTTTCTCTCTGGCTTTATTCATTTTCTCCATCTCTCCTGTCTCATCATCCTCCCTCTCTCCTCCTCCTCCTCCTCCTCCTCTTCATCTCATCCCTCTTGCCTCTGTGCCCCATCTTTCCCCTTCTGTCTCTGTTTCACTACCCCCAATTAATTTCTTCCTCCTGCCTCATGCGCTGTCCTTTCCAATTCAATGTTTTCCCACCTTCTCCGTCATGCACGTACGCGTGCCTACACACACACACACACCCCCTGTTGCTTCCCTCCATTCTCATGTATCTTTCTCCCCTCTCTCTCTTTCTCTCTCTGTCTCCCAGACATTGGCGGTGCGTTACCGCCTCCTCCAGAGCGTGTCCTCTCCTTGCTCCGTGCCAAGCTCACACCTTGGAGACACGTTGACCCCTTCTACCGTCTCTCAGGTATCACTATCACATTTGTTGACTCATGTTGTGTTTTTGTTTCGATCATCAGCGGTCAGCTGCCACACTCGGTGGAAACAAACAACGTCGTCTCCCTTGATCGCTCAATCCCCGTCAGTGACTCCTCCCATATGCACTCGGGAACGGCAGCTCCGCTTCGGTTATAGCGAAGTTGTTCAACAAAGTCGCCGCCCTAATGCAACATCTTTAGAATCAACAAGTGAAGCTTTATTATTCTGCGTATTATTTCCAATTACAATGATCCCATTGCGTTGATGGGCTGAGCAGATGCCAAACAAACGACCTTGAGAGTCTGCGTGAGAAAATTAATTGGTTGTCATTGATGAAATTAGAATTCTCCTCCCAGTTCCCCCTCTGGTCCTCATTATTCACCCCTCTCATCGCTCCTTTCTCTGCTCTTCCTCCTCTTCCTCAGTCGTCCGGCCCATTCTCAGAGCACCACCACCCCCTGCTGTTAGCAGCTGTCAAAGGCTTCCTGGCTCGCAGGCTTCTGAAGACTGAGAGAGTGGCGCAGCTGGTGCGCACCATCAGGGTGAGCAGAAACAGCGGTGTCATGTCTCTCTCATAGACATAACCAGATTGTATACAAATCACAACTGTGTGTGTGTGTGTGTGGCTATGTAGGACACACATCAGTTGCTGCTGGCCCTCCAGCAGCGGAGCCCCGGCGGAGCAGAGTATTCGAGCAGACAGGATCTTTTATTGCAGGAGAGAGTCACTCTGCAGGTATTGACGCAAGCACACTTTGCCAACATCTGTTAACCTTTCTACACTTTCTCTGCCTCGCTGCCAAACGAGCAATTACTCTTTCCATTTGCACTTCCCTCAACAGATACTATAATTACGCTCATTCACTCAAGCCATTGTCTGCTCTGTAATTGTTCCCCCGTCCAGCTGCGCGCCGCACGTTACGAGGTCCACGACATCTTCTTCAGCCTGTCAGCCGGAGCGAGGATGCAGCTGATCCGCTGGGACAGAGAGCTGGTCAAGGAGAGAGAGCAGAGACGACGGGTAACCTTTACACATGAAGAACAAATCCTGGAGAGCGCAGGAGTGCTGGTGTCTCACTGAGCTGCAATTTCAAATAATGAAGCAATTACAAATAATACCCCCAACAGATGACACTAGAGGAATTATGTGTGTTACATTATGACACGGGCGTCACAGCCAGATGTGTGATTGTGCTCCGCTGGGCCAAACGACACTACTTAGACACATCAGAAGTTTTAATAGGTCTAATTATCCAAATTCAGAAACCATCATGATTTAGTATTGTCCACACTTTTATGATGAGTATGTTAGTATTGTTGCTTTATTTTTCCCAGTGCACTACCGATGGTGTTGAGCTCATTTGTTTAAGTAGACCAAGAGGATGGAAATATTGATTATTTCTGTTTTAATCTATGCTTCCTATCTATTGATACACATTGGTAGTATCATAATAAACCTTGTGCATTATGCACAGACTAATTGTGTGTGTGTGTGCGTGTGTGTGTTTTAGAGTGTGCACACAGGCCATCCCAGAGGGAAAGGTTCTCTGTCAACTGCAACGCAAAAATCCCTGGAGAGAAAGAGAGGAATGATGTGAGTTCTCACGGGATCAGTCCTGTTTTCTTACCTTTACTCTGATAAAGACAAAACATGCTTTTATTTTGAATTCTTAGTTCTTGGACCTGATTACCGGTTACCATACCCTTTGTGCCCCAGTACACTATGAACTCATCCGATGAAAACATTCTAGATCTGCACCAGATGTCAAAGTAGATTTTGCATTTATTGTTTTTATGCAAAACTTATGATCAGACATGTTTCAGAGTTGTTCCAGTAATGTTGCAAGCAGCTTAAAAAAACACTATTTAGCTCAAATGTTTAAATAGAAATTTTCCACTCCTAGTTTTTTTTAATAAGTAGTCTTTTTCGCCAATGGCTAAAATTATCTTCCCTGCAGGATGCAGAAAAAAGCAGCATAAAGGCACGGAGGAGTTGTGACAAATGATGGTTATAATACTGGATTCTCTGCCCAAACGCCGCCTGCAACCAAACAAGGAGAGTTCATAACAAATCCTCAGAGGCTCCCCAACAGTTCTTACTCTAGACCGTGATTAAACTCTCCTATTTGGCTCCTGTGAGGACTCTTAATACTCTGGCAAATACCTAATTATTGTATAATTTATCATTTGACTTTCCCGTTGCTTAAGACTACATACTGTATCTTTGTATTTATTATCTGTTGTGCACTTCTTTTACACTCTACCACCAGAGTATACTATAGTGATGGGAGTTCCACCCACATTCACTTTGAGTGGCTGGGAAGTTGAAAAGTTAGCATGAAGTAAGCCATGGCTACAAGCCAGCGTGCCACAATACCAAGACTCAGAAACCAAAACATCTGCTGGAACAAAGCCACGGTGAAAGATACTATTTACACCTCAAAATGTTTCCTGCTCATCGGGTTACTTTTTCAGCTGTTTTTCCATTTGTCTGATGTTGAATCTCTACTTTGAGGATGGACTTGAACATTAAATTATTCTGATGTCTCAAATTGATGTGCCTAATTCACTGCCACCAAAAACCGTCCATCTCCAGATGTATTGGCTCATGTTAACTACATATAAAGGAAATTAACAGATTGTTTTGAGGGATACAGCGCTTTTACAGAAATGTCAATGTGCAGCTTATATATATATATATATATATATATATTTATATATATATATATATATATATATATATTTAGAGACTTGTTTTTTTATGTTATTTATTTGCATGTCGTTGGTAATAAACGTTATCTTAATCTTTTGAGGTTGAGCTTCATTTAAAACCGTTACAGACTCCGAAGGCCAGGGGGCGCTGCTGCCCGCGTGTCCTCATCCGCACAGGCCCCGCCCCCATCCCAGCCACGCCCCCTCCCCGCCCCGTCGCTGCTCTCTCGCGTAACGTGCGGTGTTTTGAACAGTTCGCTGCCCCTCAGCTGGCTTAGAACGGGATGGAAGAGGAGGCAGAGCCCGGCGTGTCTTCACGGACGGAGAGGAAAGCGATGGAAAAAGCCAAAATACTTCAACGCGAAAGCGACCGGAAGCTCGTTCGACTGGTGAGACGAGGCCACAAACCAAATAACTTTTGTTTTCTCCAAGCTAGCAGGCTGCGAGGAGCTAGCGGCTCCGGGGAGCAGCAGCAGAGCGCGCAGGTGACTCTGGTTCCCCGGCAGGTGAGTCTGATCGGGTTCTTGTCGGTCCTGTTCACCGAAGGTCGGGCGAGTCCTGAAGAAGCCGGAGGCCGAGCGGTCGGAGGAGGAGGCCGCCGTGTTGCTGCTGCACGGAGAAACCGCGGAGGAGCTCTGCAAGAGACAAGTCCGCAGAAATGTGCTGAAGAGGAAGCAGGAGGAGGTGAGACTTACTCAAATACTCAGTGTTTAGCCAACTGGCCCGGTGGGATTTCACCTGCAATCGTTCAGAACCGCGTGGTGGAAGAACCAAGAAGCCGCCTCTTGGTTAAATGACAAAAGCCAAAGGTTTATTTGGGATCAATCTCCAAATCTTAGTAAACTCTGGAAGTCAAACTTATGCCGCTGCCCCTCACAAAACATGGCCACAAGGTTAAATGATGATGCAGCACCCATCTTTTTAAGGCCCCTTACGGCGCAGAAGGGTGCAGCACTACTCATTTCATTTTTTTTGTGAGCGAGGACAATAACTGAGACAATGACAGAGATACAAGAGATGTGTTTTGTTTTAACCTGAAACATCTGCTTCCGCTTGTATTATCCAAAGGTGTATGATGATGCGGATGAGCTGAAGAGCAAAGTCAAGCAGTTGGCAGCGGCGGTCGAACAAGCAAAGCACCTGGTGGTTTACACCGGTGCCGGTATTAGTACGGTACGCCCATCTCCGCATCTTCGGTTCCCTTTTTAAAACTTTCACACGACCTGACGATGTCTTTCTGTTCAGGCAGCATCCATTCCGGACTACAGGGGCCCCAATGGGGTGTGGACGCAGCTACAGAAGGGCCGGACCATCAGGTGGGAGGTGCAGCCGCTGGCGTTGGTTTGGTCCCCGCACCCCGAACCCCACCTACTATTGTTTCATCTGTTTCTCTTTACGAACAGTTCGTCTGATCTGAGTAAAGCTGAGCCGACCCTCACGCACATGTGCATTAGAATGCTTCATAAGGAAAACCTGGTATGTGAGCCCTGGAAAAATGACTTGGTAGAAGTTCCATAGGCGTCCACGCATGCTGTCATACTGTTTGTGTGTCTACAGGTAAGGCATGTTGTTTCTCAAAACTGTGATGGACTTCACCTGCGTAGCGGTCTACCCAGACACGCCCTGTCTGAGCTGCACGGAAACATGTTTATCGAGGTGAGACGCGTAGATACAGACCTTTTCACTCGCAGACTCACACACACAGCTGTTGTCCATGGCTTGTTTCGCACTCTGTGATGAAAGGGGGGTCCGGATATTTGCAATGCTGTCTCCAAAAGTATTATTTCATTATGATTCAAAATTTAAAAAGAACTTTGCTTGGATCTGTACCGGCAATGTCAAGCTTAATCCATTTGTGACGCTTGTTTGCTTTGGGCACACCAGCTGTTTTAAAAATGCTCAGAAAAAAGGGTGTGGGTGTGTGCGTCAGGAAGACAGGCTGAGCTGCTTTGGCTGCATTTTTTATGCTTTGAAACTTCAGTATGATGGAACTGTGCACTGTTTGGAGGGGAGACAAGCAAAGGTTGTTGCAAATGTTGCATGGAGGGCTGTAGAATGTGAACACTGAAAGTAAATACTTAAATATCAGAGTAGGAGACTTTAGCAGGATATCCTTATTTGTTTAAACACCATGCTTTCACATTGGAATTGTGCATGAAACGACATTCTTCAGATTTTGGATTTCACACCGTCCTGGCAAAACTGTCCAAATAAAGTAAGTTACCCTGACGTGATGTTCCCCGCCCGTCTCTAGGTGTGTACATCCTGTTCGCCGGTGAGGGAGTATGTGCGTTTATTTGACGTGACAGAGCGGACGTCGCTGCACCGCCACGGGACAGGACGCAGGTGCAGCCACTGCGGTGGTGAGCTCAGCGACACCATAGTGCACTTTGGGGAACGTGGGACCCTCGAGCAGCCGCTTAACTGGAAGGGAGCTTCTGAGGCCGCAGAGAAGGCAGATGTTATCCTCTGCTTAGGCTCCAGCCTTAAAGTAGGTTTAAAAAAAGAAAATGTCTTGTCTACATTTGCATTTGATTATCTGAAAAAATTGAGGTGAAATTATGATTTATATTTGATGGCTTATCAGCTTGCTGCATCTTCACTCTCTTGATGCTCGTCCAGGTGTTAAAGAAATACCCCTGTCTTTGGTGCATGAACAGACCAGGAAGCAAAAGGCCCAAACTCTACATTGTCAACCTCCAGGTACACTTATATTTGATATTTTAGCTGAATAAGATGCTAATTGAGTTCTGTCCGTTCAGGTTCTAGTTATGTGGCTGTGCTTTTGTCTAGTGGACACCAAAAGATGACCTGGCTGTGCTAAAAATTCATGGCAAGTGTGATGATGTCATGAGCCTCCTTATGGAGGCGTTGAACATTCAAATTCCTGTGTTTGACCGGTAAGGATAACTTTTTAATGGTGTAGTTACCCCCAATACAAACAAAATGTTTGTATTATTGTCATTATAAATGTAGTATGTTCTTGATTAATTCTAAATGTACATCCAAATTGGCTGTTCATTCAGTGCATCTTTCATGCTTTACTCAACACTTTGATTTAGGAATATTCCCACTGAACAATAGTCCAACGCTTTGACTTCAAGCTCAGTTTCCTTCATTCCCGTCTCATCAGGGCGAAGGACCCCATCTTCAGCCTAGCCACAGCTCTGCGTCAAGAAGAGGTCAACAGCCACACTCGCGAGGTCATAGCTCCCCTTGATGGGCAGGAGGTCTGTTTTCCTGGTTCTGGAGAGCCGGCAGAAGAAGCCACAGCTGTGCTGGGTGGCTGGTTTGGGCGAGGCCAAGGCAAAGGACGGAAGAAGAAGAAGAAAGCTGCATAATAGATTTATTCAATGTGGTCAAGAATGTGTTTGAAACCATGAAGTGTTTGATGACAGCCTAAAGCCAAAGGGGACTTTGGTTGTGTTTTGTTAGAAGCGCTCCGCATGGTCCCGGCACAGAGACAGTTTATTCTCGCACCAAAAAGTGAGGTCTCCTGCAAAGAAAAAGCCTAAAGTTTCAAACCAACTCCTGCGAAATGTATTTTTTTTCTTCTTTCTGCTGACCCTCTTTATGGTCAGTTTGTTTACACTCGTAGTCCAGCATGTTTGAGCAGAAGCTGGATGTAAATGGACATTTAAGCACAGGTGTCTGTTGTAAAAGTTCCGACATAAATGCTCATGCAAGGTAAATCTTTCATTAGAACACAAGTTACAGAGCAGAGATCTTTTCTTCGTGTAGTAAATATGTTTGTAGTCTTATTTCAGATGTTTACAACTCACAATGTCAAATGTACTTAAAAAAAAAAAAAGTACATTTTAAAGGTTTTTGTGTTTACATAAATTATTTCCTGAACTCAGTCAACGTTCATATCCGCTGTCGAGCATTCTCAGGTTTGCAGACGAAGTAGCACAGCTGTTGTACCTCGGCTTACTGAAGTTGTTGAATTTGTTTACATTTTGCAAAACCATGCAGAGATTCTACTTGTCATATTTTTATCTACAAGAATTTAAATCTAAATTTATTTTAATTTTACTAAAATTATCATTAGTAGTTTTGTGTCAAGTTAGTTTCATGTGTGTGTTGGTATGAATACGTCTCAGGGAGATCCGGTGCTATTAACCTCATCCTAAACGTGTCATTTCTGTTATTAAAGGCCAGTCTAGCAACTTGACCTGCTGTACATTCTTACGCATTCTTTTAGCTCAAAGTAGTGGTGAAACACCGATTTGATGCATTTTTGGAATTTGTGTCTGGATCCTGTGCAGTTTTGTTGTATTGGCTTTTGCTTTAACAAGTGAGGTAATATCAGTAAGACTAATGCAGAACACAGATTTCACAGTTCTCCAGCTCTACCTCCTTCCTTCAGCTGCCTTCAGATTTATTTACATTGAAATGTTAATTGCATATGCATTTTAGCACAATGTGGCATGAAAAGCAGATTTAAAAATGTTATAGTATTGCATAAAAAAACATTGCCGGGACAATTGTTTTTGTCAGGAGTGCTCCTACCAACCCGACTCTTTCTTTCCTCCTACAGGGGTAATGAGGCTGTACTTTTGTCACTTTAGCCAACTGCTTATCCACTGACGTTGGTAACCGTAGGCAAATTATTATTTTTTTAAAACCTCCATGTCCCTTCTTACCATAATCTTTGAGTTTAACCAAGGAATTGGGTATTTAATCGCTATAAACAGCCAAGCACGTAACCAGAGGTTAGCTGAAAGTTATATAACAAGGAACTCTGATCAACGGTGGGAAGGCCAGGCGGGACCCTCACAGTTCACCAGACACCCAAGTTGTCTTTGTTGTCTTCATTCAGCCATTCTCCTTTTACATTTCCTTCTTCTTAATTAGCTCTTGGCAGGTCGATAAAGGACAACCCGCCAGGGAAAGGCTGTGTTATGCCCCCACATCTTTTTTTATTAAACTTTTTCATTTCATAAATGTACGTAGCTCAACAATACACATTTCCAATTCATAAATATACAAGGCAGTCACAATAACTGGATGCTGAGTTGAACGTTTGAAGCCAGTTGGTCCCAGAGGGGCCTTGGGTCCCATCCAATGTCCTCTTCCTAAATTCAGTGAGAATAAGTTTCATCCCCACACTGCCGTCCATGACAGTGTCACCATGGCCGGTACTCCAAGTTTAAAGCCTGTGATGCTAATGATGGTGTAAAAAGGTTCTCGACGATGAACAGACATTTTCTCATCCAACAGCACTCAACACAGATTCATAATTTAGTTTAAACTTTAGTGCCAGGCCCCGGAGCACAGGGCAGACCTCCTGAGCCCGGTGACAGTCAGAGCAGATGCTGCTGGCCTTTATCTCTATCACAGTGAGTCATGCAACATTTCTTTGTTGCTACAACATCGCTTTTTAATTCATGCACATTCAAATATAAAAAGTTCTATACATTACTGCTGTAAAAACGTATATATTAACTTTGAGATATATCGTAAGACTAAACAAAGTGCTTTCCCCACAGTACGATCTGTTCCGCAGGACATTCCATCATAATGTCCTGCGGATATAAGGAATAGGATACGATTCAAACAAAACGGTGGATCAGTCCAAATATGGAGGGGTCGCTCGATCCCCCCCTCCGTATTAAAGGTATTAGTTTGGCCCGGTCTGACAGTTCCGTTCCACGCTGAGTGCTGCCAAGTTAATTAAGATGCCTCAGAGATTGTGCATTAATATAATGTCTAGTGAAAATAAATGTTCTTGATTTGCAACCCACAGAACGAATCCCACGCACGAGTGTATTGTGCCCGATCACGTGGGAGGAGGGATTATGCAACCTGAGCGGCGGCGGACCCTGTGACGTAGAACCGGAGGCGTTGGCCGGTTAGCGGCACTGCATTGGTACGCGAGGCGGAGGACGGACGTCTACTGAATCCTCAGAGAAGTCGGGATCAAACCCTTTGGAGCGCACTTCACGTCTTGGACAAACAACGGCAGCGAGTATTTACAACACGTCGAAATGATCAGAAACGGTCACCACACCACCGGCGACGCGGGCGGTGAGGTTGTTTGGAGCGAGCCGGGCGGCTCGGTGCGCAGCCCGGAGAAAAGGAAGCGGGTTGTCCGCTTGTGGTGTGACGGCTGGTGAGTCTCCGTTCCGGCCTTACCGACTTACTCTTCACTCTCTGGTTCACTAAACTGTTTCTTCACACATGTGTTTTCCTGTAATTGGCCATTGGTCCACACACGGGGACCAACGGGAGGCGGTAGCATGCTAATGCTAGCTAGCTGCGCACATACACTCAGCAGGTGACAACGGGACGTTAAACCGTTTCAACGGGACGTTAAACCGTTTCATCGTAACGGTGTTCGTGAATACCTAAAGTTACGTTTTTCTCTAAATGACATCAGCGTCGTTAGTTTCACATTCAAGTAACTTTTGCTATTCAACCCATCCGAGCGCAAACTAAATAAAACAACGCAGCGTTATTACATGTCGTTATTTTATTTTTATAGCGTCACGTTGATGTTTGACCTGTTGTTGTTGTGGCCGGTGACACGAGGTGAGCGAGGAGCCAGAAACTCTACCTGACTGATCTGTGAGGACTATTTAAGGACGATCGTGGCGCGTTGTGTTGTGTGTCGCGCTGTAAACACGCAAACAACCAGGAGGGAAAGTTAAACGAGGATCTCCCGTGAAAAATGGATCACATGAACAACTAACAGCTGCTTTCTGTTATTATTTTGTTCTAACTGTTTTCTTAAACTGTAAAAGCCAGTGAGTCCGCTGTGAGTAAAGTGCTTGGTTTAATGCCTGGTTACTACTTAATGGTAAATAATCTGGAGGTTACTCAAGGTTATTCGTTCTGTCACTCCGACACACATCTGATGGACCAAACTCTGAGTCAGACAACCTATTGTTATTTAAACCCCACTCTGATCGACCAGCGGGGGTCCCTGTTCTTGGGGGGGTTTGAAGGGGCCCGACTGAGAGCAAGCATATACATTACAACAGACTCTATAGCACAAGGCGAGGGAGATGGAGACACAGATGTTATATCATGTGTATCAGTGTCAAGCCCCCAAATAAATACCCCGCCATCCGTAGCAGTTATTGGGTTCAGTATTTATTGGGAGAAAGATGTTAACTCAGCCAAGAGGAGCTCGATCTTATGTTGTAGATCAAACACGGATCTGCTCACATCGCTCTGAACAGGAGATGTTATCAGCTGTCTGCCTGATCCGGATCAGGTGAGCTGTGGGATTATTGCTAAGGGAACTCGGCCTAGCAGCTTGGGATAATGTCATTACGGAGGAGAGGTGTTTCCGCTGGACGTACCAGTCACCGATAAGGTGCGACCTGTTTGACTACAGGTACAGGAGTCTTTATAGTCGACCGTTATCTGAGATGTGTTAAATTTGCAAAAATGTAATTTTGTAATACATAATTTAAAACCGTCGGCACTGCTCGCAACCTCCTGCCGCTGTCTTTGGGGCCGCTCACACTGTGGTTGTATTGGACAGTCCTGAGCCAGTCGTGTTTTAATTCTGTAGGCATGTGGAGTTGCCGGGTGCCGGATCAGACGCACATTTTCAAGTCTGAACAAACGTGGCTGCAACTGAGGAGAACTCTGATACCGTCCTTTTGAAAAAGGCATGCCAGTACACAACAGAAGTTACTTAATGTCAGGAAACTAAACAAAAAAGTATTAGCACAGTGTCTGTGGTCATTACCTTTCTCCCAGTAACCTTTATTATTTTCCCTCAGTGTTAAAATGCCAGTGTTGATTTACAGAGCAAGTTTTCAAAGCAAAGCCTACACCCACTTGGCTCTGGTTTGAAGGTCACTATAAAAATAGATCAGGTAATGTTAAACAACGGACCAGCAGGAGCCGTCCAGTTGGACCGGTCCTGCAAAGGTGGTTTTTAAAGGAAATTTAAAAAACAAACATTGAATGTGTCTCCTGTTGTCTGTGCACTTATAGTTCATTTAGTGTTCCATGCTTATGACATTGCTCTCTTTCTGTGTCCGCAGCTATGACATGGTTCACTACGGCCACTCCAACCAGCTGCGACAGGCCAAGGCCATGGGGGATTACCTCATAGTCGGGGTGCATACTGACGGTGAGACTGAAACACATTTCTGTCAAAGGTTTTTGTCATCAACTGCCCAGGTCCACAATTAGGTGCACTAAGTTAATAGAGCCCGGTTGTAGCCCCACTGATTAAGTTTGTTTCAATGGGACATTTCTTTAAATACAGAAACAAGAAATTCTGTATTTTAGTAAAGCAGCCGTACAGATGCAAATTGTGCAAATAATGAATAATTGTTTACCTCTCATCCTCTCTCAAAGCTGAGATTTCCAAGCACAAAGGTCCTCCCGTCTTCACTCAAGAAGAACGCTACAAGATGGTCCGGGCCATCAAGTGGGTGGATGAGATGGTAGAAGGGGCACCCTACGTCACCACCCTGGAGACTCTGGACAAGTACAACTGTGACTTCTGTGTGCACGGAGGTGAGCCGCTTCACAGCTGCTCTGTGACTCCCGTTTCCTGTCCCTAACAAACAGGACGGCCGTCCGTCATTTCTGTGTCCCAGTCCCACGGGCAAACCTCCAGGGAGAGGGGGGGGGGGACTGATGTCATTGTTCATGTGTTTACTAGACGACATCACGCTGACGGTGGACGGTAAGGACACGTATGAGGAGGTGAAGCGCGAAGGCCGCTACCGGGAGTGTAAACGCACACAGGGGGTCTCCACCACTGACCTGGTGGGACGGATGCTTCTCATGACCAAAGCCCATCACAGCAACATGGTGAGTTGATCTGTGTTTGTACCTTTTTGTTTTTAGCTACTATTCAGGTGTGGAATTACAACCGCAACACTAAACTGTTATATTTTTTATGGTCCAATGTGTGTACTTGTGTTGCTAGTTGTGACGTGTAGTTGCATTCATGAAGGGGTTGCATGTCAACTACATGTAACAACTGTTTTGTTGGTCCTCATCATTTCCTCTCTTAACAATTTCTGCAGGATAACCCGGATTACCAGCAGCACACAGACAACTTTGGAAAAGTGAGTGACGGGCTTTTATTTTAGTCAAACCATCACAATGAATCCTAAACACCTTTCTCCATGGCAGACATCACCTGGCATTTACTATATTTCTTTCTTCTTGTGTTGTAATCAAGGGTCCTAAAGGCCATAGTCCATGGACCGGAGTGTCGCAGTTCCTCCAGACGTCCCAGAAGATAATCCAGTTTGCCTCAGGAAAGGAGCCTCAGCCTGGAGACACCATCATCTACGTGGCCGGGGCATTTGACCTCTTTCGTATCCTGATTGTACAGAAATATACAAAATTGAGTTATTATAATTGATGTATTTCAGACCCAGAGGGATCCATAATCCAGTACAACCCAGACACACATGGTGATAGATACAAAAAACTAAAAATAAATAAAAAGAATAGCAATACAACGTATAAAACCCTTCAACAGTTCATTGTCTAACATACAGACATGTTCTCCAGTGGTTCAGTTAATACTGCGTTATACAGTTGCAATCAAAATTATTCAACCCCTCCATTGCACATTTGGTTTATTAGCAAAATATACAATTTCTCAGCTGTTTGCAATAAACAAATTACACAATAATTGTTTAAGTAGTTTAATAAAACTAATATTACAAAGGTTTTATCCAAATTCAAGACAAAATGCTACTTTTAATGAATTTACTGCAGTCTCAAAATGATTCAACCCCTTCGTGACAAGCATCTTCAGTACTTACTAGTAGACTATACTACTACTTACTAGTAGTACAGTACTAGTAGAGCACCCTTTGAAATGATTCAACTCCCTGTATCAAGAACACCAGGTGCAACTAATCAAGGGCTTCATTAGTTCAGGTGTGCTTGAGATAGAACACATAAATACCTGGTCTGGCTCCGGGTTTGTTCAGAGTGACGTTTGATTGCATGTTAGAAATATGTCTAAGTCAAAAGAATTGTCCAAAAAGTTCAGAGAAGAGATCATTGCCTTGCACTAACAAGGAAAAGGATACAAAAGGATGCAAAATCACTGAATGTCCCTAGAAATACAGTTGGAAACATAGTTTGCAAGTTCAAAGTTGAAGGAACAGTGGCTACACTACCTGGACGTGGCAGAAAGAAGAAGCTATCAGCGGCTGCCACCAGATTCCTGAGGAGGCAACTGGTCAAAAAGCCTCGAGTGACTCAAAACACCTGCAGCAAGACTTGGTGGCAACAGGCACTGAGGTTTCAGTTTGCACAGTAAGGCGCATACTAAACACTGAAGGGTTCCTTGCCCGGACCCCAAGACGCACACCACTACTGACACAAAGGCAGAAGAAAAGTCAGCTCCAATATGCTGAAAACCATATAAATAAGCACGATGTCAGAAGCTGGTGTCTGGCTATGCATCACGTTTGCAGCAGGTCATAACAGCAAAAGGGTGCTCTACTAAGTACTGAAGATGCTTGTCATGAAGGGGTTGAATCATTTTGAGACTGCAGTAAATTCATTAAAGTCATTAAAAGTAGCATTTTGTGTTGAATTTGGATAAAACCTTTGTAATATTAGTTTCATTAAACTACTTAAACAATTCTTGTGTAATTTGTTTATTGCAAACCACTGAGAAATTGTATATTCTGCCAATAAACCTAATGTGCAATGGAGGGTTGAATAATTTTGATTGCAACTGTATGTGGTACATGTTTGTTATTGTTGTTGCCTTGACCACAAATTGCAGACATTGGCCATGTTGACTTCTTGGAGATGGTGTACAAGCAGGCGGAGAGGCCTTACGTCATCGTGGGTCTGCACTTTGATCAGGTGCAGTTAACACTCCAGTATTCTCACAATCAACCCCCCTGCTGGGTCAAGTCTGATGGCTGAACATCTAAAAGGGGAAAATGTAAAGTAGTAAAATATCGCCTCATTTTCCTCAGGAAGTGAATCGGTACAAGGGGAAGAACTATCCAATCATGAACATCCATGAGAGGACGTTGAGTGTCCTTGCCTGTCGCGTGAGTTTTCACACACACACACACACACACACACACACACACACACACGGGGCTCTAAATGTTCAGCACAGTGGGATATATTTCTGGCCTGAATACGCGCAGTGCGGCAGGGTGAACTTGGCTCTCTTCCCTTTGATCCTGCTGGTCAGCTTTCAGTCTACATTACATTACATTACATTACATGTCATTTAGCTGACGCTTTTATCCAAAGCGACGTACAGTAAGTGCATTCAACCATAGGGTACAAACTCAGGAGAACAAGAAACAAGAAAGTGCAATTTCCTCAAATAAGCGAATTTACAATTTGCTATAGATGAGTGACGTCACAAGTACAATTTAAGTGCTACAATTTGTTAGTCTTTAGTCGAGGTAGAGTCTGAAGAGGTGTGTCTTTAGTTTGCGGCGGAAGATGTGAAGGCTCTCTGCGGTCCTGATGTCTTCAGAGAGCTCGTTCCACCATTTCGGCGCAAGGACAGCGAAGAGTCGAGACCTAGTTGAGTGTTTTGCTCTCAGTGAGGGAGGGACGAGTAGTTTTGCAGATGCAGAGCGGAGAGTGCGGGTTGGGATGTAGGGTTTGACCATGTCCTGGATGTAAGCTGGACCCGATCCATTCACAGCATGGTACGTGAGCACCAGTGTCTTGAACTGGATGCGGGCGGCCACCGGTAGCCAGTGAAGAGAGCGGAGGAGTGGAGTAGTGTGGGAGAATTTCGGAAGGTTGAAGACCAGTCGAGCTGCTGCATTCTGAATGAGCTGCAGAGGTCGAATGGCGGTGGCAGGGAGACCTGCCAGGAGGGAGTTGCAGTAGTCCAGGCGGGAGATGACAAGAGCCTGAATCAGTACCTGCGCTGCCTTCTGAGTGAGAAGGGGACGTATTCTCCTGATGTTGTAGAGCGTGTATCTACAGGATCGCGTTGTCGCAGTGATGTTGGGAGTCAGGGAGAGTTGGTTGTCGAGTGTGACGCCGAGGTTCTTAGCAGTCGAAGTGGGCGTTAGCACAGAGTTTCCAAAGTTGACTGTCAGGTCCTGGGTAAGCGAGTCTTTTCCGGGAAAGAGAAGTAGTTCAGTCTTGTCGGGGTTGATTTTCAGATGGTGGGCGGACATCCACTGAGAGATGTCAGTTAGACAGGCAGAGATCCGAGCCGCCACCTGGGTGTCCGAGTGAGGGAAGGAGAGAATTAGTTGGGTGTCATCGGCATAGCTGTGGTAGGAGAAGCCATGCGAGCGAATGACAGCGCCAAGAGAGTTGGTGTAAAGCGAAAACAGGAGGGGACCCAGCACGGAACCCTGAGGAACTCCAGTAGTAAGAGGACACGGTTCCGACACAGATCCTCGCCAGGTTACCCGGTAGGTGCGGCCATCGAGGTAGGACGAGAGAAGGGAGAGAGCAGAGCCTGTGACACCAAGTTCCTGAAGGGAGGAAATAAGGATCTGGTGGTTGACTGTGTCAAATGCAGCGGAGAGGTCCAGAAGGATGAGGACAGAGGAGAGAGAGGCGGCTCTAGCAGTGTGGAGTTGCTCAGAGACAGCAAGGAGAGCAGTCTCTGTAGAGTGGCCTGCCTTGAAACCTGACTGGTGGGGGTCAAGGAGGTTGTTACAGTGGAGATAAGAGGAGAGTTGATTAAAGATAGCACGTTCAAGGGTTTTGGACAAGAAGGGAAGAAGAGAGACCGGTCTGTAGTTGTTTTCTTCAGAAGGGTTGAGGGTGGGTTTCTTCAGGAGAGGGTTGACTCTTGCCTCCTTCAGAGAATTGGGAAAACAGCCAGATGACAGAGCGTTGTTGATGAGAAAGGTAAGGAACGGAAGAAGGTCAGGTGCGATAGATTGTAGAAGATGTGATGGAATGGGGTCAAGAGGGCAGGTGGTCGGACGGGCAGAGGTTACTAGGGTAAGAATTTGGTTAGGAGAGAGGGCGGTGAAAGAGGGAAGTGAGGGCGAAAGAGGTGAGGTCGGTGGGACGCGAGAAGTAGGTGGTGGGTTTGAGAAGGAGGAGCGTATGTCAGCTATTTTCTTGGTGAAGTAGTTGACAAAGTCTCCCGGAAGAAGGGTGGAGGGGGGAGGAGGGGTAGGGGGTTCGAGGAGATTGGAGAAGATCGAGAAGAGTTTTTTGGGGTTAGAGAATGAGGATTCGATTTTGGACTGGTAGAAAGAGCTTTTGGCAGCAGAGATAGAGGCAGAGAACGAGGAGAGGAGAGATTGAAATTCAAGCAGGTCGTCAGGTCGTTTATATTTACGCCATCTCCTTTCCGACGCTCGCATGGTGGCTCTCATGGCACGGACCGGTTGAGACAGCCACGGAGCCGGAGGGGATTTGCCAGTCCGTCGTGTCGTAAGAGGGCAGAGAGAGTCTAGAGAGGAGGAAAGAGTTGAGAGGAGAGTCTCTGCAGCAGCGTTCGGATGCAAGAGTGAGAAGGAGTCAGTTGAAGGGAGAGCTGATAGAACAGAGGATGCCAGCGAGGAGGGAGAGAGGGAGCGAATATTGCGACGAGCCGGTATAGAGTTAGTCAATGAGGGAGGTTTGTTAGTTATAGAGAGTGGAAGGGAGTAAGAGATGAAGAAGTGATCAGACACATGAAGTGGAGTCTAGAACAAAGAATCGGCGCCGTGTATGTTTGTTTTTAAGTTAGACCAACGTTACACAAAGCAAAGATGTCACACGCTCTCAAAACAGCTAAACTGCTCAGCTCTGCCATCAGTTTTACTCACCGCCTGATAAAGAGCTACTCAATTTGCCAGAATCGAGGCAGTGAACTATAAAAACACCTTCACCCTTGAGCTGAGTTGTATCCAAAAGGTGCTTGTCAGTTTTGCTTTTACATTTAAACTAACTGCACTAACTAATGTGACACTCATGGGAGGTTTAATTAAATGTCTGTCTTCCATGTGGGCCGTCCTCGGGCATGTCTCTCAGTATGTGTCAGAGGTGGTGGATCGGTGCTTCCTTATGCAGTGGGCAAAGATCTGCTCGATCACTTTAACGTGAGTTGCTTTTGTTTGACTTTAAATCCGGGCTATGCGATTTCCTTAAAGGCCTCGGACAGTACGAGGACCGACCATAGATACTTCCTGGTTGGCTGCATTTGAGAAATCTCCTTTGAGATAATGATGTACTTTGTAAATTACAAAAAACCCATATTGCACCATGTGGCTGCTCCTCTAGTGGACAAATGCAACAAACCAGAAGGTAAAGGCTCAATTTGAAGTGACTTGGCTCTAGGTAGTTATGCAAGTTTAGTAAGTATAAGTTAGGTATTCAAGTTAAGGTAGGAAGGACCCTATTGATCATAGAGAGATATATCAAACTGTGCTTTTTCTTCAAATATTGATCCACAGTTAGAAAAGCCAGAGATAAATGAATTAAAAAATGCTGCTCCATGTTTGCCTGAATTGCTCATTTTCAGTGGCACACTACTTCCATACTGTTGCTCCCTAGAGTGCCCCTTCTAGTCTGGATGAGTAGTGTGTGACGGCAGCTAAATACAGGTCTGCCACCTCCTGTGCAGTGTGAAGAGGACGTGCGTGGTTAGTGTGAGAGAGCCAGAGGCAGCAACGGGGCTCTCGGGCGACCGGCTCTGTTACCTCTCTCTGCTCGTGTTGGGAGGTTTAACCTGACGTCTCTGCATACCGGTACAGGTCGACCTGGTGTGTCATGGGAAGACGGAGGTGATCCCCGACAAAGACGCGTCGGACCCCTATGCTGTGAGTACAGGGGCCTCCTGCCTTGAGACGAGATGCAGAATCCACTGTATTTGAGAGTTAAAATAAGTCGTTTGCCCACAACTGGTCTTCTTCACACTGGCAAGTTGACAAACAAATAAGACAAATACCACAAATGAATGTGAGTGTGGATGATCTTATTGGTCCGACTTGCCATACATGCATTCACAAACTGAAAAACCCAAATCACCGACCCTTTGACCTTTATGTTGGTTTGACGGCTATTTGTGTTCTTCCCTCAGGAGCCCAAGAAAAGGGGGATTTTCAGGACAATTGACAGTGCGAACAATCTCACCACCGATGACATCGTCAAGAGGATCATTGAAAACAGGTCAGCGACCGCCTTCATTATTCATCCGCATTCCATTTCTCGGCCTAGTAATCGTACTTTTTGTTTTTTCATCACGTTTAATCGTGTACCTCTGCATGTTCCCAGGCTGCAGTTTGAAGCCAGGAATCAGAAGAAGGAGGCCAAGGAGATGGCGGTGATCGAGGCAATGAAGAGGAGAGAGCAGCAGGAGCAGGGTGACGATGCGGCTCAGGTTGCTCTCTAGTGAGCCCTCAGCCCTGGTGGTGTGTCGGATTCACTCGTCCTGGTACACTCGGCTTTGAGAGGGCGGACTGAACTAACCGCAGACGGACGGACGGCCGTGTCGGACTGGACACAGAATCCTGCTTTAACATGTTGGATGCACAAGGCCGGCTTAGCTTCTCTCAGCAGTTACCTACACAGACTGCTTCAGACTAAGCTGGCAGATCTGCCGTAACACGAACACAACGAATCCAAAGTCATGCTACGCTTTAACCTGCAGATCCCGTTTGTCCTCCGCAGAGAACTTCTCATTGAATTCTTCTGTCATGTAGTGTTTTTGTTGATGTAATCACACAGTATGTGTTCCGGTTTGCCTTTCAAAGGGGAGTGCTGATTTTGCAATAAGCCGTAGCCTTTCCGTTATGTTTTTAGATTTTAAAACGTATTAGTCTTTAAGAAGGATCAGTAACATTGAATGTGGTCTATTTTTCAATACACGGAATTATAGATTTAATCTATAGTTTCGAGAAATAACTTTCATCCTGGACAAACGTACTTATTAGTATGTTAAGTAATCTGTGGAGTAGTCTTTTAATATTTTAATGTGGATTTGAATTACCTGATTTTGTGTGTGTGTGTGTGTGTGTGTTGAATGAGGTTAGTGGGAGGGTTTGCACTGTAAATGATTGTAAATTCATGCCTCATTCCTATAGCTTTAACTAATTTAAAGGCTTTTTAATTGTACGTTTAAAAAAAAAAAGTCTAAACTGTGTCACTACAGCTGTTGGTAAGGTCTCTCCTCGGTTGGCTGCTCGGTGTGTTTTCACAAACTAGTGTGTCCTCTTGTCTCGTCCAAGTGAATCCAACAGCTTAATAAACTGGCACCCAGTTTTCCGGTCAAACTGCTTCTGCAAACATTTGTGAATCGCCTTTCTTGTTGTTACACGAAGCAAATTACTCCAAGGTGAATTATAAACCGTGTGAGACTGACCAGATTTAGTGATTAGTTACTCAATAGTAGATGGGAATTTCCACAACCTTTCAAACACTATATTGCCACGCATCGACCCCCCCTTTAAAGAATAAACGGTATTAGGTGTCATCGGATGTCTGTTTTACAGCTTCATGTGTGCAGCCTGATGAAATCTTTGTTGGATCAGCACATTGTCACAGTTCACTGAGTTTGTGAAATGAGGCCACAGCCGCTCAGAAACGGCTAAATCCCATCTGTCTTGTTTACTCTGCTCTCAGATTTGAACAAAAACCGCAAACTGTCCCCTCGTTACAAACACAAAGAGCCTTTAATCCTGCAGCCTGAGGGTACTGGAGGAGCTTCTGCAGGAAGGACCCATTCACTCAGCTGAATGATACAGAAACATCAAGATCTCACTCTCCACATAGTGAAGATTAACATTCATTCCAGAGGGAACCAATGTCCTAACCACTTGTTGTGCATTGTTGATTTTACTATTATCGGGCCATTCATCTGAAGGGCTTATGATAGAAATGACTGTAAAAGACATTTTAATGTAAGGATTGCCGAAGAATAATAAACGACCACGACAGAAAAGTTTTTATTTAGCAACATTTAAAAAAAAAAATAGTTCTGGTCTTGTATTTAGTTCCTCAAAAGACACCCGTGGTGTGTACGAGTCATAGTACACCATCGTCCGTGATGATTGACAGCACCTGTGTGTGATTGCAGGGGCTTTTATTGTATATTTCTATTAGTTCAATTATATAATAGCGAATGTGTAGAAAACGTAACTGGAGGTACTTTTCTTAAATTGCTCGGTTGCTTTGCTCCACTTGAGGGGATGAAGCTTCACTGAATCCGTTCCTCGTCCCGCACAGGTGAAATCGCGTATTCAGCGTAATTTCGTCTCGGGACGTCACTTCCCAGGGAAGTCCTAAACTTTTCCATCCGTGCAGCAGGCTGCACCGCGGGCAGGAGGAGGAGGAGGAGGAGGAGGCGCTTTTGGGATCGCCTCGGCTCCTTGCCAAGGCGGTAGGGCGCATTTTGAACCGCGGTGGCGCACGGGGACAACAGTTTAGTGTTTTTTTGTTGTTGTTTGGTTTATTTTAGTTTTTTCACGACTGGAAACGGGCTTCGCTGAAGAGTTAAGCAGACATTCCGATCTACCGCGGGGAAGGAAACGCCAAAAAGCCACCGGACCGATGCGTGGAAGCGAATGCGCCCGTGCGCTTTGAGGAGCGATGCGTTCGCAGGCGGCCGGAAACCTTCCTGCTTTCTAAAGTCAAAGGTAAAGAACGTGGAGCTTCTAGCGTGGACTCGCCGCCTCCGTCTTTCCTCTCAGGCCGGAGGTCCGGGGAGGAGATGAGCGCTCGGGATGGGACTGTGCCTCGGTACCGAAGTCACAGAGGAGCAGAAGAAGGCGAGGACACACAGTGCCGAGATAGACCGAGACCTGTACGAGTGCGCCAAGCGGGAGATGAATGTGGTTAAAATACTCCTGCTAGGTGAGACTGACGACTTGCACACCTTCAGGTCACCTCACAGATGTTTCCTCTGCACTGGCGTGCACGTTGCATGATAGTATACAATGTCCACTTGTTTTGTTTTGCACCTTCGTAGACTCGATGATGAAACTAATGAAATTCATTACCACTGCGTTGAAAGAAAGTCCCAGTTTGACACCTTTCCAACTCCCTTCAGGTGCAGCTGAGAGCGGTAAAAGCACGTTGGTCAAACAGATGAAGATCATTCACAGCCACGGCTTCACCAAGCAAGAGCTCTGCAGCTTCAAGGTGGGAAATGCACACACAGGTTCACTCTGCAGCCTGATGTCTCCATTTGATCGGGTAACCGTTTGCTAGTCTACAGTAGACTCGGTGTTTGGTTTCCAGAAGAACGACACAGGATAGCAGTTAAATCCCTCTGAGGGGAAGTGGTAAAGCTGGTGTATTCTTTTAACCCATCAAGATGTCATTTGTTTATGTTGTCGTCATGGCACAGTTTCATATACTTGACTCCAGCAAAGGGAAGCCAGGTATTTGCAGCAGGCGCAGTGAAAGATGTGGAGTCGGTGCAGGTGAACCGGAGATGAGATGGAAAACGAGGCTTAGTCACATCCAAGTTGGGACGCAGTGTTTTTTTTCTGGCTTTGTGTGTCTGTGAGCAACCGGAAGCCTGATTTCTCCATCATACAAGCGGTTTGGAGAATGGAAATGGTTGAACACACACACACACACACACACACTAGCTTGTTTGGATTTAATCCCCGTCTTTCCCTACACCCCCCTTCCTTTTATAGTTTTACCTCTTTTCCCCTCCCCTCGCTCTGTACTACTCTATATGTTTTCCTGTCATGCATTCACATGAGGGTTGTGTGGCGACAGAAGGCTTTTCTTTGTCTTCATCCTGCTGCAGGTTCATGCTCTCACTGCAACGCAGTGACAAGGCAAACTTTGAACAAAGTCAATTCCCCCTTTGTGTTCAAAACACTGTCAAACTTTGGCAAAACCTTTTTTTTTGCATTCGCTCATTGTCAGGATTATGAACCCAGGCCCTGCTGTGACACATGACAGTCCCAGTTGTCTGTACTGGCAGCTGGGATGTTTAAAAAAAAAAAAAAAAGCCTAAAAGTACCTCAAGTTGGTATTGATTCACTGGTTCATTATCAAGGTTTTTATCTGGTTTTCCTTAATTTAAATAAACAGTTACAGTCTTACTGTATACATTTATTTCAGACTTTATTTAGGAACATTTTTACATTGCTGCTTGACAACATTTAATATGCTTTTATTTTTTTAAATATTAGTCCAAAAACTGCAACTAGTAACAAACCAGACTACTGGTTAATGTCTGCAGTGATGAAAGTGGATTTGTGAGGCTGAAGAAGCAAGATGCTATCATTAGCGTACTAACATGCTCACAATAACAACATGGGTTACTTCATTCACCATCATCACTTGTGAAGACTTTGCTAAACAACACTCACCGAAAAGCGCAGCTGCAGTGAATGTCGATGTGAATTAATTATTCAAGTATTGGACTATGACTCGTTTTTACCTGACGATGACCCAAGATCACCCCCAAACGCAAACAGCCCTGAGGAGATCCTGAGTATCCGCAGCAAACTCCGCAACAATCCTTTTCAAAGATGACGAGACACTTCAATTGAAAAAGAAGAAGCTCATCTCCCCCCCATGGCGACTAACGGGGTCTTTGTTAATGATGCCCAGTTATTGAACGTTTTCATCGTTCGCAAAGCTTCTAAAAAGCTCAAACGTTTTTCATCGCTTGACTACGGCTGCATTAGGAATAATCTAAGCAGTACGCAAATCTTTCTTACACGTTCAAGCATGCACACGCGTGTGAACACGTGTTAAATGCCAGTAGTCAAACTCTCTTTTGTTGTCCGCGCTGTCAGTTAGTTTCGCCTTTGTTCTCAGGTGACGCCCTTGTTTTGGAAAAAATGAGACTAACTCCCAGACCTGCCCTTCCCTTTTCCTGATCATTCCAACTCACACGCACGCACACACACACACACACACCTCTCTCAGTTCTTTATTATCTGGCCTGTGTGCATATTGTTCCACGTGTGTATTATTTTCTCTTCCTGCTATCTTGACCGGTTTAGCATTGAACCCCCCGGAGCTTGTCTGGAACCGGACAGGTAATCCCTGCTGCTGCTGCACGCTATCTGTTCCATCACATTTCCCCTGAAGGCGCAGGGAGAACAGCCCCGTCTCTCCCTTTCCCTGTCTGGTCGGGCTGTTGTCCTGCCGTTGTGTTTGCATTGCGTTAGGACCGTGACGGCCTGTTGGAGTGGAAGAAATGTAGGAAGCTGGCTCCTCTTTGTCTCATCCCTCCTTTATTTGCAGCCCGAGGCCGTGGTGTTATTTCCCCTCATTCTCTTCCAATGCACACAACTGTGGATCAACAAACGTGAGGCTTTGTGTGTGTGTGTGTGTGTGTGTGTGTGTGTCTGTGTGTGCGCAAATTAATGCGGCAATGCGTGACATTTCTGAGCTGAATTTGTATTCCCGAGCCAAGAATCTTTTTGTTGATTCAGGCGTTTGTTTGACGGATAGGTTTGTGAATCAGGGATCGTTCTCACATAGTTAGTTATACATTGTTAGCGGAACAGCTTTTGGTTAATAATTAAATACCAGACCATCGTCCGTTCAGCTGCGTTCTTTGTTGTTCTACTTCGGTAGTAAATTGCTCTGACACAAGACCACTGCTAATGACTGTTGGTTTTCTGGGTTCAGCGAGCAGGTATGAACAATAGTCCAGTGTATCTGGATGGATTTAGAGGTTTCACTGCTTTTAATGGGAGTTGTACCATAAGGCTCCCACAAGGCTTCAAACTGTGGTGTGTGTGTGTGTGTTGCACTTCCTGGTAAACGGACACGCACACTTAGGGGTGTATTTTTACACTACACTGCCACAGAGGTGACGTACGGTGTGATGGTGGATGTAGATTGCGTGCGTGCGTGTGCACATTGGTATGTAAAAAGAATGGCCAGTGTTTGTATATGAGGGGTAACGTAGCCCTCTGGTAGTGTTGCAATATTTGGAACCAGTTGATTGGTACACAAAAGTTGCTGCAGCAACACAAAACCAAAGCAAGTCTTCAGTCAGAAAGGGAGGATCCTGGAAACTATTGCGACGGAGGACAAAGATAGAGGAAGGAAGGAAGGAAAGAATGAACCAACTGAATGGACAGAAGAGAAAGGCAGTAATTAATCTGTTTCACTTTTTTTTTTTTTTTTAAATCCTTCAAATGTTCTAAACGAGCCTTGATTGATCCTTAATGAAATGACACATTTAGCAGCAGTCCCCTACAAAGCTCCGATGCTCCCTTCAATTTTTATCATGCCCAATTAAATATATGTTCTGTTTAACCGGGCTAATTGTGTGCTTTGAATACCCTGAGCAGAAGTGGGATTCAAACCATCTGTGTCAACTGACCCGTAACTACCGTTAAGAGAGCATCACCCTTATATCACCATCTGCATGGTTTATGCTCATAAAACCTATGATCAGCACCATGAAACATCCAGTAGTTATTGTTTGTAATGCTATTCGAATGCTGTTATGATGGAACATATCCGGTGTTGTATGGAATTGGATATCGTAGCAGATGCCGAGATGATGAGGCAGAGGGAGTGTGGCAAGCTGTTTATTTGCCCACACAAATCAATGCGTCCCCTTCAGCGAGGGTTCCCCCAAAATGTCCCGGAGAACGTGATTTGAGCGGCCCTTAGCTCAGCCCCCCCCCCCCCCAGAAGATGAAGCCCTGTCAACGCAGGGAATTATCCCTCGCTGCGCATGTCACTTAGAGAGCAACGCATCTCAGTCTGGACACTGAAACACACACCGAGAGAGAAGAGCGGCCAGACCGTGATGGAATGTGAAGCTTATCTTTAGCTGGCAGGAGAGTGACGAAGAGGATAACACACACACACACACACAGACACACACATACGCATACACACGTTCAGACTCTGCAGGAGTCCCTCTCATCAGGCACTAAACCAGAGTTATGAGTTTAATTCACGTGAATTACACGGCACACTCACTCACAGGATTTGATCCCTGATCCACGGGGTGTGATAGAACACACAGACCTGTGTGTGTGTGTGTGTGTGTGTGCTAAAGTCCACTCATATTCATGTTTACAATGAGAGCGTTATCAGTCTGATCTTCACACTCTGCAAAAAAGCGAGTAAAAGTATTTCCAAAAATGTTGGTTTTCAATAGTTGTTCAAAGTGATGAATTTGCGTTTTTCCCGTTGCCATGGCTGTTCATGAACTTAACCATTGACCATTGATCTTCGGCAGCCTGCAGTGCTGGATAACCTCCTAACCTCCATGAAGTTTGTCCTCCATGGCATGGGCGTCCTTCGGATCAACCTGGCCAACACCAGGAACAAGGTATTTTATTTTATACCTTTTTTTTTACATTTCGTCTTCATCATTTTTATTAAATGCTTCACTCCCTCTGGTCTTTGTCTTTGCCATCGTGCTCCTCGTCGCTGGTTCACTGCACCAGATCTCCACTAGAGAGCAGCATCTCAGCACTGCAGCCACAGCTGCTGCATCTAGCACCACACACACGCGCGCACACACACGCACACACAAACACACGTATATGAAGGCACGAGAGCGGAGTGCTAGGCTCCGTCGACGACTGGATTGCGAGTTTCAATTTGAATTGAACTTTAGTTATCAAACTCAGACTGTCCGCACACTCGGCACATCTTGCCGGGAGATGATGACCAAATTATTTCCTCTATTAAATCTCACCATGGTGTGTATGTATGTATCTGTGTGTGTGTGTGTGTGTGTGTGTGTGTGTGTGTGTGTGTGTGTGCATGTGCTTTTTCAAACGTCTTTGCGTGTACACCCATATAGTTATCCATCCGTAACAATTACCGAGTCCTGAGCGCCAAGTCGGACTCCTTTCCTCGTCCTCTTTTCCATCTGCCCCGACTCCTTCCTGACCAGCCGTCCATCCATCCACATATCTGTCTCCGTCTCTCCTTGCAGGTCCACGCCCATTCCGTCCTGTCATGCGGGCGCTGCTTCGACGAGGACACGGTGCTGTTTCCTTTCCTTGGTCACGCCCTGTCCTGTCTGTTGGCCGACCAGGGGGTGAGGGCGGCGGCGGCCCGGGGATACGAGTACGAGCTCAATGACTCGGCCCTGTAGTGAGTACACACACACTGCCGCTGTGCCGGGGAGATGCAGGGGTCCAATTAGCTGCTGCTGATGACCTGCTCGGCCGTGTGCTCGCTGTCACTGGGAATGAGAGTCTGGGGAGTGGAGAGGAAAGTAAGAGGGAGACGAACCCCAGGAATTGGTAATTACACCTCCATAGGCATTCTAGCATTAGATAGATTAGATTCAACGTCTTTAAAAAAGGTGCGCGAGTTGGATCTATGATGGTTTGGGATGCAGAGCAAGGTTAGAAGAAAAAAAAAAGCTCACACGTAGATTACTGTGAATGTTTGGAAATAAGTAAAGAGGTGAGGATGAGGATGAAGATGTGACTGTGGAAAGGACGTCGTGTGTAAGGCGGAGCTCGGACCCAACGGGAGGCTGTCGGTTCTCATCCTCCACCCCAGCGAGAGGCCTGCGCTCTGGGGTTATCCACACCGACAGCCTCCCTGGTTCCCACTGAGAACCACCAAACATCACACGCACACACGTGTTTATACTTCTATATTTGTAAGGACCCTCATTGAAATAATACATGTTCCATATCCTTATCTTAACTTTTAAGGGATTTTCCAATTAAATCCAACTTGGATTTTATTCATGTAGTAAGGCAATCAATTTTAATTGGTATTATTACTGAGACGATTGAACAAACCTTCACATCAATTACTTTACTCCCCTTACTGAATGTACTTAGAAGTTCTTTGTCTTGTAAAATCAGGGATTGTTACAAACATTTCAGAGCGGCTTTAGACATCTTAAAGATGATATTAACATATCAAACAATTTGTCATTTTAAGTTGAGTCCCTTTCCACCTGATGGATGCAAGTCCAATATTCTCTTTTTTTGGTCTGTAACTCCTGAGGCAAATTTCAGTTTTTAGCTGCAGCTTTCTTCACCATCCACACCAGCAGGTCTCTAACTGTTGTTGTGGGATTGGCCAAAATGTAGTCAAGTGAGAGATGACCCCTTTCTCTAAAGCTCAGAATGGTCCTCACAAATACACAAGTACACAACAGAAGCTGCCAGCGTGCGGCGTCCGGCAGGCAGTGGGTCATTCGAGCCACGGGATGCGCGTCCCTATGCAAGAAACTGATGCAGGATGACTAGCGGAGAATGTCACGGTCACTTTGAGGCAGGCAGAGACGTCACTGCCTGTGTGTTTGTTTGTGTCTACGTGTGTAAAAAGCTCACATTTCACTGAGCGCGCACACATGATCCAGTCGATTACACCTTAGCTGACTTAATAGTTAATCTGTGTTCGAAAGCTTCGCCTCAGTGTGTTTATTATGGTAAACAACAGTGTGAATATTCATGGTGATGAGGGGCTGCGCCCCCCCCCGGGTCCACAGCGTTATCACTGCACGCTCTGCCCGCCACCTGGCATCCGAGTACCACGACACACACACACACACACACACACACACACACACAATGTGTGAGACTCCAGCAACTAATACACGATTCTCTTTTGATCTCAAGTTGTTTGCAGGTCATTAACTTTTCCTTCCTCTACTCCCCCCCCTCCCGCCCCCTCCCCTCTCCCTCTTTTTCCTGGTTGCGCAGTTTCTTTCAGAATCTGACCCGCATCACGTCTCCAGATTACGTGCCCACGGAGACGGACGTCCTGCGAGTACGGCTGAGGACGACCGGCGTGATCGAGACGCAGTTCAAAGTCAACCGTCTCATTTTCAGGTAGACGCCTTTTGGTTGAGACTTACCAGCGCAGAGTAAGGGCGCATATGAGCGATGACTCACGCCGAGCTGAACTTCTCCACAAGCGCCTGTCGCACCGACTCACTTCACTCCTTTTTCGCCGCGGCACGCTTATCTCCGTCTACAGACGCGCGGGGCGGCTGCGTTCAATACGTCCACATGACGCCTGTCGTTGGGCTTTCACGTATACCGACACAGCACGAGTGGCTGCTTCTTATCAGCGAGGAAGCAGAGCGCAGGTACCCGACCCCCACCGAAGCTGATGCCGGGGGACAATATTCCCCTCCGATCAATGAGTCGATGCCCCGTAATACGTCACTATTCTCGATGTCTGAACCGTACTTGCTGAAGCTGCGGATGGTTTTGTTGGATATTGATGAACTTGATTAATCTGCCGCCTGACTGATGCTTCAAAACCAGCTTCAAAGAAAAAGCCCAAAATCACAAATTCTACACACTTTTCTAAAAGCTGGATTTTGTTGGTTGGTTATCGCAGCTTGGAATCAAAACTGGAAGTCGTTACATTTACTGAAGAAAACGGTTTCATATACTTGCTGCTGACGTTCGCAATGTCATAGTTGACGGGGAAGTCGATAATAAAAATTTGAAATACATTTAAATGGCAGTGGTAGGCCTATATGGAGTTGAAAAACTGTTCCGGGGTCAGTTCCTTGGAATTATATGTGTTGAAACTTGTAAAAGTAGAGAAACAACGAACTGTACAAGAGGATTTTGTTAAATTAGGTTCACAAAAAAGTATGTTGGAGAACTGACTGGAGAGTGATTGTATTATATTTTTAATATATTTAGAAACTCTTAATTTAAGGAAATCCTTGAAAGAAATCTGAACACATCAACACTCTCTGATGTGAACACACTGATACACAGGAATGGTGTTTATCCCGTCACCTTTGTTTAACATGCAGGCGCACAGACACTAAACGCAAACTACGCTGATGCTGATGGGAATATTGTCAGTTCTTTGTGTGTTTGGACAAATTGACACTAAATATTTGTGATCCGTAGAAGAGAATATCTGGAGGGCTGCTTTTAGTGTGTTGGCTGGCAGCAGCTTGGGGGATCGGGTGGGATTTTCCAGCGTTTGGTTTCATAAGGAGACCAATGGTGCGTGGATACAGGGTTAAAGGACTAAAGGATTTTATTGTGTGTGTCACTTAGAGCAAATGCGATTGCTCTTCATTGTTGGTAATGTCTACCCGAGGAGCTCCTCTCCTCTACCACAATAACAAGCTGTCCACCGTCCGCGCTCCACGTCACAACTTATAGGGAATTAAAATGATAAAACGCGTTGGGTGAACTTTTCATAAGATCTCTGTTTAGCATACAAACATTGTAGAGCGAGTCAGTTTGTCAGCAGGTGAACGCCGTCACGGGTAATTGTGTCAAATCTAAACGCTGCTCTTACGTCTGCTACTGGCTTCAGTGTTCTTGGCTATTTGACAGTATTTCAGACCAGGAAAAGTTTTACCGTATCTGTTCTGCAGCACAGCTTTTACTTCAGTCTTACTGTTTTTCGTCACTGTAGAGCAGCGGCGTTCAAACTTTTTCGGACACGACTCACGACCCACTTTGGGGAAGGAAAATGTTTATGCTCCACCGGCCCAACAAAACCTTATGTTGACGTTTTGTGACTCCTCCATCTGGTGTTTTTCAAATGGTGGATTAAAAAAATACAATCGCTTTCAAAGTGAACCAGATTGCAGCAGTCTGTGTACTTTGTACTTTTCTAATGTGGGAAGTTCTCAATAAAGTAAAATAATTTCCCCATCTAATACCTGTAATATTACTGCGGCTCACGAGAGGGTCGCGCCCGACAGGTAGAGAAAGCTTGTTGATTGAGGTTTTTAATCATTTGAGTAGCCTTTTTGTGTGTGTGTGTGTGTGTGTGTGTGTGTGTGTGTGTGTGTGTGTGTGTGTGTGTGTGTGTGTGATCAAGCCCGTGGGGTTGATGAAGAGCTTAGCATAAGTCAATGTAATTATTTGAAACAAAAGAGATATTAAGGGGATTTAGAGAAAAGGAGAGTTTATCAGAAAGTGAGCTCGAGTTTTTCCATTCAGACTTAGTTTCGTAAAACTACTATGAAAAGAGTCTTCATTGATTTCATCTTTTTATTTCCCCCACCTGAGAACAAGAAAGTTCACAAGAACAAAAGCGCATCAACAATAACAAGAAATTAAAAGCAGTTAATTAATAAAAACATCAGATAATAAAGCTTAAAAATCCCCAGCAAGATTACACACCCGCAGTGTGCAGTTCATCACCTTTTGAAAGGTGCATAGGACCTGAAACCAGTGTTGCTGCGTCCTCCCCATTCTGCAGGAAGGACGTTTGAAACATAAGACACTGAAAACAATAATGGCCACATCATGTTCAATATTTATTTTTTGTTCTAGTTTACCTATTTGACTAGCTCTTACTGATTTACTATTTTACGTTTGTGTACTATTACCTCTTACACCTTTCTTTCTATAGCTTTTTCTTATTGTTTTGTTGAAACCTCTTATCATTCTCTGGCACAAGATCAGGAATTAATGATTAGTCTGAAATGTGTCGATAGGTATTAGGTGCAATACATGGTTTAACAGCTCAGGTGTTGATGGGGCGTCGTGATAATGCAGAATATCTCCATGTTCAAAGACAATATGACAAACATCTGTCATTGTATATTCCATTCTGGTTTGATATTTTACTTGTCAATGGTTGATTATAAATCTTTAATGACCGTTCTTGAGCAAAATTCCTATTTCTATGACTAAATTTGTAAAGTATTAAACTTTTATTTCAACATTTGAAAGGTATCCGTCTTTATTCATCAAAGGTGTAGGAAAACAACCGCGTCTCATTTTTTAAATATTGAGGCTGCACGTGTAGATGACACAATGTGAAACTGCCTCCCACAGTTAAATGACCAGTTGCTTCATACTCAAGGTGCTTCAGTATACTTCGACATCTCATATAGAATGAAATGGAAATAAATTGAGTCTGCCTTTAGACTTTTGTTGAATATTTTGTGGATGTGCATCAAGTTAAATGAATGTGAAATTATTCTACAGGCGAGCACACTATTCAACATAGATGGACATGAGAGCTTTCCATAAAAAAAGATAGTAGTTGATGAATATTTACATGGGTTCAGACAGTCCTAATTTGAGCTATAACGAATGCTCTTTATTGCTGCATCTCACATTAACTAGAAAACACTTGTACTGTGAGGAATCCGTTACATAGCATAATTACATAATAAAACACATTAACAATGTGCTTTCACTGTTCCTTCTGTGGAAGTTTATACTACGAATAATGTGTAATGAATGGGACCAAATGTTCATGATTTGTATACCGGTAATTCACATTAAATGGCAAGAGGGACGGACTGATCACACAGCACAATAGTGTGCAATCAGTCCTTCGCCTCAATGCTGCTCGCTCACGTGTTAAAGTGGAATCAATCCTCTCATCCGTCGTTCTCGTTCTTCCTTTCTACCTTGTGCACCTCTTCTTTTCATCTTTGTAAAAAAGCTGTTCTAGTATATGAACGAGTGGGTTAGACTGACTGGAATAAATACAATTTAAATGACATATTCTCAGGAATTGAAGCTCATGTTACTCACTATTAAAAAAAAACAACTAAAGTTATCCCCTCAATCACCACAGAACAGGTCTTATTATCCTGCTGTTCAAACACTTAATCAACCACGCAGGCGGTGACCTCGAGCCATCGTCTGCTCACTGCGTCTGTGTGTGCAGGTTTGCATGAGTGTGTCCATGCAAACGTGTGTGTGTGTGTGAATGAGCATAGCGTCTCACAATTTTAAACCCAGACATGGCGTAGTTTGCATACAAACGTCCTGTTTGACCTTTAACCTGTCAGTGTAATAACGATGTGGGTCTTTTCCTGCATCGTTAACATCGCCCGCTCTGATAATTGGCATGACGACGCCGCTGATGAGGGTGAACTTATGGTGCAGGAAGGGCCGTGGTGCACAGCGTAAAGCAGGAGAGGCGATGTAAGCTGACGTTACGGTTTTCACATTTACGGAAAAGCGTTTTTACTGTAGTACAGACGGGGTTCAGGTTTGGAACATGTTGCCTTTCAGTTGGCTTAATCAGTTTTCATCCACAGAATTTTATAAATAATGGATCCTACTTTCACCATAGACGGACTACAGTCCTGATCTTTTGTGTAAAAGAAAAAAAAAAGTGTTCCCAAAACAACGTAACGCTAATTGAGATTTGAACACCCATTTTAATTGTAATTGTCAATTAATGTTTGCAACATTTCCAACTGAAGCTTGTGCAGTCGTAGAAACGCGATGCTGTCATGGTAGTTGGCGTTTGGCTCTGGCTGTCCGGAGGTTTAGTATAAGATGAGGACCTTTTGTAGATGTTTCACTCCTCTGGTAAACGATCTGGAGCGACATTATTTTGCCTCTTTGAAGGTGCCATGACATTACGTGGTTCTGTGTGATGTGGGAAACGCTGTATGAGGCTGTGTGAAGGGAATACTATACAAGTCTCTGCATACAAGCTGTACCAAGAGCTCCCAAATCCTAATCGTGTTGTAATAAACGGATATATCAGAGTTAGAACAAACCTGAAGCCCCAGGTGTCCTCTTATGAGGGGATTGAGGTGTGTGTTGAGTGTGAGTGACGTCGTGCACATGTGCTGGGGAGCGGGTTTGTGTAATAAAGTGTCCACTTCACTGACATGTTCTGGGTTGCACATCATTTTTCCACGGAAAATTTCTATCGGGAATCCTCCCTCATCTTTGCTTTGCGACCCCCTCCACGGTTTGTTTCCCTCTTTGCGCGTCCGTGTTTCCACATGTTCATTTCCCCTCTCAATAAAGCGCTGCATTAACTCGATGGATGCTGCAATGGAAGGTGGGAGATCTGGGAGCACATCTGGTTTTGAAAATGGGTGAAGTGGGACAAACTAATCCGTCTCTGTGCTCATGTGCTCTTACTCCTGTTGTGTTTTTCGCTTTCATTCTTTTTGGAGAGCTTTGACCTTAACGCTTCCTTTGCTGCCGCGTTGTGATTTGTCTCTGGGGGGGAAATGTTATGATTGAAAAAGGAAGCAGACCGGTCTTCAGAGAAGTGAAAAACACTTGCGTTGCATATTCCAGGAATATCTTGGCCGATACAATCTGCCAGTGATGAGCGCTGCCCTTCGGCGCTCTCGTACGCTCCACCGTCGGTACGGAAGGTCACGAGCGCAGCACCGGCTCACACGTCTCTGCTGGGAATTGAATCCTGATAAAGGACATGTCAGTCACAATGTGATGTCATACAGCGTACCTGCACACAAGCACACGCATGCTGTTATACGACTTAAATCCAGTGCTGCCTTCCATGTCAAATGAGCGATGAATTGATAGACAAGCAATCTTGCTTTTTAATGAAATCGTGACTTGATTACTTCATGTAATGTTTCGCCTCGATAAGAAACTTGTTATCTGAGTTGATTTTTTTTTTTTTTTCTAAATCAATTGCACCTGGATTCACAATCACAGCGTGGATCTATCTGAGCCTCTGCACACGTCACACAGCTTTTTGTTTGTTTGTGTCTTTTAATAATTGATGTGTTTTAGCTTCTTTCAGCTCCTCATTTTGGTTTTATGACCCACAACTTTACTATTTTGTTTTACTGTCACTTTTTGTGTGTGTGTGTGTGTGTGTGTGTGTGTGTGTGTGTGTGTGTGTGTGTGTGTGTGTGTGTGTGTGTGTGTGTGTGTGTGTGTGTGTGTGTGTGTGTGTGGACATTCAACAGGCTGCAGATGCACCGCTGCAGGTTAATGCTTCGTCTGCTGGATGTGTCAATAGTCAACTAATGTATATATATTTTTTCAGATTAGTTTCTTTTTAGATAAATCTTTAACTTGACGCCTGTCTGTGTGAAGGATGTACGACGTTGGAGGCCAGAGAACCGAGCGGAGGAAGTGGATTGGTTGTTTCGAGGATGTCCGGGCCGTCCTGTTTGTGGTGGCGCTCAGCGGTTACGACATGACCCTGGTGGAGGACCCCTCCGTGGTACAGGCTTCACTCTACAACTCCTCCACCAACATTCATGCTCTCCGTGCAGAGCAACCGGAAGCCACACGTTGTGTTCCCCTCTGCAGCCGTGTGATGCTTTGTGTCTCCTCTCTGCAGAATCGTCTTCAGGAAAGCATGAAGCTGTTCTCCTCCATCTGCAACAACATTTACTTCCACAGCACCTCCGTGGTGAGATATTCTCTCACTTGCTCCACCTCACAATGAAGAGGACACACAAAAACGATTGTTTCCCGAATTTAAGTGACGCTAAAGATTATTTATTCATAGAAATCTGGTTGATAATTTCACCAAAGCTGAAGAGTTTGATTAAAAGGAATTTGTAATTGCTCTTGAAAAGTTATGAACAGATCAACAATAGAGGGATTTTCTCGTCTGATTTTTTATTTTTTTTTAATCTCCTTTGCAAGATGTCACTCATCTGCAATGTGTGTTTAGTGTAAAGATGCTAACACGCAACACTAGTATGAGGACCATAAGCCAAAACAAAGCCGCACTGTGCACAAGTATCGCCTGTATCTTAAATAACCGGAATAAAAGGGTCCCGCTGAAGAAGAGTGAAAATGCAATTCAGTTTGACGGTTCAGTCTGTGGACAGAAAACATGGAGCTGACACCAGCAAACTCTTTTTGTTGCTCGCCATTTGTTCTTTGACCCTGAGACACAAGAATAATACCAGTGCGTTTAATGAACGCGGTTTCCACACACGAGACACACACACACACACACACACACGGGCATGCAGAGGGCCCAGCCCATCGTTTCGTCCTGTAGTTCTCCCTCACTCTTAATTAAAAAGCAAGTTGTAATTAGGCTGAGCTTTGGCGAGGCGACATTTTCCCCTCTCTGTATTTTTCCAATTTTCCTTTCCGGTAAATGATCCCATTAAAACCAGCGTGTAACGAGCTTATTCAATTTATTCCACTTAACTCTCATTTAAAGCCCACTTGACAGACAATTCGGTGTCACTTTCTGTTTTATGCAACTTTTCCTCAACCCTGTCACTGACGTCGTTTCTGGTCGCGCCTTTACCGAAAAAACTCCAATCCCTGTGCATTAAAAGGGATCAAGCATCAGTTTTGATGTATTTCATGCATTACATTTGCTGTCTGTCAACGGAACAGAAAATCTTAGTAAGAAAGTGTCCCACCAAATTCGCTTTCAGTAATATTTTCATAAAACCATTTTATTTAAGGCATCGTTAGAGACAAATGGGCAATTAAATGCGTGTGTGACGTGTTTGTGTGGGGGGGGTCCGCAAGTTACCGCGGCCGACAGGCTCATTAAACAAAAGTGTTTAATGATACCTTTTTAACGTGGGAGGGGAATTTGTAACCTTCACCTCAATTAACACTCGCATTACACACGCAGGGCCTCGCGCCGCATCCGGTTCCTTGAACGTCTACTCGTCCCTCCCTCGTCATTACCTCTTCTCATGTATGTTTTTGCGATCCGAGGTGGACGGGAAAGACAACACTGGCCCGTAGTTTTTAATTGGCTGACTAGAAAGCCAACCGTACCTTTTTTGAGGTGTGATGGTTAGAGGAGCACTAGTTGAGTCCCAGAGACTTACGAAGCCGTAGCCGAGTGATTGATCGCACAATGAGGAGTGGATGGAGCTCATTGATCCGCTGTCTTCACTGCGGGCTGGTTTCAACACACAGATAACGACTTTCACCTTTTGGGTAAATATCTGCAAAGCAATAGATGTGAGTGTAAAAATAAAAGTGTTTTGTTTCATTGTTCATTCATACAGATGCAACATTTTCCTTTTCTCAATATCTTCCGGATTGATTTTACTTTCACACTGCAAACGCTGTCCACTTCTGATGAGCTTGTTCTGTGTTTGTGTTTTTATTGCAGATTTTATTCATGAACAAGATCGACCTTTTTCAAGACAAGATTTTACACTCTGGGCGACATCTGCGTTTGTACCTGCCACAGTTCAAAGGTAGGATTGATGTACATTTGATTCCATCCTGCTCACATTGGGTGTTATTGAATTTGACATCTTTTTTACTTGATTTCAGTAAACCTTTATTACATTAAAAAGAATGTCCACCATTCAGAGTATACAGGCTTTTAAACACAAAACGAGACTGATAATAAACCATACGTTTTCTTCTTCTTTTCCGTGCACTCTGCTCGGCAGATCGCTCCCCACATCCGAGGGTCCCCTCTGCTCTCATGCAAATGTCAATATAAATGCTAAAACTCGTGTGATTGGGGTCAGACGGCAGCGTCCGTTCACACTGACCTCTCATGTGATGACCAGTGGAACACACTCCGACCCTTTTCGTCTGATGTTCCCTCACGGCAACACCCCGCCGTGTCATTTCATCTGGATAGTTTCGCAATATCATTAAACTATATGAAATGGCTTTTTTTTTTTAACCACAGTTTTTGATGCTAGATGATTCTAAAATTGTCGATATTCACGTTTTCTTTAGTTTTTTTTCTGCGTTCCTCATTCTACCACTATCGCCTCGAGTGGCAAAGCTACGTTTGAAACATTTATCCAATGATTTCAGCTTAATAAATCTTTCCTAGTAACAGTGGTGGAAATGAACAGAGTTTATTTACTCAAGTAAAGTGTTCCAGACATCTGAGCTGTTTGCACTCCCAACAAACAGGATGTCTTTCCCTAAACGTTTACCATACGCTCTTTCAAATAATTAATAATGTAACAATGATACATAAAGTCATACTATAGACAAAGTACAGCCCTCTGAGTCTGAACGGGTGAGTGAAGAATTTCACTTTGATACTTTTAAGTACATTAAAGGATCTGAATACTTCTTCCATCGCTGCCTGGTGACTTGTTCCTTGTGTCATCATTTGTTGTTCAGATGTGACGGTTGGTGTGATGCCCGTCCTCCTTTCCCTGTTGTCGCTAGTAGTTTATGATACACGTAAATCATCAATTCTGTTTCTTAAAGTTACCCAAATTGTCTCCTCCCAGGTGCAGACTGCGACGTGGACTCGTCCGCCCGCTTCATCGCCGCCACCTTCCTCTCGCTCAACGCCGCTCCCAGCAAACTCGTCTACCACCACTTCACCACGGCCACGGACACCTCCAATGTCGAGGTCGTCTTCGAGGTGGTTATGGACACCATAGTCAAAGAGAACCTGGAGGCCGTGTCTCTCCTGTAACTGCCGGCGGAGGTCCGTCGCTCCATTGGGCCGTTCGGCACCGGATGGCTCGTTATAAACGACATGAAGATCACGAGCTCCAGACACTTGTTTTCTCTGTGCAGGTGCAGCTTGGAGCTCTGACACTCTTCTCCTGTGATGCTTGATTCTCGGGGGTTGAACCCTAAAAACAATGACTTTTGAAACCTTGTGTTGAGGCATTTTGTATTTTCTACAAAATCAGACTATGAATGGTGAAGTTACGCCTGGAGGTCTCGTTACATGCCGTTTATTTGTGTGTTTGTGGGCGGGCAGGACAGAGAGGGGGTGATGATTTAGTGTTTGTCCGTTGTGTCCTCACTGCAGAGGCGTGATCACTTTCAAAGCCCCCCCAGTTTGTGTTTAACATCTCCTCTCGCACCCGGTTCATTGTAATCTGTACCTCCACTCACTGGTTTTTAATATAAGAAATAGGTAAAGAAACCTCCTTGAAGCTGTGATGTTTCATCGTGTGACACACACACACTCTGGATCCCTGCCGGGCGATGCTTCCTACGTGTTTGTATTGTGTGGGACTTTGCCAGAGTCTGACTGATGTGATAGTTATTTGCTCTGGGGAGCCTTCAAACCAGCTTTGTGACTCCAGTAATAAACAGGATCTGGTTATGACTGATATGCTCCGCTATAAATACTGAAGATGAAAGAAAATCACCCCAGGTGCCTTTATGATGAAGTGGTTTTGCGTTGTGTAATTTGAAGACTTCATATGTGTATGAACTTAACAAATATTCCTTCTCTTCTTTTCTCCACTTTCAGAATAATTGTCTTAACTCTTTAAGTCTGACCGTCACACTTATATGGTGTTTGTCTGTACTTTGCTTTGTACTGAAACTGCAGGTTTAAAAAAAACAAACCTGTACCAATTCAACTCAGTGGTGGATCACTTATTTTTAAGACAAATTGAATCCACGCAAAAAGGTTTACTAGTGTTTGTTCTTTTTAATAGATAAAATAAATAAAAGTACTTTACAGGAAATCTGCTGTGCAGTCAACTTTCTGGACATTTAATACATTTTTGCAATGGAGGGTCTGTGGTTAAACAGTAAAGATGGAAAGAAGATGGTTTTAACAAATACCTCTCGCACTTTTCTGTCTACACAACCAAAGTAAAACGGAACAATTGTTTGAATATTCCTTTTTTTTTTTTTTTAAATAAGAACATTCAGAGTCTGCAGCGGTCCATCGTCCACCCTCATCGCCTTTTCCTCTTCTCCGTCGCCCCTTTCCTCTCCTTTCGGTGTCCAGAGAAGCGCAGCCGGAGGACCAGGACTGTCTCCGCAGGTCGGACCGGCCCTCAGGCGGACAGGCAGTCCAGGGAGTCCAGCGTGAGGAAGACGTCCGCCTTGCACTGGAAGGTGCCCGTCCCGTCCCGCAGCAGCTCGCAGCTCTTCAGGTTTGGAGAGATGTCCTTCACGCAGATGGCCTGCAGGAGGAGAGGAATGTACATCAACCAACCAGAGACCAATAATACTACTTTATATATATTTATGAATAACTACACTCCCGACCATTGAGTGCAGCCATACTAATAGACTGCAGCCGTTGTTTACGCATCTCATATTTGTATTTGGTATTTGTCCGTAATGGTAAATCTGAATTCACTCCCGCTGCAGTCTGCGCTTCGACGTGCTCGCTGCTTTGCCCCTTTTACTCAAGAGTTGTTTGAGATTCAACATTTTGTTCTCCACAAACGCGCGTCTTTATGAGAGCAACACATGTCCTGCCTCATCTCCAAACATATATGGTTTATTATTTTTACTGATGGAACTGAAAGGAAACCTCCTCCGCGCCTTCTTCTTAGTTTGACCAATAACAACTCCGCCTAAAGCAGGAATAAAGCGTGCACCTCCTTCATCGTCCTTACCATGCTCTTTAGGATGGAGATCTGCTTGTCGGTCTCTGGAAGCAGGTTGTTGCCCGCCGTCTCCCCGCTTTCCATCAGCGCCTCTTCGGACTCGGACCTGCGCACGTAAGGTGACCTCCGGATACCGGACAGCAAGCCGGAGGCGCGACCCACCGAGTAGTAGCTGGGCCCGGTGGACTGCTTGTACCAGGCTTCGACCGGATGGCAGCAGATGAGCAGAGACACGCCGACGCACACCACGGCGAACCGGACTGACCTCTCCATGTCTGGAAACGTCTTGGTACTTTTTACGCAAAAGGATCAAACCGCAAAGCCGATGTCGTCTGTTGTTGGTCGAGGGGGGCCGACTTGGATGTTGGGCTGGAAAACTTTCTGCTGCTTATATAGGATGCATGCGCGACGGTATCGTGACCCAGGACGCGCGTCGAATCGGAAACGAGGTGGGCGGAGGGTGATCCGTCTGTGTGTGTGTGGGGGGGGGTTGAGATGTGGACATCACTCCTTCTCCGACGTTTGTGGAAGTCTTGACGTAAGTGGTCAGCTGAAAGGTGCTTAGTTCACGGATGACATGAGGAGCGAGTTTGTCTCTCTGTGGAAAAAGTACCACGCTTTCATTTCGGTTTCAGACACCATGTTGCGAAAAGTCAGTTCATAACATTTGGGGATTTCATTCAATTTCTCTTGGTGCAAAGTGCGTAATAGCTGTTAGAAAGGGCCCGGTGTTTACCCACAGCACACAACAACAACAACAACGTAGAATCACTGCGCCGGCTTCAGAGAATGAGGGAAAACAGGCAGATTAGAACAAAAAATATCAATAAACAAGTGAATGATTGACTAAAGCAAATAATATTCCGTTCCTTTCTACGCAGATGGACTGGGAATAATTCTTACTTCAAAGTGAGGAATCTTCTGAGGAATCAATAGAAACCCTTTTCCTTATTGATTTGCTGACTTCACGTGTGTGAGGAGGAGCGATGGGGGGTACAAACAAAGGGGGATGCATATATAGTTTGAATCAGTTATATATTGTGTAGCCATGTTGTATGAAAGGGCTATGGGAGGGTTATGATGGAGGGGTCTGGAAGAGGGGAAATGTTCCTTAGAACAAATAGAGACAGATAAGGAGGACTTGATGAGATTATCTTGATACATGAGGATTAATGAATCTTTTCCAAAAACAATGTTAGGAATTAATGCAATTCCAGTTTTGTAAAAGCAAAGGTTTGAGCATTTGACAAAAAAAAGAAAAAAAACAAATGATCAAATGTATTTGATAAAAAAACAATGAGACCATATCCATGCACATCATGTCAATCCAGATGACTGAGAGGACCATTTAGTGTCCATTAGAGTTCATCAGAGTCCGTTGTAGAGCGGTCTGCAGTGCGGCTCTAGCTTGTCCTCCAGGACGTAGTCCGGTCCACAGACCCAGGGGTCCCCCGTGTCCCACTGCCACTTCTGCAGGCTCTGCCTCAGGCTCTCCAGCACTGCGCTGTAGGACGGGTCTGACACCAGGTTCCTCGATTCCAGCGGGTCTGCCCTGTGTTGGTGAAGCATTTGTTCAAATTCATAAACACAGAGCACAAACATGTTGTTGCCTTTTACTTTGTTTGCCTGTAATTAGTAGCAGATAACATTTAATTATGAGACGTTAAAAACGTGTCTTTTATAACGAGAGTTATAAAAGTGTCAAACTATAATGGATAACGGTGGTTGGAAATTAAGTTAAATTCAATATGCAAATGGGTTTTAAAATTCAAACAATATTCACATTTTTTATAGCATTTAAGTCCAAAAAGCATCTCTCATTTCAGCTTTCAGCTCTTTCACCTAAGAGATAGTTTTTGTGTTCTTGTTGCATTACCCACAGAAAACTAAATGATTCATGTTAAATTAATGACAATTTTGAGTAATTTGGTTTACAAAATATCCAAAAATAGTGAAAAACTTAACTATTACTACTAAGGGAATTTTATGTTGTCAACCAATTGTCTGAAACATTTTTCTCTTTTTAATGTATTCAAATTGTATGTTTTCAGCACACCTTCCGTTACGTTGGCAGCCTTGAACACATCCTCATGGTTATGTGACTAAATTATAAATGGTGGCCGCTGTACTCAGAGGGACTTAAGTCGTCCGCAAATCAACGGCAGTTATTGTGATCACTTATTTTTTTTGTGTGTTTCGATCCCTCAGCTCATTCACAGCACATGTGAAGACGCCTCATTTATTGAATCATTTATCTGTTTCTCATGACGTCTCCTACTGAAGCTAGAGAGCCCGATGGAACAACGCGCGCTGCCACTGACCTGCAGTCAAACAGCTCCCAGCGCTGCCTGTAGTAATACTGCTGCAGGCTTTTGAACCAGTGAGTGGGCTCGCTCAGCCTGCTGCGGTTCAGCAGGTCCTGGAAGGTGGGCGACACGTACAGGTCCTGGTCGATGGGGAAGGGCATGCGGTAGTGGAGGTTGTGCAGTAGGCGGTACGACCCCCGCTGGACTGAGCGGGTCGGGTAGTACATGGTCACCTGAAATCAAAACCACGAGGCAACGGTCAAGGCCTTGCGTTTGGTCGTGCGTGGCACCGCGGGGACGAGGTGGCGCTCGCGGACCTCGTGGAGGGACTGGCTGGCGTAGACGGTGTCCCAGCTGCGGGGCTCGCTGACCAGGGCCGGCAGTAAGGAGCGACCGGTGAGGTGGACCGGGGAGGCGGGCCCGCCGGGGAGGCTGTAGGACGGGTAGGGAATGGAGAACCAGTCCAGAATGGTGGGAGTGATGTCTGCCAGAGGAGAGAGTTTGGATTTCTACCATGTCCTCGATTGTTACTGAACATCTTTAGTGCAACATGCGATTGTCGATTGAGAAACATCTGCACGTTGAGATTGAGATTTTTTCACAGGAATTAAAAGAAGCGTTTTACTAATTTGAGAAAATGTATTTTGCTAAAAGCAGAGGTCAGTTGGTTTTGGAAAGGTCTGTTCCTATTGGAGATACCGGCTAATTATGTTTAACAAACACTTACTATTTATACACATGAATGTCCACTGCAATCATTTTAAAATTGTTATTTCACTATTCATCATGTTAGGTTTATCCTATTTGACGCATCATTGCGACGTCTCCCTCTTGTGGCCGATCAGATGAACACATTGACTTTGCCGTTCATTCATTTCAGTCAGTGTCCCCAAACCTGGGAACACACACTCCGAGGGTTAATGTCATCGCGATCTCCTTAGAAAAATCGATTAAGGAAGGAAAGGAAAGGAAGCATCCACATGCATCCGATTACATCCACAGCCGGTATTAATCTTCGGTTGAACTGCTCGCAACTCATCAGGCCATGAGCCGTAATGTGTTGCGTGACGCGTGACACGTCCCTAAAAAGACAATATTTAAAAAAAAGTCCCAAACCCGGTTTGGTTGCCCCTGAACTGGAATGCCACCTGCTTTCAGCACGCGGCTGCTTGACTTTAGGGTCTGTATACGTGTTTAAAGTGTTTCCAACCTCTTCGGGCCGGCATCTCTTACCCAGCAGGCTCACGTAGGCCCGGCTGGTGTCTCCCCATCGTCCCCTGTGCTCGGGAGAGGACACCAACATGGGCTCTGCAGTCCCGGATGTGTACAGGTTGGTTCTGCCGTTCGGGAAGGGGATGCCGTTATCTGAGCTGTAGATGACCAGGGTGTCGTTCTCATAACCAGCGTCTTTGAGCTCCTGAAGAACCAAACCGATACCTGCGTAGGAGATTCACCCCGTCGTAGCTCAGTGTTTTAACTCTTTCTTCTGACTCTCCTTCTCATTGCGGTTCGGCGTCGTTTCCTACCTTGGTCCAGCCTGCTGACTGTGGTGTACTGCGCAGCCAAGTCAGCTCGTGCCACAGGGGTGTCCGGCACGAAAGGAGGAACCTGAAGGACACGAAATGAGGACGGACCAGATTAAGAAGTGTTTGGAGCTTTGAGTCCTGGATCAAACCTTTGACCTTCATTTTAGGATTTGTGATTCTGTTTGTTTAATATCAGAACAGCAGCAGCAGAAGCGTGACCATGAGGTTAAAATGTACATGTGCACAAAATGATCTGCTTATGATCAAATATGTAACATTTACATATTAGAAAATAATATAATCCGTTAGTCGCTGACCTTTACTTGTTCTGGTGTGTAATATTCGGGTGTCCAGTCTGGTATCCTACCCATCCCCATTTCCCCGTTCCCAAACTTCTCACAGAAAGCTCCATACTGGGGCTGCGAGTGTCCACACCGGTGGGTATCATGAAAGGCAACATACAGGAAAAAAGGCCTCTCGTCATCTTTCGCGTCGTCTTTGTTCTCTTCTTTCTTTCGCCTTCGTTCATGAGCTTTTTCGTCATGTGTCTTGAAAAACTTGCGGACCAGGAGTTTGATGCGGGTGATGTTCCTCCCCACCTGGAGGACAGAATTGTTCTCCTCTGTGTAGGCAAAATCAAAAGGGTATACAGATCCAGGGCCGACATGCTTCTTCCCAATTATACCTGTGTGAGTGAGAGAATAACAGCGGTGATCAGAGGCAGGAGGGTTCACGACAGTTGACTTGAAATAAAGCGGCCTTTTTACCCGTGTGTACGTTGGCTTGGCTGAGGAGCAGCGGCAGACTTTGCACTCCGTCAAACGAGTTGAAGTGGTGAACCCCCTGGTGAAGCCCGTACATGCCATTCTGGTGCTAAAAACACATCAAACCGACCGAAAAGGAACAGTCCCTTTGTGCACGAATCAGAGGCTTCCATGCGTGTGTCTGCGTGTCCTTACCTGCGGCAGTCCGGTGAGGATGGAGGAGCGGCTGGGGGAACAGCTGCTGACGGAGGTGAAGGCGTTGCTGAACACCAGGCTACGCCGGGCCAGAGAGCGCAGGTGAGGGGTGTGCACCACAGAATTGTTGTACACCTCAGTCTCAAAACCTGCATCATCGGCTGAGAGATGGGGGGGGGGGAGAAACCTCTGGTGCCTTACACTGTGTGCGAACAACATTCTGTAACCTGGACTCTGGGATTTGCTCCTGTGATGCCCACTGATGTTAGACGATAAGACCTGTGGTTGTTTTAGTTTATCCCAAATGTGATGGAAGACGTTGAACTCAATTAAACTTGGTCTTGTGCACGAGCTCTGACCACACAGCGGACATCATTATACAGAGAAGTGTTTTGGTTATTTTGTCCACCCCATCTATATCGTCGAGGAAGAACAAACGACAGAACCACCTCTTTGTATGATGCAAAAGGATTTATTATAGGGCTGTTATACTGTATTTGTTTTATAGGTGAATATATATATATACATATATCAGCATCATTCCAGTTTAAAAGACATTTGAAGTCTTTTAAAACTCACTTTTCTCCACAAGATGTAAATGTAAAACTACACTCACCAATGATGAGGAGGACGTTCCTCCTCTTTGACTCTCCGATGCAACATGATGCCGAGATGAGAAGAAACAGCTCGAGCAGCATGATGGTGACTAACTAACTAGTTAGACTAATTAACTAGCTCCCAGCTGTCGTAGTGTCCCATAAATCTCGACTACGTCTCAAACTCTCCGCTCGTTTTAAACATCTACTAGAAATAGCGCCGTAAAAAGTGGGACAAATAAAGTCGTTGAGATGAATTCACAGTTGTGGGCCAGCTGCGTCCTCGTCGGGGTTAAATGTGTGTTTTCACGCCTTCCGCAAAATAAGACTTAGGCCCCGCCCATCAGTGGTCACATGACACAGATCACGTGGAGACACAAAACAGGAACTTGACTCGAGGTTAATCAGAGAATTGACTCAACGTTACATTTTAGGAAGTGGTTTTAGGAGAAGCGACAGAAACGCGTTGAAACAAAGGGAGCTGAAAATCACAGCTGAACCGCGGAATAAAGAAGCAATCAGATCTAGTAAGTGTTTCGGTTATATTCCGTTTCTTTTGTTTTTTATGCTTTATTTATTCTATTCCATTCTATCGTGTAACGTTAATGTTGTTTATTCTGTCCTGTGTTGTTGTTATTCTGCTCTAATATATTATTCTGTGTTTTATTCTATCTGGTTGTTTTACTGTTTCTTTCCCTCTATTATTCTAATTTGAAGTGGGGTTTTTCTGTTCTTTTTCTATTGAAATACCTTCCTGCTCTATTTAATTTAATTTTACTGTGTTTTGTTTTCTACTATTATATATTCTATCTCTGATTGGTGTAGAATACAATGGCTTGGTAAACATAAACACATTATAGGACACAATGAGATATAAATACATTATTATAATGTAACATGGCGCTATTAGTTACTCACCACACACTGAGGAATAATTTGATGAGTTTTATCCGTTGTGGCTGTAAAACAATATCGGCTCAGCAACAGGTACGCAGAGCCCTTACCTGTCATTTGACTATCACATGATCATAAAGACCTCAAAGCTTGTTACGGGCAATACGCACTGGAAGACATATAGGCTTTGAGTTCTCAGGTGACCTGGCAGTTTGAAAATGAATAGATTTAGGATTTCTTTCTTTGTCTCTTCACACACAGAAAACGTCATGCTTCTGCAAATACGGCGTCCGCTGTCTTTGATGCGGCGTGGGTTTTTCCAGAAAACCCCGCAGAAGAACTGACACACGCATGCACACACAGAGCGCATCTTTGTTGTGTTTTTCTGAATGCCGTACATCGGGGTGAGGAGGAGGAGGGAGCACAAGCAACACTCTCCAAAATCTGATGACTGACACATGAAGCACAGGAGGAAACGTATTCACTTCCTGTAAGCAGTCTCTCCTCTGTAACCTCCTACTGATGTGCATATTAAACATCCTTTTTACCTATGTGCACTTGTTGCTGTCTCATCTCCCTATACATAAATGTCCTTCTCTCCAGGTTCTCCTCCTTCAGCTGAAATGGATCAGCCTCTTCTGAACCGACTGTCTGTGTGGGGCTGCTGCTCCTGCAGCACTTTGAAGGCCTGGCTGCCGATCCTCACCTGGCTGCCGAGGTACAAGCTGAAGTGGCTTCAGATGGATCTGCTGGCAGGCCTCACCGTCGGCCTGACAACCGTACCCCAGGCGCTGGCTTATGCTGAAGTAGCCGGCCTCCCTGTGCAGGTCACTCCTCTGGGCTTATTTGTGAAAGTTCATCCTTTGGAGTCAACTTCTGTTCATATTCCGTCCTCCTGTCAGATACTTGTTCAGCCACAATGCTGTTAAAGTGTTCTGCGATCTTTATTTGGAACCCCATTATCTTCTACAAGTGGTCACTGTTTTTCTTCTTCTGGCGCACAGCATAACATCCGGGAAGACTAACATAAATGGTAGAAATGAACAAGTGGACTTTCCCCCTATTTTGTAATCTCCTCTCGCCTGCAGAGTTGAAAACATGATGGTGTCTATCAACAACATCCTGCATTGATCTGTTGAATTTAACACATTAGCTGAGACAATCCTGCTTCTTCTCTAATTTATTAAACTCACACTCAAGGAGAGCACAGGAAAATGTTCCTCGTTCAGCAGATAAATTGTGAAACAAAAGGTTAATAGTGTAAACAAACCAGAAAAAAACACACTCTAAGATGTAGAGGTGCTTAAGTACTTTATGACAATCAGTCTAACAGCATTTCTCTCCACAGTACGGACTCTACTCCGCCTTTATGGGAGGCTTCATCTATACCCTCCTGGGGACGTCTAAGGATGTGACACTGGGTCCCACTGCAATCATGTCCCTGTTGTGTTTCTCGGTGGTGGGGGGGCAGCCACACCGCGCCGTGCTGCTCAGTCTGCTCTGTGGACTCATCCAGGCAGGAATGGCATTACTGAGACTAGGTGATTGGACCAAGGTCAAGTAGAACCTTTGCGATGCCGATTTTTATTATTGGGGGGGAGGGGCGGAAGAGGGTCTTAATGTAGTCGACATGCATGAGCAGAGTGGAACAAACGTACTTTCTTAGAATATGTAAATCCTTTTTTTGTTGTACCACTGATATTTTATTGTAGCATCATCCAGTCTGTAAATTTAAGAGTTAGCTCTGTATCGAAAACCTGATACAACAGCATCACAGTATTAGAAACTAGTCTTAGAGAGAAAACAAGAGATTAGTTTGTACGTGCAGGAGGGGGACTTCCTACCACGCATCTATGACTTCCTTATCTTAACCACACACACTTTCTGCAAGGTCTGTTGATCCGTCAGCCGTTTGGTTTTTTATTGTATTTTGGTTTTATTGTATTTTAGTTCAAGGTTAAGTGCCGTCTCTCAGCAAATCATTCATTGCGATGCTCATCTTCTGCAGGTTTCTTGCTGGACTTTATCTCCTTCCCTGTTATAAAAGGTTTCACTTGTGCTGCTGCGGTAACCATCGGCTTCGGCCAGGTCAAGGTGAGAGTTAAACACATCTACAAAAACATCCATTCAGTCCATCTCACAGTTCTTTAAAAGTATTTACCATGTATCGCTTTTGCTCCAAACCAGTGTGCAGCAAGGTGTTCATATGATGGCTAGAGTGCATGCATCCGTTTAGGAACAACATTTGGATATGAGATATTAATGATACGTTGAACTGGGAGCCAGCTGAAACCATTCCTTGTATTCAAAGTAACAACATTTCACGTTTGCAAGAATAATAAACCCATCCTTCTCTTAACACATCCATGTTTATACGGGGGGGTTGGGGTGGTTTCAGCCTTGCTGCAGCCCCAAATTGGTCAACAATTACCTCATAAAACAATAAAGAGGTAGAGAGTTTTGAAATGTGAGCAACAACAATTACAGGAAGATCCACAATGATTCCAGTAATTACTGTTAAGACGTGAAGCAATATAACCAAAACACAATAAACCACTATGTGGTGTTTTTTCATGGATGTCAGTGGTATTGATTCGGTCAAACTGATTAAGACCATGACTGAAATATGCTGTTAAAAGCTCTGAAGAAAACAAGTGACTGAACCTTGAGTTACAATTATTTTTTCTTTACGCTGTCCAGCAAAAGTTACATAGATCCTCTTTTCACTGGGGGCCCAAATCTTTATTTAATGGTTTAAATTTAAAAAAAAATAAAGTTACTACCCTTTGCCAAATATAGAAACTGAAGGACCATAATTAAAATAGCATTTTGTTTGATTTGTGTGTGAACTCACTATGAAGTTACTGCTTCCATCTAAAAAGCAAAAACTCCTCTGTGTTCGTATTTGAACACATCCACTCTTCCCCGTGTCAGTGGATTCAGCTGCTGTCGCTTCCTTTGTTTCTGTTTACAGAACATTCTGGGACTCCAGGGTGTTCCTCATGAGTTCTTCCTGGAGGTTTACTACACCTTCTACAAGATCCCAGAGGCCAGGACAGGGGACGTGGTGCTGGGCCTGCTTTGTCTCGCCGTGCTGATCATGCTGTTATTCATGAAGGAGAGCCTGGGCGCGGAGGGAGCTCCTACCTGCCCCGCAGTTGCCAGAAAACTAGTGTGGACCGTTGCCACCGGTCAGTACCTGTGTGGTTGTGACCATGTGGGTGTGCGGCAACAATGGCAGTGTTTTACAATGAAATTAAGAAAGTTGAATAGCCCAAGCTGTATATATGATTGCACTTTCTTTGAATGGAATTGTATTTTGGTGTCGGATATCTGTATCTTTTTGTCCGTGTCTTCTCTGCGGTCAGTGCGCAACGCTCTTGTGGTCGTGGCTTCATCCTTCGTGGCGTTTTCCTGGAACGCTTACGGTCATCCCGTGTTTACGGTCACTGGGGAGACTTCCCGGGGGCTCCCGCCGTTCAGACCTCCACCCACCTCGGACACCACAGCCAACGGCACGGTGGTCTCCTTTGGAGAGATAGTAGAGGTAAGGAGCAGTGGGACGATGCTGCTTTCCCTTCTCTAAGAGTTCACAAGTGGGTCAGCTGACCAGCCGGTCTTCCTCTCTGTGTGTGTTTGCTGCAGGACTTTGGAGGAGCGCTGGCTGTGATTCCCTTCATGGGTCTGTTGGAAAGCATTGCTATTGCTAAGGCTTTTGGTAAGTGTTCTAGCCACGTTGGCAGTATCCTCAGAGGATGAATCTTAAGGAATTGTGATCACTGAAAGACGGTTTGTTTTTGTTTTTGATATTTCTTGTTTAGAGGGAAATGTCTCGAGAACTATTGGATGGATCGGCATTCATTTTGGTCGAGTAATCAATGTCCCGCTCAGGGTCGCTGATCGGTGAAAGATCTGATAGGATAACTGTGTTGACTTTTGGGCTACATTAATAAATCACAATGACTTCCAACCTCATTGCGTAGCAATAAAAAGCCATGGTCAATCATTAGTGTTTCATCAGACTTTTGACTGATTTTAACTTCCTGTTTCCCCTCAGCCAGTCAGAACGACTACAGAATTGATGCCAACCAAGAGCTGCTGGCAATTGGTGTGACCAACATCATGGGCTCCTTTGTGTCGGCCTACCCTGTGACTGGCAGCTTTGGGAGGTGTGGGAGAGAGAGGGAGAGACAGACAGAGGCAGAGACTTCAGATGTCCAATATTTACAGGGTGATGCTTTCTCCTCACATGCAGGACAGCAGTGAACTCCCAGACTGGTGTTTGCACTCCAGCTGGAGGGATCGTCACCAGTGAGTCCCGACACTCTTTCACTGTATCTCATCCTCCCTCTTGTAGAGATGCACACTTCTCGGTCCACTTTTTTCACTCTCCCTTTCTCCTGGTGAGCTGCCATGGAGATCAAAGGTGGACGAGTCTCTCAACATGACAACAAAGGCAGGCCAGAATGAAGGCATACACTACTTACTGATTTAAAAAAAAGACAGAAAAAATAGATTAATATTTTATTACTACAATAATACCACCTTTAAAGAGATATGGTTGTGTTTAAATTTAATTTCTGCTGAGTCCATTTCTCTTAGTTTGGAAAAGAGGAATCTCTCCCTTCTGTCTCTCTGTGTTTTTTTCTAGGTGTGGTAGTGTTGCTCTCCCTGGCGTTCCTCATGCCGGCCTTCTACTACATCCCCAAAGCCTCTCTAGCTGCTGTTATCATCTGTGCGGTAGCTCCCATGGTGGACTATCGGGTCATCGCCAAGATGTGGAAGATACGCAGTAGGTGTCCCCTCTGTCTCACATGTATTAGTGTGTTTAATATTTTGGTCTCATGCTCACGTTCCTTCAACAGAACTGGACCTGCTGCCGTTCGTTGTGACGTTCCTGATGAGCTTCTGGCAGGTGCAGTACGGCATTGTGGGAGGTGTGGCTGTATCTGGAGCCCTGCTGCTCTACAACACGGCAAGACCACCAATGAAGGTAACACGGTGTGCAGGACCGTGAGTGTCACAAAAAAGGGAAATGGTAATTTTATTACCATTTACAAGAGCTGCAATATACCAGAGGGCCGCATCCTTTTGCTTTAACTCCTGCTCTTCCTCTGAGTGTGAACAACATAAAATCCTATTATCAAACAGTACAGAGTCTGTGAGTTCATGTCGTGTTCCTGTTGCGTGCAGGTGTCTGATCACGGTGTGCTGGTGGTGGAGTTAGGCAGTGGACTGAGTTTTCCTGCCACAGAGTATCTCAGCCACATCATACACACTCAGGCTCTGCAGGGTTTGTTGATAGTCCGTCTTTGTTTAGAGGACCATTGCAGTAATGTGAGGTGATGTCTGTCTAGCTCAACCACCTCTTTTCGTTACGATTTTTTGTCCTCAAACCTTTCTGTCCTCAAACCTGTCTCCTCCAGCGTGTCCTCCGAAGTCAGTGGTGCTGGACTGCCATCATGTCAGCGTCATAGATTACACAGTGATCAGCGAGCTCAGTGACCTGCTGAGACAGTTCCGACTGCGAGAAGTGCGGCTTGTCTTTTGCAGATTAGAGGTAATGCCTTTTTCTTTGGGACCAGAAGTTAGTCAACAAAATATACGTAGGTCCCTCTGTGGTTTTTATCTAACACCCTCTGTATCTGTCTTCCTCCCACCTTCAGCTCTCTGTTCTGGAGGTTCTCCTTGCAGCCGATCTGCAGGGCTTCAGCTATAAAGACAGTGTGGAGGCGGCGCTGCAGAGCGAGTCGGCGAGCTTGAACACTGATCAGTGACGTTTCTAATCCTACATTGTTGAGCTGTTATCCAGTTTAAAAGTAATGAACTACCTCCAGCAACTGGCTTCACCGGCTGTTAGGACGTTACCATCGCAATATTAGACCATTTTTGAGGGAACGAGGATGCAATAAGAGAAATAATATTGACATATATCTATATATATATATATATAAATGTTTACACACAGCTGAAGGGGATGTTTAAGGGACCAAAAACGGACCAGAGCAAACACAATGCTTGTGCCACTATCATTATTTATTTATCTATCTAAATAAACATTCTCTTTCTCTATTCTTGATGTTGAAAAAATGATTATAATTAGGGCTGTCAATACATTTAAAAAAATTAACTAATTGATCTCACATTTTGAAATTCATTCATCTCAATTTATGGCAATTAATGAATGTTGTTGTTGTTGTTACAACAAGTAAGTGAGTAAGTAATCTTAAAAGTAATGTAATCACTTCAGAAAGTGTGTATTTTAGACACTTGTTTAATTGTTAATGTTATTTTAAACACAAAGCTACACACATTTGTTTGTTTGCTACTCACCCCCCTTCTGTTTGACACGTGGAGTAATTCTTCTGCACAGTTCTCCGCTGTATGTCGCACCAGTTTGTTTTACCTCCAATGAAAAAAGCTAGTGAGAAATTAAATCATTCATATCAATAGAATTAATAATCGCTAAGATAATTTATTATAAATCGGTAAGGGGGCATCAAAACAAAACACACGTGTTGTTTAACTCGGTGTGCGCTCTGTCCTTTCTTGCGGGAATCATGAGGGCTGTTTGGTTTCTTGATGGCGCAAAAGCTGTTGGTGCTCTTGTAACACGCAAGTTGTATCCAAGCCATTGACACACTTTCAGTGTCACGTTCTGTCACGGTATCGGGCGGCAAAGATCCACGCGCAGAGGGAGGTCACAAAATAAGGGTTTTAATGTTCAACAGAAACAGCGAGCCGAGCTCGATGGCAAAACATAGAACAAAAATGCATTCTCTAGGAGACCAGCTAGGCAAGGGCTTGACTCACAAGAATAATCCGACAAGACACAAAGGTAACACATGCAAGATATAGACAGGGTGATTAGACATGACGAGAAACAGGTGTAACAGCAAACGGCGCGGGCACTGATTGAAATGAGCGGCAGGTGGATGGGAAGGCTATGTGGTTGCATATAAGGAGAAGTTCAACTTAGTCATCAGTGTGCTTCCTCCCCGAACTCTTTATGACTTTGTGGACTCTGCAGCGCCTCTTACGAGAATAAAACCTGTTAAAATCGTTTGAGTTTTCACAATCTTTATTTCTACGATCTCTCCAGGACAAAAGGTGAAGATAATGATATAGTTCTCACTGCAGCAGTCATATGAATCACTGCTGTGAATTTATGTTTCACCAATGAAATGCTTGATACTTAACAGTCCTTAAAAGGACTATAAATTGTCACACTCTAACTCACAGGGAAATTTCTACTTTTTAAATTTTCTCCGACATCACCACACTGTCTCTGGAAGGTAAGTACAATACTTGCACCGTGGTGACCTCTATGCACGGCGGTATCCTTTCAAAATGTGGTTTTGAGACATCTGTTGTTTTTTTCAGCACATTTGTGTGGTGGCCCATAATGGGGGTGCCTGGGACCTTTTTGTTGCTCTGTATTTTGCTGATTTTGAGACAAAGCACTTCAGGTAAATATTGTCATTATAATACATATTGTGTTATCTTATTTCTCAATATATAATAGAAAGTTTTTTTGAGGATTTTATTAAACGTATACATTATGAATTTAGAAATTTGTCTTTGAGTAAGTTTAAGCTAAAACCTATTTGGTACCAAAACCAATGTATATTCCTATCCCAAAAATTAACTGGCACTGTAGTACTATTAAATCAACCTAAATATTTAGAGACCATATTTTATGGCAGCATCTTTACATCAAATGCTTTACACGACTATGTCTAAAAACTTGTGAAGCTCTCTACATGCAACCTCGCATACTGTGCAGATATTAATCATTTAAATATTTTTACAATGAAAAGTCTAATCTATCAATTTAAGTCGTTTAGAAGAGACAGGATTCTTGTTGTTTATTTGATTGGTCACAAAATCATCTCGATTGTTTTACCTTTTTTCTCAATCTAACATGTTCAACGTTTTTTTTTTTTTTACCATAAACCTTTTTGAAAATTCCCCACGATCACAAAGTTGTGCATGTTTTTCTGTTAGCTGGTTCACCGGTGAGGCTGGTCAACTCTGACAACCGCTGCTCTGGCAGAGTGGAGGTGTACCACGATGCCCAGTGGGGGACAGTGTGTGACGACGGCTGGGACCTGATGGACGCCGACGTGGTGTGTAGACAGCTGGGCTGTGGCGCTGCTCGTTCCGCTTTAACAAATGCAGCTCAGGGACAAGGAAGCGGGCCCATCTGGTTGGATGATGTCAGTTGTTCTGGAAATGAATCATCAATAACTGACTGCAGACATCCAGGATTTGGGGTCCATAACTGTCAGCATGCTGAAGACGCCGGCGTCATTTGTGAATGTAAGTGTCTTTTTATATTTTGCAACTTTTTTTAACATACTGTAATGAATTAAAAGTGACAAACTGAGACTAACGTTCATTAGTCTCGTGTTGGTGTAATCTGGTATACACTGATGTTGGCCATACCCTCACACGGGCCACCATATTGTTAAGCACTGCGTATGGGGCAATGTTTGGTTAAAAGCTAGTGAGAAATTAAATCATTCATATCAATAGAATTAATAATCGCTAAGATAATTTAACATAAATCGGTAAGGGGGCCTCAAAACAAAACACACGTGTTGTTTAACTCGGTGTGCGCTCTGTCCTTGCGGGAATCATGCGGGCTGTTTGGTTTCTTGATGGCGCAAAAGCTGTTGGTGCTCTTGTAACACGCAAGTTGTATCCAAGCCATTGACACACTTTCAGGGCTCTCACGTGTCACGCATCGAGCGTGACAGTCAGTCATTTTGGTCTTTAGTAACGCGTCATGTGACTCACAACAACTACCGGCGCTGCTGGCTGCTCTTTCCTCTACGTCAGCTCGCCGCTTTCACTTTTGCTCCATGCGCATCCGCAACTCAATGAGTGACTTAATAATAGCGCGACACAACGAATCGATAATGAAATTTGTTGCCAACGCTTTCATAATCAAATTTTATCGATTTCATCGATTCGTTGTTGCAGCCCTACATTTTATCTTTTTCTTTTAGTTCTCATTTAAAAATCGCAAACTGTATGGGCGACCAGGTGGGGCGGACGGTACAGGGTTGCACGGTGGCGGACGATGGCGGGGTACCGTGCAAAACAAATCAATATAAGAGAAGCAGAAGCGACTGTGCATGCGGAAGGACCGTTGTGTAATCATCACAATAGCAAAGTCATCCGGCAAAGGACTCCGGCGACGGGCCACACTGGACGCCCCAGCGGGCCGGACGTGGCCCCCGGGCCGCGAGTTTGACATATGTGACTAAGTGGTTCAGAAGAGTCAAGATTCTTATTGTTGAAACGAATGCTCACAAACTCATCTCGCATCTTTTACTTTTCCTTTTTTTTAAACTATTTTAACAACCAACCTTTTAGTTTTGCCAACTTCACCTGAACCAACCACAGCGCACTTCACCACCACTGAGGCTCCACCGATAATCACCAGCACACCAGCTGCAGGAAACAGCACAGCAGTTGAGGGGGAGGTCCGCCTGGCCGATGGAGGAAACAGCTCCTGCTCTGGCAGAGTGGAGATCTTCCACAGTGGACAGTGGGGGGCGGTGTGCGACGACCACTGGGACCTGCTGGATGCTCAGGTGGTGTGCAGGCAGCTGGGCTGTGGCAGGGTCCTGTCAGCGCCACAAGCTGCACACTTTGGACAAGGCACAGGTCCCATCTGGTTGGACGATCTCGTCTGCAGAGGCAGCGAATCAACGCTCAGCGAGTGCAGTCACAGAGGGTTTGGAACTCACGACTGTGGTCACCACGAGGATGCTGGTGTCGTCTGTGAAGGTAAATACGCTTTTGTACAGCCAAAGGCAATGAAGTCTGTTTGTGTGGGAGGATGTTTATGGTGTAACATTTCATCATTTTAAAGAGAAGGCTGCTGTGGTGTTTTTCAAAGATGTCCTCTTATTGACGAGGTCCATCTTTCATGTCTCACTTTCAACACCTTTGCGTTGTATGTTTTTCTGTTAGCTGGTTCACCGGTGAGGCTGGTCAACTCTGACAACCGCTGCTCTGGCAGAGTGGAGGTGTACCACGATGCCCAGTGGGGGACAGTGTGTGACGACGGCTGGGACCTGATGGACGCCGACGTGGTGTGTAGACAGCTGGGCTGTGGCGCTGCTCGTTCCGCTTTAACAAATGCAGCTCAGGGACAAGGAAGCGGGCCCATCTGGTTGGATGATGTCAGTTGTTCTGGAAATGAATCATCAATAACTGACTGCAGACATCCAGGATTTGGGGTCCATAACTGTCAGCATGCTGAAGACGCCGGCGTCATTTGTGAATGTAAGTGTCTTTTTATATTTCCCAACTTTTTTAACATACTATAATGTATTAAAAGTGACATACGAAGATGAAGGTGTATGGAGAGTCTTGTATTGGTGTTATTGTGTGTACACTGATACGTCTTTATTTGGTGATCTTATATCTTTTTTTTTTTTAGTTCTCATTTAAAAATCTTTACCCTGTAACAACAAATTAATTAATCTCATCCAACCCATCACTCCAAGTTATACAACCTTGTGTGTTTTACTTACTTTTTTTTTTTTTCCTTTTTTTTTTTTTTTTATTTTTTTTTTTACAACCACCCTTTCAGTTTTTGCAACAACCACGGCGCACTTCACCACCACTGAGGCTCCACCGATAATCACCATCACACCAGCTGCAGGCAACAGCACAGCAGATGAGGGGGAGGTCCGCCTGGCCGATGGAGGAAACAGCTCCTGCTCTGGCAGAGTGGAGATCTTCCACAGTGGACAGTGGGGGGCGGTGTGCGACGACCACTGGGACCTGCTGGACGCCGACGTGGTGTGTAGACAGCTGGGTTGTGGCGCTGCTCGTTCTGCTCTTACAAATGCAGCTCTGGGACAAGGAAGTGGACCCATCTGGTTGGGTGATGTCAATTGTTTTGGACATGAATCATCAATAACTGACTGCAGACATCCAGGATTTGGGGTCCATAACTGTCAGCACACTGAAGACGCAGGTGTCATCTGTGAATGAAATTGTCAATTCATATTTTGAAATGTTTTAACATTCTTACTTTAAAATTAACATACCTAATTGAAAGTTTATGGAGAGCCTCGTATTGGTGTAATCTGGTATACAGTGATAACTCATCTTTCTATCATACTTTTATTTCGGGACCTTTCTCTGTATCTTTCTCTTGAATTCTCATTAAATTGTAACTACAAAGTAATTTCTCTCGTCTAATCCATCCATTCAATAGAATGGCTTAGAGTCATGAGTCTTGTTGTTAAATTGAATGGTCAAAAGATTTTTTCAGATTTTTTACCTTTTTTTTTGGGGCTTGTCAATGATCAATGTTTTAATTGCAATCACTTAACGATTGGTTGTGATTTATAGCATTGTATTTTACAAAATTCAATAAAGAACGCAAAAGTAGTGTATTGCATGCTGTTATTTCTGCAAACTTTTAACAGCAGTATTCCCTTTACACGGTAGCAGTTAAAATATGCCTTTCAAATCTCAACTTAAACTTATTTAAAAAATCTAATTAAAAAGTACAAATGAATGCAATAAAATATATTATTAAACCAAACTATTTTCCACAGCCAGGGCATTAATGTTAAATCTAGATTGTTATAGAAAAACGTTACCCCCTGCTAGTTGCAAGTCCTCAGAGCGGCAGGATTCTTAGGCCCGCCCCCAAATGCTGTCATTGGTTGAAACACATGATGATGCTTCAAAATAATATATTTTTTTAAACTGCGTTAACGCAAGATATAATGTTGGCGTTGAATGCATTATCGCGATAACGTGTTAACGTGCACAGTCCTAGCACAATTATGTTCGTCGGTCTAACTCCCTTCACCTGTTCACTCACCTGCCTCTGATCAGTCAATTCCTATTTAGTCTCCTGCCTTGGTTGCTCTTCGGCTTCAATGCCAGACTCTCCAATGTTTGGTTTCAGACTGATCGCCTGTTGCTGACCCTGTTTAACCCGTTAGCCCGACTCCCGGTAAACCTACGTGCCCTTTGTTTTACCGTTACTCTGCCTGCTGTTTACGGAGCTTTAAATAAAAGGTCAAAAGGTCCCTGGAGTCGTGTGAGTGCTTTTGGGTCCAAAAACTAATCGTTACAGGTGAGGCTGTTCAAATAGATGGCATCATCCACCAAAGAGGCCTCTGTGCCAAGACCGGCCAGCTTGATGATGTGATGAATGTGCCTTATGCTGTCAACATAATTCAAGCACAAAGGCTCCACCACAGAGAATTTTAACCTTTCCTCACTAATGTTGAGGCTGAATGGCCAAACATTTACCTAATGTAAAACTAAGCAGCAGATATAAATATTTTCAGGGAGCTTCTGGATTGACAGTGAAAGAGCTGTTCACTTGACAATTGAAATGCCTTTTTCAAATGACCACTGTACCATCTGTTATACAATAATTTTTGTCATCACCTTAATTTTTTTATTTAATGGGCAGAGACACATTGTGCTCATTTGGTATCCGTTGAACCCCAGATGGCCTTGCGGTCATTTGGACACTGCTGAGCAGTTATTCGTGGTGCTCTCCAGCCCAAACACCCCTGCCTATGGATACCAGATGGCTACCCCAAGCTCAAACTGTTACCTGATCACTTTGATTGTACTTGTGGACCAGATAGACTGAAACAACAACAAACGGACCATGTGTTCTCTTTATGCAACTGCTTTGCAATGTGCGGTTTCTTTTGATCTCCACAGAACGGGGATTATTCTTTGCAACTCATCTCGTTAGCTTACCCATACCTTAATCAGGAGATTAACTTTTATTTAAAATATTACTTCACTGCATTAAGTGCAAAGTGATCAACCACTGTGTTGAGGTTGGTCACCCTCCAGCTGACGGTCTCATGACTTTCAGAGTCATCTATAATGTCCTATGTATGCAGGTGGGCGTTTAATGTAATTGACATGCCAAGCGCATTGAGAGATGGAAAAAGTAAACCTCTGGTCCCTTGCACTGTATGCGGACAACATTTTGTAACCTGGACTCTGGGATTTGCTCCTATGATGCCCACTGATATTGGACGATAATACCTGTGGTTGTTTTATTTTATCCCAAATGTGATGGAAGAGGTTGTGCACAGTAGACAGTACGCTGAGGGAAGTCTCAATTAGTTATTGTACGCTGTCTCATTGAGATCTCCCTAATGAAATGCAGAGAAGCATGAGGATTATTATGGTGCTGTTATAGGTGTACTAAAAAAAGTGAAGTAACTTCCTACACATTTCAGTATCATTCCAGTGCAGTTTAAAAGGCATTTGAAGAAGCACGGAGTCGCCAAAGTTGACCGTTAAGTCCTAGGTCGGAGAATCTTTTCCCGGAAATAGAAGTAGTTCAGTCTTGTCAGGGTTGATTTTCAGATGGTGAGCGGACATCGACTGAGAGATCCGTGCCGCCACCTGGCTGTCCGAGTGAGGGAAGGTGAGAATTAGTTGGGTGTCATCAGCATAGCTGTGGTAGGAGAAGCCATGCGAGCGAATGACATCGCCGAGAGAGTTGGTGTACAGCGAGAAGAGGAGGGGACCCAGGACGGAACCCTGAGGAACTTCAGTAGTAAGAGGACAAGGTTCTGGCACAGATCTTCGCCAGGTTACTCGGTAGGAGCGGCCCTCAAGGTAGGACGAGAGAAGGGAGAGAGCAGAGCCTGAGACACCAAGTTCCTGAAGGGAGGAAATAAGGATCTGGTGGTTAACTGTCAAATGCAGCGGAGAGGTCCAGAAGGATGAAGACCGAGAAGAGAGAGGTGGCTCTAGCAGTGTGGAGTTGCTCAGAGACAGCAAGGAGAGCAGTTTCTGCGGAATGGCCTACCTTAAAGCCTGACCGGTTGGGGTCAAGGAGGTTGTTACAGTGGAGATAGGAGGAGAGTTGGTTAAAGATCGCACGTTCAAGGGTTTTGGACAAGAAGGGAAGAAGAGAAAGTAGTTTTCTTCAGAAGGGTTGAGGGTAGGTTTCTTCAGGAGTGGGTTAACTCTTGCCTCCTTCAGAGAATTGGGAAAACAGCCAACATGACAACAGAGAACATTTATTAAACAAAGGCAGCCCAGAATGAAAGCATACACTACTTACTGAATTAAATAGATGGTTAATATTCTATTACTACAATAATGGCACCTTTAGAGAGAGATGGTTGTATCTCTCCCTCTTGTATTTCAGTGTTCGTATTTAATAAAACTGCAGGAATCTCTCCCTTCTCTCTCTCTCTGTTTTTTTCTAGGTGTGATAGTGTTGCTCTCCCTGGCGTTCCTTATGCCGGCCTTCTACTACATCCCCAAAGCCTCTCTAGCTGCTGTTATCATCTGTGCGGCAGCTCCCATGGTGGACTATCGTGTCATCGTCAAGATGTGGAAGATACGCAGTAGGTGTCCCCTCTGTCTCACATGTATTAGTGTGTTTATTATTTTGGTCGCATGCTCACGTTCCTTCCACAAAGCTGGATCTGCTGCCGTTCGTTGTTCGTTTCTGGCAGGTGCAGTACGGCATTGTGGGAGGTGTGGCTGTATCTGGAGCCCTGCTGCTCTACAACACGGCAAGACCACCAATAAAGGTAACATTGTGTACAGGAGTGTCACACTAAAAGGAAAACACTAGGGGTGTAACGATTCATTCACTGAATCGATAAATCAATTTATTTTCCTGCGATCCAACTGAATCGATCTGTGCTCCGCAAATCGGCATTCCGGACGACATATATCAAATACAAATCGATTGAAATGGTACATAATCGATCGTATCGATACTTGGTAGCTGCACATTGGATATAAGTACAAAAACCATATGGAGGTGTGTTTGTTTGTTTGTTTTTTAGCACTTTAGACACGTTAAACGTTACTTGATTCAGTCTGCCGATCTGTGACGTCATCAGTACGCAGCGGCAGCCGCGCGAAACTCGGAACAACAACAAAACACAGCGTGGCAGAGACGACTGCGAGCGAGACATTTACAAACCAACTTATCGATCCAGCGCGTGGAAACATTTTGGCTTTTGCAAACACGGAGATGTTCTAAATAAGTCGGTCGCTGTTTGTAGAATATGTATGTAGCCTGATTAAAATGATGACAGGACACTAAGATAAATTTATTTCTCTTTAATGTGGGTTCTTTATTTCCCCCGACTGCACTCCTGGAGCACAGCCTTAATGTGTCAAATTAAGGAGGCACTTGGAACAGTGTACAAATAACCAATTGCTTCGCTTCACTAACTAACAGGATGTCATGGAATAGAGCTATAATTACCTTAAGCTAGAAATTACATGAAGCTAACAGTAGTGACCCCTTCCTGTTAAACAGAAACAAAAAAACATGCACATCGGTCTCATGCTGTTCAAATCCCACACCATTGTCGTTCCTCCAAAAAGTCCCGAAAACAATAAACTCACTCAAGCGCCGGCGCGCACGGCTCCATGCACGTGCAAACTCAACCCACTGCAGCTTGTTACTCCCCTCTAAACGAAGCAGAGGTGCATAACCCAAGAACATACACTCAGTAACAGTCAATCAATCACAATTTACATGGTGAGTCAGGTTTATTAATGTGAGAACACTTACGCTGACCCGCTGAACAGGTATTTCCCTAACGCTGTTCCGATGCTAACCGCTAACACTGTGTCGTGTTAGTAGCCACTAGGTCCCGCTCTACAGCTCCAAATCCCACGTGA